ATGAGGATTTCATTAAGGAAGAATCACGATTTAGATATCTTCAACCTTTTATAATATGCATCTTCTTTTGGAACACCTTGTGAAACCTATATTATGACCTCATGCTGGGATCCTGCATTGACAATATTTTTTCTGTCACTAGCTATATTAATATAAATAAAATTTGAACATTATATAAATGCGTGATTCATAATTAAGCTTTAAAGAAATATCTAATTACCAGACTTCGCGTAACGGTGGGTGCACTATTGGATGACGATGAGGAAGATCATAGATTAAGTTTAAAGAAATAATTAATTACCAGCGTAAGGTGGTGCACTTTGGATGACATGAGGAAGATCATAGTTAATGCCTTTAATGGAAGGATACTTAGAGATGATCATATGAAGGGTTCTACCAGTTCCACCGCCAACATCAACCAGTGAAGTGAGTCCTTCAAATCCTTTGTATTTGGCTAGTATTCCACTCATAATAACAGAAGAAAGACCAGCCATTGCCTGGTTGAAGATGTTGTTGAATTCTGGATCTCTGTTCATGTACTCAAATACAGACATCCCGTGAACTTTCTTGAACAGATTTCCACCTTCAAGAATCGCGTCCTTCATATTTAACCTGTACAAGAGAAATTATAACTCCATGACTGCTGAAATCGAACTCAGTTAAAAAAAAGGAGAAATCATGTAAGGATCAAATTATCATACCAAACCTCCACAGTGGCTCTATGGTAGGAAAGGTAAGAGAAAGAAGAGATGTTGCCTTCTTCAACGCTGCCAATAAAGAATTTACAGGCGGGTGTGAGTCCGTAAAGTTTCTGAATGCTGCCATCTTTGAGGGTTCGAGAAGAGTAGGAGAGGAGGGAGTGAGAGGCAAAGAGATGAAGCATACGGTCAAGCATAGAAGGAGCATCGGGATTTGTTGTAGGAAGCTGAGAAGCAATCTCAGAAGCGCAATCTCAAGAAAGCCGAGAACAAAGCCTCCAGGGCCTTGCTTTGGCTTATGATACCAAATAGATTAAGCTCTATGCTGTGTGAAGAATAAAAGGGAAAGACATGAGAAGGGTACGAGAATATCAATAGCATTTAGACATGGCCTTCCTCGTCTATATGGTTTTGCTTGCTAACTCATCTTCGCCGCTAGCTCTGACTGCAGCTATGGCTCCACTTGAATGTGGGGTCTGTTAAAGCCAAAATATGGCATGGTAGAGCAGAACAAGATTGCGGTTAATTATCAGGCTAGCAACGCAACCACCAATGTTCTCCCTGTCTCTAAAGTTAAATGAAAAAATATTATTTAAATAACTTTTTAAATAAATTTTTTTATTAAATACTCATAAAGAGGCAGATCAAATGCTTTTGGTTTAATAGATGATCTCTTAACAAGATTAAATAGTTCAATATTACACTCCCATGTGACATCGACCCGGCAAAGCGATCCTAAAAAGGCGGGTTAAGAAGCGAAGCTGCCTGGGCTTCTAGGATGGCAGACTAGTTAGGGTAGTGGAATGCGGGACACAGGAATGAATCGAATCATATATCGAAAAGGGGAAAACTAATCATTAGAGGTACTTTTTGGTGGAATGACTGGAGAGTTAGAAGAACTCCAGGATGAAGCGTGCTCGCTTAACAGAAATCTCAGGATGCGTGATCTCCTGGAAAATTTCCCAGTTCACCTGCGGGACAAAACCGTGCGGGTCTTGCCATCTTGTATGGACGATTTGACTTGATCCAAAGCGGACAATTCCTCTGGTGATTAGAGTCGGGCATGACACTCAAGGTTAATATATTAAAACGTAGAAGAATATCATTTGAAGCTGTCACAAATTGATTGGTTACAACCAATACATATGCAAGAATTTGATTAATTAATAATATTTTTAATTGGATTAATCTATTTATTTAATATAGCTTTTTGAAGTAAGTGATGGAACGTGTCACCTTAATTACCCTATTTGATTAAACCATATATTATATACTATAGACTATAGAGTGACAAATAAAAAATACAAGCTAAAAATTTTGGTCAAAATAAATAATAAACAAAAGCAACTGGTAATTCTCTGATGGATGATCCACCATTCTCATTTCTCTCAATCCAAATCTAACATTCTAGCTAACCCTCCATTCTGAGCATATAAATATATTTTTGAGTTGGATGATTATCAGTATCAAGAGAGCATTTTTATATTTTCATTTAAATAGTTATATATATATATAATTTATTATATAAATTATAAAAATAAACTTTTTCATTCAGATAAAAATTTATTTGCAAATTCATAAAAGAATTTGGTTGGAGGAATAAATTGAAAATCTAATAAATTTTCAATGAAACAAAAATAATGATTACTATTTTACTTGAATAATTTTTTTTTTTTTTTTTTTTTTTTAATTTTTTTTTTTTTTTTTTTTGGTATCAAGTAAAGTTTTTTTTTTTTTTTTTTTTGTATCAAGTAAAGATGGAATCAAACCTAAATCTATTACTAATCATATATGCATTTACCACTGGGTTATACCTTAGTGCTCGTTAATTCTTTTTTATTATTTCTTACTTATATTACTTGTATATTTTTGTGAATATGTGGTCATTTTTAATATTATAAATATCGTATGATAACATATTAATCTTTTGTAAAATAATGCCAGTATAAAGATGTTCATGACATTTATTACGTGATTTAATATCATGAATTCTATAATTCCAAAACATTAACTTTATATAATTATAGATATGTATTATTGTATTTATATTTATGTAACTTATGATTAAAAGTTTATAAATAGAAACTTCACACAAAGCTTGGTATACAAATGAAATTGAAGTTGTTTGTAAATATTATTTTTATGCTGTCATGATACAAATATTTCTCGTATTTATTTTTTAATTTTATAATAAAACCGTCAAATAGTTCCAGTCATTAGATTGAAAGACTTGCACAAAGGGACAATAACAATAGAACTAAAGTATAACCAAGAAGACAAAACAGCTCATCTCGTCACCAAGAATGCAATTCCACTCTTTTTAAAGAGAAAGAAATGCATACTTCACCAACACATTTCAGGCTATAGGCTAAACAACATTGTCGGAAACAATAACTCACAAAGCACTAAATATGCATTGTAGTAGAAAAGCAAATCACAACGTAGACTAGACACAGTGTATCTAAATCCAACCGGTAAGAAGTAAGACAACGATTGAATCTACAAAAAAAAACTGTTAAGAGTAGATGGACAAAACCCAGCTTAAAGAGCATCAGAAAGGAAAATTTACAGAACAGGAAAATTTACAGAACGCTTCAAATTCTCGACAATAACTCACGGGTTTTAAGGTTAGAGAAACAAGACAAAGTTACTCCAACATATCGTGACATGATAAAATGGCACAAGAAATTTATCGCCGGTCGTCGCCGAGGAATAAAGGAATAAATGCGACCTGGAAAAAAAAAAAAACAAACAAACCAGCCACCTTGACGAAAAAAAAAAAAAAAACAAAACAAACCAGCACCTTGACGAAGCTTGTAGAGTACTCAGCCAAAGTGTTCAAATCTCGAAAAACTAAACATTGAAAAAGAAAACACATTTGAATGAAAAGAGTCGCAGACACTTTCAGGTAACGCAAAAGCAGACAAACGAAGAGTCTTACAGAAAGTTAAACAGATGAAATACAGCAACGTAGAAACCCTAAAAACCCTTAATCCAGGAAGCTACATTCATATACATATTTAAAAAATAAAAAAAAAAACTTCTACGTTTGTACAACCATAAAAAGAATGCTCATGAATTCTAAACCCCTAAAACTTAAAATGAAAAACCTACTACAATATCAGAAAAAATACGTGTATTTAAATTATGTATATCAACCATCGTCGTCTTTGTCCTCTTTATCGTCTCGAGAAGCATTTTTCACTCCGGCTCTATCTGTCAAAGGAAACCCAAGTAGAGACATAATGAGCCATTTTTATTAAAAAAATCAGTATATCCAGTCTGTGAGTGTAAAAATACAAGAGGGTGAGAGAGACTAAATGAGAAGGTAAAGACCTTCCTCATCATCATCTTCATCGATTAACATGAATTTTCTCTTTGTATTCTTCATTGTGGGTAAGTTCGGAAACCTTCAAACACCAAAATGGCCAAATGGGTTTTCTCTTTCTCCGTTACCTGATTCTGCTCTGTTGGACTTCAGAGCTCGATGGCAAAAGAAAAGCTTTTAGTCGAGTATATATTGTTTGCGGAAAAGATCTAAACAGCCAAAAACTGAGATCGGAAAAAAAAAAAAGTATCACATTTTGCATCCTTTTACAAAATTGCCACCAGAGGATTTCGTGGCTTATGATCATACCACGTCAGAATAAATTTACAGAATGGAGTTAAATGACGATATGGCGCCATCAGGACGACGGGAATGAAGCGAGTCACTGGCTCCACGAGATTTTGAGAAGGGCAGAAGAGACAATTTACTGGTAAAGCGCATAAAGTGCTTTCTTGTACCGTCTTCGGCCGTCGCATGGCAAAATCAACCTTTCCGCGACGAAGGCATGAGTTAGTAGTAATTTTCTCGATCTCGGAATCGAGCGGGTCCTTATCGGGTCGGATATTGCAATATAAGTACCCGTTGGTCAATAAAAAATAGGAAAAATTACTGTAGATCTCGTGGTTTATGAAATTCAATTAATTTTTTTTTAATTTTTTTTAATGTACACTAATGTGTTTCTATATTTGCTTCTTTTACACTATTAGAATTTACTGTCCAATTTTTGTATCTTTTCCGTTAAATCAATAAGAAAATATAAAAGCCAAATAAGAAATACTAAAATATTATATTAGTGAGATTACAGTGCAATCTTGTAGTTTGAAAAATAAAACTAATTCATCCAAGTGTTTTTGTAAAAAATGATATTTTTATCATTTTATAAGGTACGTAACGGAAAAAAATAAAAAACTTAGACGGAAGAATAGTCTGACGGAAGTAATTTATGAAGACATTTATATTTACTAAAAAGCAAAGATGAATTAGTTGTAATCTGCTAACCATAGGAACCGTACTGTAATTTTTTCTAAAAAATTAATATCCATTAGATATTTATTTTTCGTGTGAAATTTGGATTGGAGCAGAGATGAATTATTTTTCGCGTGATATTAATTAGAAGTTGCAAACAATGCAGAAACTCTAACTTATTACTTATAAGATTCCATAACAGCCCAGATACCATGAGCAACACAAGCAACAAGAAAGTTGGTAAAGCCAGCAGCCTCAGTCAAGGCCTCAAATTCTCTTGCAGTTCTCTCTTTACCACCAGGTTGGGCTAACATAACATTGTCAAGTCTTGAAACATACTGTGAAGCTTTGCTTGTCTCTGGCTCTTCCGGTAATAATGCATTCAAAATTATGAGTTTCCCATTTTCTGGCAATACTTCATAAATGTTCTTCAACAATCTCACCACATTGTCATCACTCCAATTATGACAGGTATCCTGTGCAACAGTAACATCAATGTCTAATTATATTTTCTTTCCAAAGTCTTCCCTACCACTATCTTATCTTCCCTATCACTATATTTTGGGTCCAACCATAGGGGTTTGCAAATGGGGTGGTTTGGTTCTGAACCGAATCGAACCACAAAAACTGAAAATCGAAAATACATTTTATTTAAAATCGAACCAATCTGAAATAAATTTGAAAATCAAACCAAACTGGTCGCTTCGGTTAGTAGGCTTCAATTTGATTTTACTCAAAAAATAAATGTTTTGAAATAATGGATTCATAGACCAAAAATCAAAATTATGAAAAATTTTAAACCGAAGTCAAAATTGAAAACTAAATAATCGAACCAAAAACAATTTGGTACGGTTTGTTTTTTGTTTTTTCCAAAGTTGCTCACCAAAGGGACAGAGCTTAATGGAGGTTTAAGGGGCCCGCGCCACCTAAGATTTTTTTTTTTTAAATTTTCTTTGTAAAAAATTACACTTTTAGTCCTTAAAAATATAGAAAATTCATATTTAGTCCGCTAAAAGTTTAAAAATATTTTTTTGACTCTCCAAAATAATTATCCTAGTTGCACCCCTCAGTCCAACTAATAAATAGATTCCAAACATATATCAATGTAACGAAAGTATTTCTAATCATATATTTGAAAAAAAAAAAGTGAAATACTTTTTAAAAAATTCTTAATTTCAGTTATTTGGTCCATAAATGAAGTCACAGACCTGGTCTACACAGATAATTTTCAATTCGACGTTAGATTTCATGTAAGGAAGTGTCAAGATTAGTATCTTCACCTTTATCATAATTGCATCTCCTTTTGGAATACCTGTGAACATATTTCCACCTACATGCTGGATCCCTGCATTGACAATATTTTTTCTTCACTAGCCATAATTAAAATAAATAAATTGAACATTATATATAATGGTGATCATAATTAAGTTTAAAGAAATAATTAATTACCAGTGTAAGGTGGTGCACTTTGGATGACATGAGGAAGATCATAGTTAATGCCTTTAATGGAAGGATACTTAGAGATGATCATATTAAGGGTTCTACCAGTTCCACCGCCAACATCAACCAGTGAAGTGAGTCCTTCAAATCCTTTGTATTTGGCTAGTATTCCACCATCCGCCAACATCAACCAGTGAAGTGAGTCCTTCAATCCTTTTGTATTTGGCTAGTTATTCCATTCATAATAACAGAAGAACGAAAACAAGCCATTGCCTGGTTGAAGATGGTGTTGAATTTCTGGATCTCTGTTCATGTACTCAAATTATAGACATCCCATGGAACTTTCTTGAACAGATTTCCACCTTCAAGAATTGCGTCCCTTCATATTTAACCTGTTACAAGAAAATTATAACTCTAACGACTGCTGAAATCGAAACTCAGTTAAAAAAAAAAAAGGAGAAAATCATTTAGGATCAAATTATCATACCAAGACTCACAGTGGCTCTAAGGTAGGAAAGGGAAAGACAAAGAAGAGAATGTTGGCCTTCTTCAACGCTGCCAATAAAGAATTTACAGGCGGGTGTGAGCCCGTAAAGTTTTTCTGAACGCTGCCATCTTTTGAGCGTTTCGAGAAGAGTAAAGGAGAGGAGGGAGTGAGAGGCAAGAGATGAAGCATACGGTCAAGCATAGGGACATCGGGATTTGGTTTGTAAGGAAGCTGAGAAGCAATCTCAGAAGCCGAAACAAAAGCTCCAGGGCCTGCTTTGGCTATGATACCAAATAGATTAAGCTCTATAGCTGTGTGAAGAACAAAAGGGAAGACATGAGAGCTAGAGAATATCATAGCATTTAGACATGCTTCCTCGTCTATATGGTTTTCTGCTAAACTCATCTTCGCCGCTAGCTCTGGCCACTGCAGCTATGGCTCCACTTAATGTGTCTGTAAAGCCAAAATATGCATGGTAGAGCAGAACAAGACTGCGGTTAATTATAGCTAGCAACGCAACCACCAGTCTCCTGTCTCTAAGTTAAATGAAAAATTATTATTTAAATATGTATCTTAATTAAATAAATTTTTAAAATAAATTTTCTTATTAAATACTCATAAAGAGCAGATCAAATGCTTTTGTTTAATAGATGATCTCTACAAGATTAATAGTTCAATATTACACTCAACGTTAATATATTAAAACGTAGAAGAATATCATTTGAAGCTGTCACAAATTGATTGGTTACAACCAATACATATGCAAGAATTGATAGACAATATATAGTTATAAATCACTTTAAATAGTTACTATATATTTGAATTTGATTAATTAATAATATTGTTAATTGGATTAATCTATTTATTTAATAGATTAAACCATATATTATATACTATAGAGTATAGAGTGACAAATAAAATTAAAATACAAGCTAAAAATTTTGGTCAAAATAAATAATAAACAAAAACAACTGGTAATCTACCATTCTCATTTCTCTTAATCCAAATCTAACATTCTAGCTAACCCTCCATTCTGAGCATATAAATATATTTTTGAGTTGGATGATTATCAGTATCAAGAGAGCATTTTTATATTTTCATTTAAAAGTTATATATATATAATATATATATATTTATTATATTATAATTTATTATATATATTATAAAAACAAACTTTTTCATTCAGATAAAATTTCATTTGCAAATTCATAAAAGAATTTGGTTGGAGGAATAAATTGAAAATCTAATAAATTTTCAATGAAACAAAAATAATGATTACTATATTTTACTTGAATATATATATATTTTTTTGGTATCGAAGAAAGATGGATTCAAACCTAAATCTATTACTAATTGTATTTGTACTTGTCACTGGGTTATACCTTAGTGTGTGTTAATTCTTTTTTTATTATTTCTTACTTATATTACTTGTATATTTTTGTGAATATGTTCATTTTTAATATTATAAATATCGTATGATAACATATTAATCTTTTGTAAAATAATGCAATTATAAAGATGTTCATGACATTTATTACGTGATTTAATATCATGAATTCTATAATTCCAAAATATTAACTTTATATAATTATAGATATGTATTATTCTATTTATATTTACGTAACTTATGATTAAAAGTTTATAAATAGAAACTTCACACAAAGCTTGGTATAAAAATGAAATTGAAGTTCTTTGTAAATATTATTTTTATGTTGTCATGATACAAATATTTCTCGTATTTATTTTTTAATTTTATAATAAAACCGTCAAATATTTCTATTTTATAATCGATTTTTTATATAATAATTTTATCATAGACACGTAACACTCTTCCATTTCATTATCATTATAATTATATATTTATCATTATAATTATGTATTTATCAATTTCACTATTATAGCTAGTACATTTCCAATAACACCAAGAAAAAAGATTGCACAAACTCAAAGGGGAATAAGAACTCACAATGCTACAGGACTGGACAAAGCCGGAGATTTTGTTTTCTTGGAGTAACTCCAAGTCATCATCATCAAGAACAAGATCCTTTAATAGTTTCCTAACGAAATTGAAAACATATTACTTAATAAGTTGTAATCACCACACATTTTCTAATTTATCATTCTATATATATAGTTCATGAACCAGTGAATAAAAGTCACCTTTTATTCCTTTTCTTCCCTTTTTGTTTGTCTTTCCCATATTGGATATCTTCCTTTTCCTCCTCCACCTCCTCCTCATTGTCAGCTATAAACCCATCGTTCTCAAACTCATCCAAATCCTCTATTCATCAGGATAAATCAGTTCCAGTCATTAGTTTGAAAGACTTGCACAAAGGGACAATAATAATAGAACTAAAGTATAACCAAGACAAGACAAAACAGCTCATCTCGTCACCAAGAATGCAATTCCACTCTTTTTAAAGAGAAAGAAATGCATACTTCACCAACACATTTCAGGCTATAGGCTAAACAACATTGTCCGAAACAATAACTCACAAAGCACTAAATATGCATTGTAGTAGAAAAGCAAATCACAACGTAGACTAGACACAGTGTAACTAAATCCAACCGGTAAGAAGTAAGACGACGATTGAATCTACAAAACAGAGACTGTTAAGAGTAGATGGACAAAACCCAGCTTAAAGAGCATCAGAAAGGAAATTTTACAGAACGCTTCAAATTCTCGACAATAACTCACGGGTTTTAAGGTTAGAGAAACAAGACAAAGTTACTCCAACATATCGTGACATGATAAAATGAAACAAGACCAAAGTTACTTCCAACATATCGTGACATGATAAAATCGAACAAGCAATTTTATCGCCGGGTCGTCGCCGAGGAATAAATGGTTTTAAAAAAAAAAAAAAAAAAAAAAAGCAAAACAAACCAGCACCTTGACGAAGCTTGTAGAGTACTCAACCGAAGTGTTCAAATCTCGAAAAACTAAACATTGAAAACGAAAACACATTTGAATGAAAAGAGTCGCAAACACTTTCAGGTAACGCAAAAGCAGACAAACGAAGAGTCTTACAGAAAGTTAAACAGATGAAATACAGCAAATAGATCAAATACAGCAACATAGAAACCATAAGAACCCATAATCCAGCAAGCTACATTCATATACATATTTAAAAAATAAAAAAAAAAAAACCCTTTCATTTCTATGTTTGTACAACCATAAAAAGAATGCTCATGAATTCTAAACCCCTACAACTTAAAATGAAAAACCTACTACAATATCAGAAAAAATACGTGTATTTAAATTATGTATGTCAACCATCATCGTCTTCGTCCTCTTTATCGTCTCGAGAAGCATTTTTCACTCCGGCTCTATCTGTCAAAGGAAACCCAAGTAGAGACATAATGAGCCATTTTTATTAAAAATATCAGTATATCCAGTCTGTGAGTGTAAAAATACAAGAGGGTGAGAGAGACTAAATGAGAAGGTAAAGACCTTCCTCAATCAGTATATCCAGTCTGTGAGTGTAAAAATACAAGAGGGTGAGAGAGACTAAATGAGAAGGTAAAGACCTTCCTCATCATCATCTTCATCGATTAACATGAATTTTCTCTTTGTATTCTTCATTGTGGGTAAGTTGGGAAACCTTCAAACACCAAAATGGCCAAATGGGTTTTCTCTTTCTCCGTTACCTGATTCTGCTCTGTTGGACTTCAGAGCTCGATGGCAAAAGAAAAGCTTTTGTCGAGTATATATTGTTTGCGGAAAAGATATAAACAGCCAAAAACTGAGATCGGGCCAAAAAAAAAATATCACACATTTTGCATCCTTTTACAAAATTGCCACTAGAGGATTTCGTGGCTTATGATCATACCACGTCAGAATAAACTTACAGAGTGGAGTTAAATGACGATATGGCGCCATTTGGACGACGGGAAATGAAGCGAGTCACTTGGCTCCATGAGATTTTGAGAAGGGCAGAAGAGACAATTTACTGGTAAAGAACATAAGGTGACCGTCTTCGGCCGTCGCGTGGCAAAATCAACCTTTCCACGACAAAGGCATGAATTAGTAGTAATTTATTCAGTCTCAGAATCCAGCGGGTGCTTATCGGGTCGGATATTGCAATGTATGACCCCGTTGGTCAATTAGGAAAAATTAACATAGATCCCCGTGGCTTATGAAATACAATTAATCCCTTTCTATCTTTTTTATTATATACTAATTTATTTTTATATTTGCTTTTTTTTATACTATGAGGTCTTATTGTCTAATTTTTATATTTTTTCCGTTAAGTCAACAAGAAAATATAGAAGTCAAATAATAAATACTAAAATATTATACTAAATAAATTACAGTGCAATTTTATAATTTGAAAAATACAATTAATTCATCCATGTGTTTTTATAAAAAAATGATATTTTTATCATTTTATAAGGTACTTAATGGAAAAAATACAAAATTTGGACAAAAGAATAGTCCGACAGAAGTAATCTATAAAGATATTTTAATATATTTTCTAAAAGACAATGATGTATTAGTTGTATTCCGCAAACCACTAGAATCATACTTTAATTTTTCATAAAAATTAATATCCATTAGATATTTATTTCGTGTGAAATTTGGATTGGAGTAGATGGAATCAAACATAAAATTAGGGGTGTAAAACTAAATCATTACACGAGAATATAATTTGCCTAATATAAAAATTAAATGGATTAAAATTTATGGGATGATATATAATACCCTTAATCTATTTGATGTGATAAATGGTGCATTAATTATTTTAGGATGTTGGGCCTTGGTGCAGTTTGCAAACCCAGGTTATTGATCGTTCTGAAAATTGTTCTGGGCTTTTCAGCTTCTGTCCAGTCTCGTTTCACGGGCTAAACCTCATCTATGAAATGGATATGTACGAATTGGTCTGTCTATAATTTAAAGAAGGTATAATATGTATTTTTTAACAATAAAAATAATTAAATATATTTATGGGTGTGTTAGAGACTTATTAATTCAAAATTATTATCAAATTGAGAGTGGGAGCAGTTAATTGTAGTGCACGTTTGAGTGAGATTAGTTAGTTAGAAGACAAATCAAGAAAGGAGAAAGCAAGTTTTCTATTTCTATACAAGCCGTGCAACAGTAAAAAATTAGTCTCGTTGACAAATAGAGAAAAAGTAAAAAGTAAAAAGTAAAAATAATGCCCTGGGGGTGGTTGTTGAAAGTTAAAAGCAGCATTAGGATTAAAAACAAGTAGCTACACTTCACCATGCACTTTATTAGGTTTATCGATTTAGCTTTTGAAAAATATATTGAGTTGATTGTTTTATTATAAATTCAAAAATTTATTTACCGATGAATTCCATTTAAAATTCTATGTGTAAATATATTCCGTATTTTGAATTTATTTATACTGAATAGAGAGAGTAAATTTTTTAAATTATTGAAATTTTTATTATGAACATTATTAAGATATTTACTTCATTAATTGATATAGTATATCATTTCTAAAATTATATTTATTATTTTATGGCGACATTGTAAAGTGAAATCTATTTCATTATAGTAATACGATAAAAGCTTAAACTCACGATATCGTAAAAATGCTTTTCTTGAGAAATATTTTCTTGATAAACAAACAAACCTGATTAAACGAAACAAAATAAAACCAAATTTTGAATTCAAATGGTATTACAATAGATTAATTAGAAGTTGCAAACAATGCAGAAATTCTAACTTATTACTTATAAGATTCCATAACAGCCCAGATACCATGAGCAACACAAGCAACACGAAAGTTAGTAAAGCCAGCAGCCTTAGTCAAGGCCTCAAATTCTCTTGCAGTTCTCTCTTTACCACAAGGTTGGGTTAACATAGTATTGTCAAGTCTTGAAACATACTGTGAAGCTTTGCTTGTCTCTGGCTCTTCTGGTAATAATGCATTCAAAATTACGAGTTTCCCATTTTCTGGCAATACTTCATAAATGTTCTTCAACACTCTCACCACATCGTCATCTCTCCAATTATGACATGTATCCTGTGCAAAAGTAACATCAATGTCTAATTATATTTTCTTTCCAAAGTCTTCCCTACCACTATCTTATCTTCCCTATCACTATCTTTTGGGTCCAACCATAGAGGTTTGCAAACGGGGTGGTTTGGTTCTGAACCGAATCGAACCACAAAAATTGAAAATCGAAAATACATTTTATTTGAAATCAAATCAAACTGGAATAAATTTGAAAATCAAATCAAACTAGTCGCTTCAGTTAGTAGGCTTCGATTTGATTTTACTTAGAAAATAAATGTTTTGAAATAATGGATCCATAGACTGAAAACCAAAATTATGAAAAATTTTAAACCGAAGTCAAAAAACCGAAAACTAAATAATCGTACCAAAAACAATTTCGTACGGTTTGTTTTTTGTTTTTTCCAAAGTTTGCTCACCAAAGGGACAAAGCTTAATGGAGGTTTAAGGGGCCCGCGCCACCTAAGAATGTTTTTTAAAAAATATTCTTTGTAAAAAATTACACTTTTAGTCCTTAAAAATGTAGAAAATTCATATTTAGTCCGCTTAAAAATATTTTTTTGACTCTTCAAAATAGTTATCCTAGCTGCACCCCCGAGTCCAATTAATAAATAAATTCCAAACATGTATCAACATAACGAAAGTATTTCTAATCATATATTTGAAAAAAAAAAGTTGAAATATTTTTAAAAAAATTTTTAATTTTATTTGTTAAATGGAGTCTCAGACCTGATCTACATAAGTAATTTCCATTTCCATGATTTCCTGCAAGGAAGAGTCAAGATTAGTATCTTCACCTTTATCATAATGGCATCTCCTTTTGGAACACATGTGAGCATATTTCCACCTATATGCTGGATCCCTGCATTGAAAATATATTTTCATCACTAGCTATAATTAAAATAAATAAATTGAACATTATATAAAATGGTGATCACAATTAAGTTTAAAGAAATAATTAATTACCGGTGTAAGGTGGTGCACTTTGGATGACATGAGGAAGATCATAGTTAATGCCTTTAATGGAAGGATACTTAGAGATGATCATATTAAGGGTTCTACCAGTTCCACCACCAACATCAACCAGTGAAGTGAGTCCTTCAAATCCTTTGTATTTGGCTAGTATTCCATTCATAATAACAGAAGAAAGACCAGCCATTGCCTGGTTGAAGATGGTGTTGAATTCTGGATCTCTGTTCATGTACTCAAATATAGACATCCCATGAACTTTCTTGAACAGATTTCCACCTTCAAGAATTGCGTCCTTCATATTTAACCTGTACAAGAAAAATTATAACTCTACGACTGCTGAAATCGAACTCAGTTAAAAAAAAAAAGGAGAAATCATTTAAGGATCAAATTATCATACCAGACCTCCACAGTGGCTCTAAGGTAGGAAAGGGAAGACAAAGAAGAGATGTTGCCTTCTTCAACGCTGCCAATAAAGAATTTACAGGCGGGTGTGAGCCCGTAAAGTTTCTGAACGCTGCCATCTTTGAGCGTTCGAGAAGAGTAGGAGAGGAGGGAGTGAGAGGCAAAGAGATGAAGCATACGGTCAAGCATAGAAGGAGCATCGGGATTTGTTGTAGGAAGCTGAGAAGCAATCTCAGAAGCCGAAACAAAAGCTCCAGGGCCTGCTTTGGCTTTGTAGGAAGCTGAGAAGCAATCTCAGAAGCCAGAAGCCTGAAAACAAAGCTCCAGGGCTGTTGGCTATGATACCAAATAGATTAAGCTCTATGGCTGTGTGAAGAACAAAAAGGGAAAGACATGAGAGCTAGAGAATATCATAGCATGTTAGACATGCTTCCTCGTCTATTCTGGTTTTTCTGCTAAAACTCATCTTCGCCGCTAGCTCTGGCCACTGCAGCTTTGGCTCCACTTAATGTGGTGTCCTGTAACGTAAAAGCCAAATTGCATGGTAAGAGGCAAGAAGGCTATGATACCAAATAGATTAAGCTCTATGGCTGTGTGAAGAACAAAAGGGAAGACATGAGAGCTAGAGAATATCATAGCATTTAGACATGCTTCCTCGTCTATCTGGTTTTCTGCTAAACTCATCTTCGCCGCTAGCTCTGGCCACTGCAGCTTTGGCTCCACTTAATGTGTGTCTGTACGTAAAGCCAAAATATGCATGGTAGAGCAGAACAAGATTGCGGTTAATTATAGCTAGCAACGCAACTACCAGTCTCCTATCTGTAAGTTAAATGAAAAATTATTATTTAAATATGTATCTAACTTTTTAAATACTCATAAAGAGCAGATCAAAATAGTAAATCACGTTTTAGTTTAACAAATGATCTCTACTTGAATATTATAGGCAAGGTTAATATATTAATACCTAGAAGAGTATCATTTGAAGCTGTCATAAATTGATTGGTTACAACCAGAGGCGGAAAAGGGGGACTAGAGCGAGCCCGGCTCCCGAATTCCAAAATTTTTAAATTTTGACCTCCTTGATTTTGATTTTTTTTTTTTTTTAATTAATTGCATTGCAGAGATAACTTATTGATAATCACATATCCCTTCCAATTACATTACTGAGTACCAATACATATGCATGAATTGATAGACAATATATAGTTATAAATCACTTTAAATAGTTATTATATATTTGAATTTGATTAATTAATAATATTGTTAATTGGATTAATCTATTTATTTAATATAGCTTTAATTATATACTATAGAGTATAGAGTGACAAAAAAAAAAAAATGGTAAAAATAAATAATAAACAAAAACAACTGGTAATTCTTTTATGCATGCTCACTTACTTTATTATTATCTTCCATTCTCATTTCTCTCAATCCAAATCTAACATTCTAACCTTCCATTCTGAGCCTATAAATATATTTTTCAGTTGGATGATTATTAGTATCATTGATGAATGGTTTAGAAATAATATTGACGGAGGCATTTTTATATTTTCATTTAAAAATTTTTATATATTGTTTATTGTATAAATTATAAAAATAAATATTTTCATTCAGATAAAATTTTATTTGCAAATTCGTAAAAGAAATTTGGTTGGAGGAATAAATTGAAAATCTAATAAATTTTCAATCAAACAAAAATAATGATTACTATTTTACCTGAATAATATATATATATATATATTTTGAGTACTGAGGAAAGGCGGATTCAAACTTAAATTTATAACTAAAAAGTATATGCACTTACCACTAGGTTATGCCTTAGTGTGCTTTAATTTTCTTTTATTATTTCGTATTTATATTACTTGTATATTTATGTGAATATGGTCATTTTTAATATTATAAATATTCTATGATAACATATCCTTTTGTAAAATAATGCAATTATAAAGATGTTCATGACATTTATTACGTGATTAATATCATGAATTCTATAATTCCAAATATTAACTTTATATAATTATAGATATGTATTATTCTATTTGTATTTATTTAACTTATGACTAAAAGTTTATAAATAGAAACTTCACATAAAGCTTGGTGTAAAAATGAAATTGAAGTTCTTCGTAAATATTATTTTTTATGTTGTCATGATTGAAGTATTTCTCGTATTTTTTTTTTAATTTTATAATAAAACCGTCTAATATTTATATTTTATAATTGATTTTTATATAATAATTTTATCATAGACACGCAACGCTCTTCCATTTCATTATAATTATAATTATATACTACTATCCCTAAGTCTAAATCCTTTATCCAAATTAAAAATGGAAAAATAATAAAAAAAATGAGAAAAAAATATTACGCAAGGAAAGTGACTCTAAACTGGTGCTGTCGTATCGTTGGAGTTTACTTGTAAAGTTCTGCAAACAGGTTAACTTTGTTGCGCGAGGCACAGGAGGACAAGAAGTATTTTAGTATTGTCTACGTGGCGACTAATGATAAGTCCTTCTTGTACGATAGTGAACGGAATGTCACCGTATGGCATCCGAGAAAATTGAACTTTTCTTTCCACGCGTTTGGTTTTCGAGAAAGTGTCACAGCTCGGGAAAATTTCAACTCTTATTTTCTTTTTCCCGAGAAAAAAAAAACCCTAACCCTTGCCCTAATGCATCAAATGAAATCTAACAGTTTCCCTCTCTAATCATCTGCGATTCCTCTTCCGGCGATCCTCCGGTCACCGATCTGACAGGCTCTCATTTCTCTAAGGTCTCTTTCATTTGTGATATATACATATTCTGGCTTCTAGTTTAATTTAGAAAAATCTTTTCATGCGGAGTGCTTTGTATCTGTGAAGTTGATGATTATGGCTTTTCTATTTTCATCTTTGTTCTTCTTGGGAGTTCATTTTGGTCTTAATCCTAAATACATGTTTTATTTTGAATTTATATGATAGTAAAAAATGTTTGAATCATTTTTTGAGCCAGAAAAAACGAAAAGAGAAGTTGAATAAATTTGTTTCCTTTTGCTAGTAAACTGAAGGGGCTTGCTGATATCTTTGAGATGCCAGCTTGGTGTCACTGCCCGTCTGAATATGGATTGTGGAAGATGAATACAGTGATTGTTATACTTGTCACTAGGTCAAATTGTTATGTTGGTAGCATTTTATCTGTTTTGTTAAGGGCATGGATTTAGTTTATATGTGAATTTATTGACTGCTCAGTGGAGGTAACAAGATCAAGTGGCAATATTGTAATATGGGGCAATATTGCTGTTTCCTCTCAAGGTAACTAAGTATTCTTGGTGTTCCCATGAAATTTCCGAAGGAATGAAAATCAAGATGCATGGGTGTAGATATTGAGGCTGATTCTTTGTTTATGACCAAATCGAATCTGTTCTATTTTGTCCAAATGCATGTAGATTCATGTAGACTCATTGTCTTACAGAGAGAACCTCTCAACGGTTTTGCCCTTTCTCCTCCCACTGGAACAAACATTTTTAATTTTGTTTCTATCGGACACAACATCGCATTTCAGAGCTTGTAGATTGTCTGCAGTTCTGTTATTATTAGACTCATTGACTGCCTTGTGGCCTAGTCAATATGAAGATGCCTTTATTGAAGAGCGATAGCTTTTGTCTAAGATCCTCCCCAGCTTTTGGAGTTCTCTATTAGTCATCTAAGCAGAAAATTTACTGGCTTACTTGCACCATTATCTGATAATGTCAGTGGAATTAATTGAGTATCATGCAGCTCTACTCTCTCTCTCTCTCTTATTTTTTCTTTTTTTTTACTGTGAGCATGTTGTTCATGTGCAATCACAGTTTGGTTTGTGCAGTATACTTCCTATATAACATGAATAATTCATTCTTGTTTTTGGATAACCTGCTTGATCTTGCCAGAAACATAAAGTCTTCGTACTTTGGATTTGCTCGGATATGTACACTGACTATGTACTATTGAGATATTGAATCACGTTATTGTATTTTGTTCTTAATTACTTCATTTTCATGATTTGTTTGTTTAATGAATTTTTAACTTTATTGTTTTCCGTAGTACGCTTTTGGTGATAGACTACTCTTTTAACAGTCGTTAAACTCTGTTTTAGTGCATGGAATAAATTCATAAATCTATTTGTTTTTCATTGTGTCAGTAAATGGACCACTATGACTTGCAAGCACAGAGAAGGGAGATGAAGCATAAAGGAAGAAATGTTGTTTGGTCTATTGCTATGGACAAGTGCCTTATTGAAGCTCTTGCTATTCAGGCTAGAAATGGAAATAAAATAGATAAATGTTTTAATGAGAATGCATATACTGCTGCTTGTATTGCTGTAAATTCTCGCTTTAATTTGAACTTGAACAATCAAAAAGTTGTTAATCGCCTAAAAACAATTAAGAAAAGGTACAAGGTAATAAGGGATATGCTAAGTCAAGATGGATTCAGGTGGAACCCCAGCACAAAGATGATTGAATGTGATAGCGACGATCTTTGGAAGAGATACATTGCGGTATGCCTTCATTTCTTACTTCTATCATTTTTATGTAGATGTTTCCTTCCACGCACTTGTTTACTGCTTTGGGTTGGTGTTTTTCAAACATGTTGAATAGGCACATCCTGATGCAAAAGGAGTTCGAGGAAAGCAGATTGAGATGTATGATGAACTAAAAATTGTTTGTGGAAATTACCAAGCCCCCAGTCGTTGGGCTAAGATGAAAGATGGAGGTCATCTGGCAAAGAATTTTGAAGAAGATTCTCCTTCCTTCCTATCACAAAGTTCAGAAGATGTGAGTGAGACTGATGGAACAGAATCTTATACGGGACCGCCAGATTGTATACCAGATGGTAGTCAAGAACCTCCTCTCATCCAGCCTATCAGACAACTCCCCAAACGTGTCCGTGGATCAGAAGCTCTTCAAGATGCAATGTTGGCAGTGGCATCGAGTATTCGACGTCTGGCTGATGCAATGGAGCACAACAAAGTTACAGTCGATTCATCAGAACTACTACAGGCTGTGATGGAGATTGATGGCTTAGAAGAGGCTAAACAAATGTATGCTTTTGAATATCTGAATGCTGACCCCATTAAAGCCAGAGCCTTTATGACGTATAATACCCGAATGAGGAAGATATATTTATTTCGACAATTTTGGTGGTGGAAGTGACACGTTGCATACATACTTTGCAAATTTAAGAAAGAATTATTTGATGAATGTTTGCACATTAAACCTTAATTGATGTTTGGAGGTGAATGTACAGATACTAGATGATTTCAGGATGAAAGTTTAGAGCTAGAAGCTGGTATTGTAGAGACATTGACCAGCCTCTTTGCCGTGTCTTTTTGAAGTGAAGCTAGCGCTTTGTTGTAAGATCATCACTTCTTGCTTTGTCCTTTTAAAGAGGTAAGGTGTTGCTCTTTGATCTCTTAGTTTTGAACACATCTGCTGAAATTCCATCGCGTGGCCCTCCCATGGAATTTAATGTTCTAGTTGGTTGCCATCAAATACGTCAAGTTAATGTCAACTGTTTATTACTCTGCAATCATTACTTTCATCAGTGATAAGTTTTTGGGTAGTCTATTTGTCAATCTTCCATGAAATTTCAGTTTTCTGGTGGATGGGACTGAGTTGAATATGGCTAGTTAAAGTTGGGCGTTTATCCTTGAGTCTGTATCTAAGAAATCATCTGGCTGGTTGGTGTTGTATCAATGAAATTTATGGGGTGACAAATGATGGATCATAAATCTTTATTGTTCTCAACTTGTCATTCTTATATTGCATAATGGGGACCCTTTTATTTGTTAGTTAATTGGTCCATTGGTGTGAAGTGAATTTCTGAGCAATCTGAGGAATAATAGGATTTCATTTGAACCCAGGATCTGCATGTTACATTCCTTTATTTCTCTGTCTGAAAATATACAGGGATTAAATAATTAATTTTCTTAAATTATAACAAAACTAAGACAGGAGCACTTAGGAAGCACAAAGCACTAAACTAAGAAACTGGTACATTAGAATCAACTGTAAACTGTTACATTAGAACCCTTGCATTGGGAACATTTCACAACCTTAGAAAGAAAGGATTACTCTGAAATCAAATATCACAGATCAAGACCAGAACCCTCAAGTTTATGCATGCGATTTCATCAAGTTTGTCAGCCATCTCCGGAATGAGATGATTCTTCCAATCTCCGGTAACACCTCTTGGGAAGAATGAACTATTCGGCATGTTAGCCCAAGGATCTACACCATTTTTGTTCACCTCCAAGTTCTTGAGCCTTTGAAAATCACATCTCCTCCAGACCTTGTCAACCTTCTCTTCCTTAGCAAATGGCTTTCCAAGAAATGAAGCCAACTTCTTCACCTGTTCTTTTGGATCACTTTTCAAGTCCTCATACCTGAGGAACATTATCTTCTCAGGTCTCTTAAAGTGCTCCTTCCAGTACTGCAAGACATGTTCAAAGAATGGCCTTCCATGGACACTCCCTTTTCAGAAAGCATCAAACGCATTGTCGAAAGGATAATGACCTTGCTCAGATTTCCACCTGGTGTTAAAGAAATACCACATTTGACACCAAAGTGTGCTTCGGGTTTCTGGTTATGTACACCATCTTGCACTTGGAACTCCTGATGGAATCTGGCAGTGAATTATATTGCGTGAGTGTGAAAGAGCCTCGAAGAAGCTATGCTTGAGAGATCAGGATTAGGGTTATCTTTGTAAACCTGAGATTCAAGAGTTCACACATAGAACGCAGGATGGTTTTTGGCTAGAGGGTCAGTTTCTTCTTCTTTTTCTTCTTCTTCCTCCATGACATTTCTGTTCATGATGCAAAAACAAAGGACCCTGAGCCATGTCGAACCTGTTTTCATGAACGATGCCAATATAATATAATATCATCATCATGCGCTCTGAAGTGGGATTGTACCGCAATCAGTGTCGGGACTTGATATTCTGCATACCAAGCCCCTTCCCATTGGCAGAGATTAGAAATACCCCAAAATCTTTCCCTTGGAAGTTGTTCAAGCAAGGCTTTGGAAAGGCAAGATGAATCCATGGTAAAATGAGTTTTAGTATGCTATAGTGTTAGGATCAGAAACCATATAATAATTGTGCGGGTCACAATTTCTCGCTTTACAGTGGTGTGAAGCAATGTTTTTAAAACCGGATCCGACATCGTACCGGGGTTATTACTAGATTGTAGTTGGACCGAATCGATTCAATTTCACTGGATTTTGACTTTTAAATATAATTTTTGACTTTGATTATATAATTATATAGCAAAACTAAATTTATGAAATACTAAAATGGTATGTTGGATTGTAGTTTCATAACACACCTTATAACTTTAAAAATAAAAAATAAATAGATATTTTTTATTTGTATTTTAATGAATTATTTATAAAGTTAAAAAGTATATTGATGCACAATCTTATAACAAAATAATGATAATATGATTAAAATTGTAAAATTATTTTTCAAGTTATTCTTTTAGATAATATAATATTCTTATCAAATTATAAAGAATTTTCTACATTGAAGTTAAATAATTATACATAAATAAATAATTTTATTATCATTTAATCTCAAATTCAAATTTAATTTAATTTTCAATAAATTATCAAATCTATATTTAAATTTTAACATTTTCCTCCTTTTAAAATATTTTATTTTAATATTGAAAGTAAAAATTATTAAAATTTTAAGATTTTTTTAATATATTAACGAGATATAATGCCTAAAATATTAGGCACTTAATTATGATTTATTAATTGAATATTAAAATTTCTATTATCATTTTTCAAAGTAATTACTATTTTTTTACTAAATAAAAATAAAAAAATAGTTTACACGTCATATATATTAATATAATTAATATTAGTTATATTATTAATACTTAAAAAAATAAATTAAAATTTTATTAATTAAATAAAATCATAACTATTGTAAAAATCTATTGTATTTATTTAAAGATTTTTTTAATATATTAACGAGATATAATGCCTAAAAAATATTAGGCACTTAATTATGATTTTATTTGAATATTAAATTTCCTATTATCATTTTTCAAAGTAATCTACTATTTTTTTTACTAAAATAAAAATAAAAAAAATAGTTTACCACGTCATATATATTAATATAATTAATATTAGTTATATATTTTAATAACTTAAAAAATAAATTAAAATTTTATTAATAAATAAAATCATAAACTATGTAAAATCTATTGTAATTGTAGTTATATTATTAATACTTAAAAAAATAAATTAAAATTTTATTAATTAAATAAAATCATAACTATTGTAAAAATCTATTGTATTTATTAACGCCATAAATCAGTTTATTATTTAGAAAAAAAAAACTACGCTATTTTTTATTAATTTTTAATTTTTTTTTTAGAAAACTCTTGCCATTCTAAATTATTTGTACAAGTTACTAGATAACTTTATACGTATATATGCATTGATTGCACTGATAATGGTCGAGGACACATTGGGTGAAGTAAAAAAACAAAAATGTTAAAAAGTCAAAAACCGGGTTTGACCGGGTCAATTCGGTTTTCCGGTTCAAACCGGTTTTATTCGGTTTTCATACCTGTCCACTTTACATGTCGAACCAGATCGGACCAACTTTCGGTTCGAGGTTGAACCGGTCAAACCGGCCAGGCCGGTCCGGTGTGAAGCAAGTGTAAGCTACAGAGAGGGAAAGACCGAAAGGTTTGTGGGTCAAGCTGTAGCTACTGCCTACTGCCTACCGCCTAGTTTGCAGGTAAGCATTTCATCCGATAGTACAACAGCAGAAGGTGATGGAACACAAAACAAACTATAAAGCAGATGGCTGTCGGCAGCCATGAAGAAGACATGAATAGAGATACAAGACGGGGCTGTTTTGCTAGACCTGGTATTGACTATTGAGTTTGAGGGAAAAAGAGCAAAAAAAGTGAAATATTAGATGTTTTGGACATGCATACCAGTGGCAAGAATGGAAATGAAATAGGTTAGTATGAGATGGTACCGTTGGATGCTAGCTTGACAAAATCAAAACAAGTTGATATGTTCAAATACTTATGACACTATTCCAACTACCTTTTTCCCCCAACATGAAATATGATAATTCATTTAACATGGGAGAAGAATTACACAGAGTCAAAAGATACATTCATAAAAATCAAATTCAACTAGTAAGCAAAAAAGGATCTATTAAATACATAACGAAAATATCAAAATACACAACCCAAATAGAGATAAAATCAATGAAATGTTAAGAAGTGATGCAAATGATGATACTTTTGGGGAGGAAATGATGCTGTTCATTTATTTATGATTTTTACAGCCATTATAATGTTGTAACTAAAAATAAAAAACAAATTTGCTAATGGTGCAGCAAGTAACATTGCTGATTCACTCAATGCATCAGTTTATACATGTAATATTGATCAATCATTCATCATAATACATTTCAAAATTTTTTTAGGTCTGCCTGCAGCACAGCATGAGCTTTTAATGCCATTAAATTAATATCATAGCATATGAATGAAACCTTTAGTGACGTCTAATTACAGGAGATTAGAAATACCTTTAGTCACATAGCTTGAAAACATAGCATGTACCTTCCAAGAGAAAACCTTGTGGTTTTTGTTATTGAAGATTTCGATTATGAATAGGTTGTACATGATAGCTTAATCATGGATGATACACCAAAGATTCAGAAGAAAAGGGCTGAGAACTCTCAGAAACCTTATGTACCTCTAAGCCTCTTGGCCTTTAAAAATTATAGCTGGTAGTGGTTGTATACAAATAATCAAGAATCAAGACACTTGAGGAGCCAAATTCACCAATAATCTCCACATGAACAGTATCCATTCTTGAAGTGGTGAAACCTGTGCATATCACGCACTATGATTTCCCGCCCAGTCACAAGTGAAATGTACTTTGTCGCACTATGGCAATCACCACAGACTCGGAGATTCTTCCGAATATGTATGGTCGTTCCTGGGCTTGTATTCAGAAGTCCAAAGGCAATAGCCAATTTCTCACTATGCGTATTCAGCAGCTGCTCCTTAACATCATCTTCCACATCATGTATTGAACTGGTGTCCGGCACATAACCAGCAGCCTTGATCTTGCCAACTAGCGTCTCGAGGAAAGCATAGATCTCTTTGGATTGGGGATGGCTTATACCGCCAGAATAGAAACTATGAATCTCATTTCTTAATTCCACTAAACTGCAACCAGGTGTTTTCTGAAGTCCTTTCTTTCGCATCATAGTTCTTACTTCAGCCAGTTTCTCCCACATTGAAGCTGTGGCATATATGTTTGCAAGCAATACATGGTATCCACCCTCATCTGGATTCAACTCAAAGAGTTTGTTTGCAGCCTTCTCCCCCAGCTCAACATTCTTGTGAATTTTGCAAGCACCCAGCATTGCACCATAAACAGTTATTTCTGGCTCAACGGGCATCTTCTGAATAAAATCCCAGGCCTCATTGAGCCGGCCAGCTCGACCAAGAAGGTCAACCATGGCTCCATAGTGATCCATTGAGGGCTCTAGTCCATAATCATTCTTCATGCTGGCAAAGTATTGCAGGCCTTCTTCCACCAAACCTGAGTGGCTGCAAGCAGAGAGAACACAGAGAAATGTAATATCATTTGGCTTGATAGAGCCCCTTTCCATTTCCCTGAAAAGCTCTACAGCTGCTTTTCCAAGCCCATGTGTCCCATAAGCATCTACCATCGCATTCCAAGTTATCACATGCCTTTCACTCATCATGTCAAAGAGCTTTCTTGCAGTGTGAATGGCTCCACATTTTGAATACATATCAACAAGAGCAGTCATCACGAAAACATTTTTGTCTAAAAATCTTCGAATAATAACTCCATGAATCCACTTTGCCTGACGCGGAATAGATAGCTCTGCAAGAGCAGGAATCACACTCACCATTGTGAATGAATCTGGTTTTATATTCCTAGATTGCATCTCGCAAAAGGAATTTAAGGCCTCGTCTACTAGCCCGTTTTGAGCATAACCTAATATCATGGCGTTCCAAGATACAAGTGTTTTATTTTGCAGGTTTTTAAATATATTGGCAGCGATATCAACCCTCTTGCATCTGGAATACATTGAAATCAAAGAGTTCATCACAGAAACATTAGAGTCTAGCTTCAATTCATCCACTAGTTTATGGACAAACTTCCCCTGCTCAAGATCACCCAAATCTGCACAGGCATGTAAGACTTCCATAAGAGTAACATCAGATGGTTGAAACCCTTCATCTAGCATCTTCTGAAATAGCGCCATTGCTTCCTGAGGATCTCCACTCTGCACACACCCATCAATCATTGAATTCCACGTAACAACAGTCCTACGATTCATCCCATCAAAAATCACTCTAGCAGTCCCCACTGACTCGCACTTGGAATACATATCCACCAGTGCAGTTGAAGTATTCACAAGAGATTCAAAACCAGCTCTGATAACATATCCATGAATTGCCTTGCCAATTCTCAATGATTTTATATTGGCGACTGCAGGCAAAATGGAAACAATCGTGATTGAATCTGGCCTATGCCCTTCCTCAAAAATCCTTGGAACCAACTGTAACGCAACCTCGGGCAATCCATTTTGTGCATACCCAGAAATAATCGTATTCCAACAAACCAAGTCCCTTTCAGACATTCTGTCAAACATCTTATATGCATCGTCAGTTTTTCTGCATTTCGCATACAGATTGACAACCCCAGTCATAGCGAACTGATTCCAGGAAAGCCCACTAGTTATCAATTGCCCGTGAATCTCTTTACCTCTCCTAAGATCCGAATTATCACCGCAAAGTTTCAACAAATACGTAAAATTATATACAACAGGTTCAACATTATCATGCTTCATTCGACAAAAAAATGATAAGGCAGCATCTAAAGATGAGTTCTTGGCATAACCTTTGAGCATAGTGTGATAAAGGGCTTCTAATTTATCGTCAACATGTTCAAAAACACAGGCCGCTTCAGTTAAGCTACCATACTTGCAGAAAAGGCTAACAAGCTTGGTTTGGAAGAGCTCTTCGTTGTAGAAGCCGTTTTTGATGATAAGTGGGAGGATTTGGTGGAGTTCTTTAATGGAAGTACAAAGTTCTAAAAGAATGGCAGCTGGGTGTTTGTATATGTAAGCAGGAATGTGAATTCTCTTGGAAAGAGTGGGGGAAGCAGAAGAGCGTGTTTTGGAGTAGAGCGGTGAAGATGGTGGCGTTGGTGTTGAAGCGAAAGGCAAGAGCTGTGAGCTCATCTCTCTCCCGCGTCCTCACAATGTTGTCCTCGCTCCCAGCAACACTACAGTTATAATCAATTTGTCTGTGGAGGGAAAAAAGTTTCGAATTACGATTTTTCTGAAATGGATAAATAGAAAAATATGAAGTGTATGAAGGATTTAATAGTATATGCTTGCTGGTTCAAAAATTATAATCCCAGGTATTTTTCATTGAATAATTAGTCAAATTCTATACTTTTTTTATTTCATATATATCTTTAAAAATTATATATTAATAATTCCTTAAATTTTTAAAATAGCATAAATAATTTATCTAGATTTTAAAATTAATTTTCTTAAATTTTTTTTCACTATCACTATATAATAAATTTCACTAATATTAATTTTTCATAAATATTTCCAAAACTATAAATGTATTATTATTTAGGATACCTAAAAAGAAAACTGGACTATAATTTTAGAAGGAAAACTATATAATATTTTTACGATAATAATATAAAATTTATTAATCGCTCGATTCGTAATATTTCCTTCATCAACTTTTTTTTATTCACCAAAGGTCGAATAATCTGAAATAACACAAGAGATTATATAATAATGGTAGCATATCCTTACCAAATTGGTAAAGAATATTTTGCTTGAGAAAATTTGAATTCAAAATCTATTATTTTTCACATGAGTGAAAAAATCAATTAGGTCACACTCGATCGATCGGATTCATCCCAATTTGACTTGTATAAAGATTTATAATCCTTTATCACCACAATTAATATAATGTTGATACTCATACGTTGAGAGGAAGGAATTTCCTAAAAAAAACAAAGGAATCAAGTATTCTCTTAATCAGAAACTTAAGTGAAATTTCCGGATCGGCTTTGATATAAGAAAATACGGGTTGATTACGGTTTGATTTCGATTCGATTCGAACCGATAGCATGCCTACGTGCTGAAAGCAGAAGAAAAAGACACGCGTGCATGTATATTTTGCCCGTCAGGTAATTGGGCTCGTTTTTGATTATCAAAACATTAATCTAAATAGCAAAAGAAATAAACTGTACGCGCAAACCCATTTCTTCTTCTCCTAAGCTACCCCGTAGTCGGGTCTCCTCCAGTTTACTCTTCTTCTACCTCTTTCTCTAGAATCCAACCCATCGCCGATCGACCCAATGGTGCCACCACCGGCAACTCAACCGAATCACCAGGCGACTCAACAATTTCTTTCTTCAGTTCTCTCTCAACGCGGCCCCTCCTCTCTCCCTTACACTGAAGACACCAAATGGTTAATTCGACAACACCTCCTCGCTCTCATCGCTACCCACCCTTCTCTCGAACCTAAAACTGCTACCTTTACCCACAACGATGGTCGTTCCGTCAACCTCCTCCAAGCCGATGGCACTATTCCTATGCCGTTTCAAGGTGTCACTTACAACATTCCCATCATAATCTGGCTCATGGAATCCTACCCTCGCCACCCGCCTTGTGTCTATGTGAATCCCACGCGCGACATGATCATCAAGCGACCTCACCCTCATGTTAACCCTTCTGGCTTAGTTTCTGTTCCGTATTTGCAAAATTGGATTTACCCCAGCTCTAATCTCGTCGATCTAGTCCGTGAATTAGGCGGGGTTTTTGGCCGTGATCCTCCTCTTTATTCTCAACGCCGCCCGAACCCTAACCCTAGTCATAGCCCCAGCCCTAGCCCCTCAATCAATTATGGTGCCAATCAATCCAATTTATCGCATTCGTCGAGTTTCGGATCCGTTGGGCCCACTGGAGGACATGGCGGATATCCACGTCCGATGAATAGGCCGTACCCGCCATCGCCATACGGGGGTACCAGTGGTCAGCCAACGCGTCCACAAACGGAAGATGCTGCGGAGGTTTATAAGAGAAATGCGATCAATAAGATTGTGGAGACAGTTCATGGGGATATTTTGCAATTGAGAAAAGCAAGGGAGGCGGAGATGGAAGGTTTATTCAGTGCTCAGGCTGTGTTGAGGAGGAGAGAGGAAGAGATTAGTAAAGGACTTAAGGAGATGCAAGATGAGAAAGAGGGTTTAGAGGGGCAATTACAGGTTGTGTTGATGAATACAGATGTTCTAGAAGCTTGGTTGAGAGAAAATGGTGGGAAAACAAAAGGGAATACAGGGGCCTTGGATGTGGACAATGTGTTTGAGTGCACTGATCCTCTATCAAAGCAGATGTTAGAGTGTACAGCAGCAGATTTAGCAATTGAGGATGTGGTTTATTCCTTAGATAAGGCAGTGCAGGACGCAGCAGTGCCCTTTGATCAGTACTTGAGGAATGTAAGATTGTTGTCAAGAGAGCAGTTTTTCCATCGGGCTACTGCTGCCAAAGTAAGAGCTGCTCAGATGCAGGCTCAGGTTGCTAATATGGCTGCTAGGGCGCCACATTATGCTAACTGAATGAGTAATGGTGTTTGTGCTACATTTTGTAGCTATTCAAAAGATATTGTATGAGATATAGTAAAAGGTTAGATTCTTATTAAGAACTGTTTTATACTTTTCTTTCTCTTTTAATTTTTTTTCTTGTTGTTACTGCTGCTTATTGATTTGTATTGATAGGAAAATAATACAAATTTTCTCTGAATTATATTGCTCTCATTCAGTGATTGATTTGTTGAAACTCATTATTTTGAGTCATGTAAATTCGTATATGAATTTTAAGATTCTAGTCAAACAGGTGTGATTCTTATGCTACTATTGGACTTAAATTGGGATAATCTTTGAAAAACAATGTATGCCGTTTTACTAGTTATAGTTTTTGATATGCATTTTGCATTATTAGCTAGTCATTAACCTTATGAAATATCGCAAAAACTATGTTGACCATATGTGTTTATGTGTGTATATATGTGGCCATAGATTTTCTAATGTCTTTAGAGGAGAAAAACCAGTTTATGAACTTGTTCGATCATGAAGTCAATTTTCCCACTTCCCCCTCAATCCTAATATTCTATTTAATTAATCGCAATTATTTTTTAACCTTTATCAAGTAAAAGTAAAATGTGTTGCAGTTGCTTGGGTAATATCTTATAGTTCTATTGATCCATGTTAATTAATAATTAATGGGAAGAAAAATACAGATGCTAAATCCTTCTCTATGCTATGTCTCTGTTATTACCAAAATTATTTACCTGATTGAAAAATGGAAAAATGTGTTTAAAATTGTGATTATGAATGGACAGAATTTATTACATAGGTTCTGAAGGTGTTGACATTGGAAAAGATCTTAGATTAGTAGCACAAGTTCTTAGTCAAGTTGCTGTTCTTGTTAAGGTAAAACAGTTCTTGCTATAGTACAATTGTGTTGCAAAATTGAGATTAGGAGACCTGGTTTGTGCCTTGTATCTAGGAGTGGTACCAAATAAGGCCATCTTGCTTAACATATGCTTACAATCTGTGTTTGGTGTGCCTGATGTTTATATGTATAATTATGTTGAAAAAAGGGGCATAGTTGATCCTGTTAGCTCTATAAATATATGTAAGGCATCTAATTTAAGTCAGCAAGATGACATTCATTTTTGTTGTGCCATTGTTACTGAGAAAGAATTATATTGCGAATTCATTTGTTAAGGCTGAGCCTGTTCAGTTCTGCTCCATTTTCTGGTGTGAATTTCTCGTAATTGAAGTGCTCTGGTAGACTAGGATAATATTTAGTGTGTCCAAGAGGAGCTTCTCCAACATTTATTTCTATTCATCCATGTTTTGTCTATTAATATTCAGAAGCAAAAACCAAGGTATCAATGTATTACTTGTGCATGATCATCATGGAGTAAAGTTTTGCATTGTATTTGTAGCAGTTTACACTGAGTCGAGGTTTGTCGAATGCTATGAACAGCCAATTCCTGTTTCCCATTTTATATACCGGCTCTTGATTCAAGTAACCAACAATGAAATGGTTAGCCTTGTGAATGTTTGATCTGGTGGAGTGTTATCATCAATATCTGTTTTCATATTGAATGGTGGAATTTTATAACGGTTCCAAACATATGAGTTTTGTCATTTCTTTATAGATAATGTCTTTAGCCTTTTTTATTTCTTTGTTCTACTTCTACCTATCGATACTTCCATTCCATATAGTATTAAATTTGTGTAAATAATGTGAATATAAATTAGGAAAATACGCACATATATAGGAAAACAATTAGTGAATGGAATTTAATCATAATCTTTATTTTTCATTAGTCAAAAATAATACTCAAATTTTTAAACAAAAACAGGTTTTCTTAATACATTATTTTCTTCAATCATAATCTTTATTTTTCAATAGATTTTAAAGATTCTTGCCCTCCCATTCTAAGACTAGACCAATGCAAGATTCGTCCCCGTATATTCTTAAAGAACTCGTTTCGCTGCTTGGAAAAGACTCACGTATTTCTTGCCGGCCAAACCTTTGTTTGTTATAATGAACTGTCTTTAAAGCAGCGCCAAACTGTTAGAGAGTTGTTGGCTTTGTGCTATGAGACAAGTCTAATATCAAAGCGGCCATTTGCGTCTTCTTCTAGTTTTGAGGTACGTTAATTCTATTTTCTCCAATTTCAGAGAAAGATGATGACAAAATTCTTGATTCTTGCAATCGTTTATTATTAGAATAAGTCCTAAAAGTTGCAAAGAAATCTGAATATTTTCCATTTTTATAACAGAGAAATCAGAGTTCTCAAACTTGAAAGTCTTTTAAGTTTGGGATTCTGTAAGAAGATAAGATGAGGAATTCAGTCTTAGTTACTCGTTTGGTAGCTTTCCCTACTATAATCATTCTGTCAGTGATTTACACAGATTGCAATTTTTATCCAAGTTGGGGATTTGGTGAAGTCAAGGTGTTGCTCAATCTGGTTTTGGTAAAATATTTCATCAGATAATGGTTGAATCATTAATTTTCTTGAGAAAGTGATGGAAAATAGACTTGACTGTCCTAATTTTATTCTTTCTCCCTTTCCTATTTAACAGATTCAGAATCTCACCAACCTGTTATATTTTCTAATGATGGACTATTGGCTTCGGGGTTTGATGAAGAATCTTGTTTAAGCAGATACCAATCAATCGAATATCGAAAAACTTTGCCTTACAAGCCTTCTCCATACCTTCTTTCAAAGCTACGAAATTACGAAACTCTTCATAAGCATTGTGGGCCTTACACAAAATCCTATGATGAAACCCTAAAAGCAATTGATTCTGTCAACATTTCGAGCCTACAGAGTGCAATTACATAGTCTGGACAGCGCTTGCAGGTTTTGGAAACAGAATACTAACTATGGCTTCAGCATTTCTATATGCTATCCTTACGAACAGAGTTTTGCTTGTAGAACATGAGTCTGACATGGCTGATCTCTTCTGCGAGCCGTTTCCCAATACTTCATGGTTATTGCCTGCAGATTTTCCCTTAAAGAGTGAAATCAGAAAACTCGATGAGCAATACCCATATATTTTTCAGATCCTGGCACAGGAAGAAGACTTCATTGATACATCAGCAGAATCGCTCCCATCAGTTGTGTACTTTTACCTAGCTGCTGGCAAAGACAAAATATTCTACTGTGAAGAAAAGCAACAACTTGTTCAAAAAGTTCCATAGTTGATTCTGAAATCTTATGAATACTTCATTCCATCTCTCTTTTTGATCCCATCTTTCAAGCAAGAAGTAGACAGGATATTTCCTGATAAAGAAACTGTTTTCCATTTATTGGTAAATATCTTTTTAACCCATCAAATAAGGCATGGGGACTGATTACTAGGTTTTATGAGTCTTATTTATCCAAAGCAGATCAAAGAATTGGTATGCAAATAAGAGTATTCAATCCTGAAGCTACATCGTTCCAAGTTCTTACAGATCAAATCTTAGCTTGTAGTCAACAGCAAAATCTGCTAGCACAAGTATATGAAAACAGATCTATAGCCGTCCAATCGAAAAATGGAAGTTCATCAAAATCTGTACTAATAGCATCCCTATATTCAGAATTTTATGAGAAAATGAGAGACACGTACTGGAGATTTCCAACTAAAACAGGAGATTTAACTGGGGTATACCAGGTAAGCCATGAAGAGTACCAGCAATTTGGGGATAATATGCATAATATGAAGGCCTAGGTTGAAATAAATCTAGTAAGTTTGAGTGATATATTGGTTACAAGCTCTATGTCACCTTTGGGTATGTGGCTCAAGGCCTTGGAGGTTTAAAGCCATGGATTCTTAAAGAGCCTGAGAATTGGAAAACATATTATCCAGCTTGCGGTCTAGCCATGTCAATAAAACCTTGTTTTCATGGACCATCCTCATTTGACTGAAACTCAAAGGTCAAAGTTGATATGGGTAATGTTGTTCCTCATGCCAGGCATTGTGAGGATGCACTTTTGGACTGAAGCTTGTTAATAAACTACTACAACACTTCTGTTTAGAAACTATTGAATTTTAATTTCTTTCATGAAAATAAGATAAGCGGCCACTAAAAAATAAAATATAAATTTTCACCAATCAGTGTCCGAAACACAACACGGCAGGTAAGTTTCTTGCAGCTTACCGAGGCAAGGGAAAATTTTCCCTCGTCCTCTATAACAAATTTAGCACCACCAAGACACAAATATATATGAACTGGCGATAGACTGACCAAACTTCAAGTACTCCTCTCCCAAGGTTCAAAGAACATAGCTGTCGTTTTTCATGGATTTTGGACGACAAGTCCAATAATGATGGCCGAATTATACGGTATAGGCCCAAAAGCAGCAGTGGCCCATCTTTCTGGGTGGCGGTAAATCAATATCTGCGGCGGAATCTACTCTCCCGGTTTATGTCCTCAATACACTCAAGGTAATGTCAACTTGGCCACATGGTTACTTCGATAGTGAACAACTGAGGACCTTTTCTTGGATCTCTCTTCTGAAAAATTATTGGGTTTCTCACTTTGTCAATTCTTTCCACTGCAAGAAAATGAAGACCCATGACTTGCAGAGTTTTAGCTGCCAAATTTTAATTAGCTTGATAGAAGCAAATTGACTTTAAACTAAGCTCTGCCCAGTTATTTTTGAGAGAGACTTGTTACATTTTGTATTAATTGAGAGACAAATGCTCATCTTCTTCAATTGTTGGAGAACTTGGTTTCAGTATGCAATGAAGACCTTAGCCTTTTCTGCTTGTTTCATAGCTTTCTATACCATAATCTCGCTTTCAGTCATTTACATAAATCACAAGTTTGATCTAATTGGAGAATTTGCTAAAGCCAAGATTGTTCACGGAAAAGCAGAAAGTGCTACAAAGTTTCTTTTTGGTAAGATCTATTATTTTCTTAAGAAAGTGACAGAAAATTACAGGCTTGATTGTCCTAACATTTTACTTATATCCCACTTTTTACTTCACAGATTCAGGATTTGATGAAGAATCTTGTTTAAGCAGATACCAATCTTTTGTCTATCGAAAACATTCGCCTCACAAGCCTTCTCCATATCTTCTCTCAAAACTTCGCAGTTACGAAATTCTTCATAAGCGTTGTGGACCTTATACAGGATCCTACAATCAAACCCTGAAAGCAATTAATTCTGTCAACATTTCAAGTCCTACAGACTGCAATTACATAGTCTGGACAGCCACTGCAGGTTTGGGAAACAGAATATTAAGTGTTTCTGCAGCATTTCTGTATGCTGTTCTTACCAACAGAGTTTTACTTGTTGAATATGAAACTGACATGGCTAATCTCTTCTGCGAGCCATTTCCAAATACTTCATGGCTATTGCCTCAGGATTTTCTCATGAAGAGTGAATTCAGAAAACTCAATCATCAATACCCACATATTTTTCAGAACCTGATAAGGCAAAAGATCATTAATGCATCGACAGAGTTGCTACCATCTGTTGTGTATATTTTGTTAGCTGCAGGCAAAGACAAAATTTTCTACTGTGAAGAACAGCAACAGCTTGTTCAAAAAATTCCATGGTTGATTCTGAAATCAGATGAATACTTCATTCCATCTCTCTTCTTGATCCCGTCTTTCAAGCAAGAACTGGACAGTATGTTTCCTGATAAAGAAACCGTTTTCCATTTCTTGGGTAGATATCTTTTTAACCCTTCAAATGAGGCATGGGGACTAATTACAAGGTTTTATGAGGCTTATTTATCCAAAGCAGATCAAAAAATTGGTATGCAAATAAGAGTATTCAATCCTCAAGCTACTCCATTCCAAATTCTAACAGATCAAATTTTAGCTTGTAGTCAACAGGAAAATCTGCTAGCACAAGTAGATGAAAACAGAACTGCTGGCTCCCCATTGAAAATTGGAACATCATCAAAATCTATACTAATAGCATCTTTATATTCAGAATTTTATGAGGAAATAAGAAACAAGTACTGGAGATTTCCAACTAGAACAGGAGAGTCAATTGGGGTATATCAGCTAAGCCATGAAGAGAATCAACGTTTTGGGGATAATATGCATAATATGAAGGCATGGGTTGAAATAAACCTACTAAGTATGAGTAATGTATTGGTTACAAGCCCTAGGTCAACTTTTGGGTATGTTGCTCAAGGACTCGGAGGTTTAAAGCCATGGATTCTTAAAAAGCCTGAGGATTGGAAAACAAATAGTTCAGCTTGTGGTCTAGCCATGTCAATAGAACCTTGTTTTCATGATCCACCCTTGTATGGCTGTAAGTCAAAGGTCAAAGTTGATAGTATTGTTCCTCACATCAAGCACTGTGAGGATGTACCTGGAGGGCTCAAGCTTTTTAGTAATTATAACACTACTAATTAGTGGTTTTGTAATTTTTATTTAATTATCATTGATTTTAAATTTGTATTGAAGAAATAAAAAGATAATATTTTTTTCCATTTTTTATCTATGTATCAATTTGACAGATTTTGCAATTGTAAACATGAAATCCACAGATATGAAAATTTTTGGAACATTTTCAAGTCATAATGGAAATATCAGGACATAGATTGAAGAGGCCAGCAATATTTTATGGGTTTCGTGTAATAATTATAAAATACATATTTTACTTTCTTTCCAATTTTCAGATTCTGAAGGTATAAATAAACTGCTTGGTGGGTTTTTTGCTTCAGGATTTGATGATGAAAAATGTTGCATAAGCAGACATTCGGTCTAGATTTTATGACAATTTCACAAAACTTCACCCTATAACCCTTCTCTTTATCTTCTTTCCTAGCTGTGAAAACACGAAAATCGCCACAAGTGCTGCGAACCTTTCACCAGATCCTACATTAAAGCAGTAGGACTCAATTCTACTCATTTCAACAGAACTACTACGACGGGGTGCAATTTTCAATGAAGTGAATTTTGATTTCTAAATAACTTATGATTATGTTTGTTTCTGTAGCTGAAAATGTAAAGAAAGTGTAAAGCTTTATGGCCTATCCACATCAAAGCTTTATGCTTTGACCAACCAAATAATTTTTGATCTGAAAGCTTTGGCCAAAAGTAAAAAAGTTCTGTCTTAATGAAAATTGAATTTAAATGTCTTAGGGATCGGCGATAAAAATTATGAGAATAATTATCGGAAAAATAAAATTGTGATACACAGATATTTACGTGGTTCAGGGCTACGTCTAAGGGACAAACTCTGAATTATTTTTCCACTATTAAAAATAGTAGGCTTACAAAGAGAGTAATACAAAAATAGTGGCATTAAAAGTGTTTCTCAAAAATACCCCAAATTGTCTTCACTATTTTTCTCTACCGAACTCTCTCTCTCTCTCTCTCTATATATATAAAAGTGTTTCTCAAAATACCAAATTGCGGAAACCCAAATTGTCTTGCACTATTTTTCTCTACCGAACTCTCTCTCATCTCTCTCTCTCCTAGAAATGATATACTATATAGTGTATAATTATACTGTCCTGTGGTAGAGATTGTAAGAAGCCATTCTTCTCCTATAGGAGAGGAGAAGGATGCAATGGGCATGAGCATTGAGCATGAGCATGAAGCAATGGAGCTGAGCGTGTTGCAAATGCCTTCTCCCTTTTTTTTTGTTTTTTTTAATAATTCGAATCATGGTGGGTTCCACTGAGTGGCACCACACAGCGGAGGTAAACCAAATGTCAGAGATTTCCTTGTCCTAAATAGTGACACTTTAAGTGGCCATTGTTAATGGTCAAATCGTGATTTTAGTCACACAGAACTGAGCCGTTAATCAGGAGTTAGATTTAGCTGTTGATTTGTGCATTGCATGTTACTGAAAACGCATGTGGCCAAGATTAACTGAAAAACTCATTTCTCTTGTAATCTCTCTACTAAAAAATTTTTTTTTTTTTTTTAATATTCGACATGGGTGGGTCCCACTGAGTGGGCACCACACAACAAATGGTCAAAGTTTCTTTGTCTTAATAGTGCATTTAAGTGGCCATTGTTAATTGTCAATTGATTTTAGTCCACAACTAGCGTTTTGCAGGATTAGGTAGCTGTTGAGTTTGTGCATTGATGTTACTGAAAACCATGTGGCCAAGGTTACTGAAAACCATTTCTTGTATCTCTCTACTAAAAAATTACCACTAGGTTTCTCATTTAGTCAATTCTTTCCACCTCCAGAAAATGATGACCTTGACTTACAGATTTTTTAAGCTCTGTCAAAACTTAATAAGTTCAGAAGAAGCAAAATGACTTAAATTAAGATGAGCTCAATCATTTTTCAGAGAGGCAGAGAGAATTGTGTTCGTTGAGGGACAATTGCTCATCTTCTTCAATTCTCGAGATACTTTGGGTTCAGCATGCAATGAAGACATTAGCTTTTGTTGCTTGTTTCATAGTTTTCTCCACCACAATCTTGCTCTCAGTCATTTACAAAAATCTCATGTTTGGTCTACTTGGAGAATTTGCTAATGTCAAGATTGTTCCAGGAAAAGCAGACAACGCTACAAATTTTCTTTTTGGTAAGATCTATTATTTTATTGAGAAGGTGACAGAAAATTACAGGCTTGATGGTCCTAACATTTTATTTATTTCCACTTTTTAATTTACAGACTCAGGATTTGCTGAAGAACCTTGTTTGAGCAGATACCAATCTGTTATATATCGAAAACATTCGCCTTACAAGCCTTCCCCATACCTTCTTTCAAAACTACTTAATTACGAAATTCTTCATAAGCAATGTGAACCTTACACAAAATCCTACAATCAAACCATAAAAGCAATTAATTCTGTCAACATTTCAAGTCCTACAGAGTGCAATTACATAGTCTGGACACCGCTTGAAGGTTTAGGAAACAGAATACTAACTATGGCTTCAGCATTTCTCTATGCTATCCTTACCAACAGAGTTTTGCTTGTCGAACATGAGTCCGACATGGCTGATCTCTTCTGCGAGCCGTTTCCAAATACTTCATGGTCATTGCCTCAGGATTTTCCCCTGAAGAGTGAATTCAGAAAAGTTAGTCATCAATACCCACATGTTTTTCAGAACCTGATTAGCATAAACACCATTAATGCATCCTCAGAGTCACTACCTTCTGTTGTGAATATCTTGTTAGCTGGTGGCAAAGACAAGACTTTCTACTGTGAAGAGCAGCAACAGCTTGTTCAAAAAATTCCATGGTTGATTCTGAAATCGGATGAATACTTCATTCCATCTCTCTTCTTGATCCCATCTTTCAAGCAAGAACTGGACAGTATATTTCCTGATAAAGAAACTGTTTTCCATTTCTTGGGTAGATATCTTTTCAACCCTTCAAATGAGGCATGGGGGCTAATTACAAGGTTTTATGAGGCTTATTTAGCCAAAGCAGATCAAAGAATTGGTTTTCAAATAAGAGTATTCAATCCTAATGCCACTTCATTTCAAATCCTTACAGATCAAATTATAGCTTGTAGTCAACAGCAAAATCTGCTAGCACAAGTAGACGAGAGTAAAACTGCAGCCTTTTCATCGAAAACCAGAACATCATCAAAATCCATACTAATAACATCTTTATATTCAAAATTTTATGAGGAAATAAGAAACAAGTACTGGAGATTTCCAACTAGAACAGGAGAGTCAATTGGGGTGTATCAGCTAAGCCATGAAGAGAATCAACGTTTTGGTGATAATATGCATAATATGAAGGCATGGGTTGAGATAAATCTACTGAGTATGAGTGATATGTTGGTTACAAGCTCTAAGTCAACTTTTGGGTATGTAGCTCAAGGCCTTGGAGGTTTAAAGCCATGGATTCTTAAAAAGCCTGAGAATTGGAGAACAAATGATACAGCTTGTGGAGTAGCCATGTCAATAGAACCTTGCTTTCATGATCCACCCTTATATGGTTGTAAGTCGAAGATCAAAATTGATAGTATTTTTCCTTATGTCAAGCATTGTGAGGATGAACCTGCAGGACTCAAGCTCTTTAATTATTAGAATACTACTAATTAGTGGTTTTGTACTTTTAAATTATCATTGATTTTCAAATTGTTGCAAAGAAATAAGAAGATTAATTTGTTTTCCATTATTTACTTGTGTATTTGTTAATAAAGAATTGGATTTGATATTGCTTAGAAACGCTCTGATACCAAATTGAATGAGAAGGAATTTATATTGTATTGTTGTATGATTTACGTTATAAAACACCTTTCTATAAGTGTACTAGGTATATACAAAAAAGAAAAAGAATCAAATACACGAGAATCAGATACAGATACAATAGGATTAGAATCAGATACATTAGGATCATATGAACATACGCTAGGATCAGATTCATATATGCTAGGATTCCTTAAGATTTTATTTTAACAAATGCTTGATCAAAGAATTTATTTTTGACCTAAAATTTGGCCAAAGTAAAACTTTTTGACTTCATAAAAATTGAATTTAAAAGGTCAACGTTTCTTTGTCTTAATAATGCATTTGAGTGGCCATTATTGCAATTTTTTTTTTTTTTTTTGAAAACACCATTATTGCAATTGTTAATTTACTTTAGTGGCCACCATCTGCCCACCTTCTTTTATATATATATATATAATCAGTTTTACATTCTCCTTCTAGCCCACATGGTTACTTCAATGGTCAACAACCCAAAAAAAAGAAATTTCTTGGATCTCTCTACTAAAAGAATTATTGGGCTTCTCATTTAGTCAATTCTTTCCACCTCTAGAAAATTAAGAACCATGGCTTGAGAGATCAGATAGCATTCTGTGTTAACTGAGAGACAATTTTGATCATCTTCTTCAATTCTTGAGGTACTTGGTTTCAGTATGCAATGAAGACCTTAGCCTTTGTTGCTTGTTTCATAGTTTTCTCTACCATGATCTTGCTCAGAGTCATTTACCAAAATCACATGTTTGATCTAATTGGAGAATTCGCTAAAGCAAAGGTTGTTCGAGGAAAAGCAGACAATGCTACAAATTTTATTTTTGGTAAGATCTATTATTTTCTTGAGAAAGTGACAGAAACTTCTAGACTTGATTGTCCTAACATTTTTCTTACTCCACTTTTTAATTCACAGATTCAGTTTTTGATGAAGAATCTTGTTTAAGCAGATACCAATCTGTTATATATCGAAGAGATTCGCCTCACAAGCCTTCTCCATACCTTCTTTCAAAGCTACGCAATTACGAAATTCTTCACAAGAATTGTGGACCTTACACAGAATCCTACAATCAAACCATAAAAGCAATTAATTCTGCCAACATTTCAAGTCCTACGGAGTGCAATTACATAGTCTGGACACCGCTCGAAGGTTTAGGAAACAGGATACTAACTATGGCTTCAGCATTTCTCTACGCTCTCCTTACAAACAGAGTTTTGCTTGTAGAACATGAGACTGACATGGCTGATCTCTTCTGCGAGCCATTTCCAAATACTTCATGGTTGTTGCCTCAGGATTATCCCCTGAAGAGAGAATTCAAGAAACTCAATCTGAACTTTCCTAACAAATATGGAAACATGGTAAGGAATAACATTACTAATGTAAATAAAGTGTCATCTCCGCCATTTGCTTATCTTTTTCTAGCTTTCAACTGTGATGATTCTGATAAGCTTTTTTACTGTCAAGAACACCAAGATTTTCTTCAAAAAGTGCCTTGGTTGATTCTCAAATCAGACCAATACTTCATTCCATTTCTCTTCTTGATCCCGTCTTTCGAGCAAGAACTAGACAAGATGTTTCCTGATAAAGAAACTGTTTTCCATTTCTTGAGTAGGTATCTTTTTAACCCTTCAAATAAGGCATGGGGATTAATCACTAGGTTTTATCAGTCTTATTTAGCCAAAGCAGATCAAAGAATTGGTATGCAAATAAGAATATTTAACCCTAAAGCTAGTAGTTTCCAAATTGTGATGGATCAAATTTTAGCCTGTACAATGCAAGAAAACCTGTTACCAGAAGTAAACAAACAAGAACTCATATCGAAAAACCGAACATCAAACTCAAAAGCTATTCTAATAGCATCTTTATATACAGAATTCTATGAAAGTTTAAAGAACATGTATTGGACATTTCCAACTAGAAATGGAGAGGTAATTGAGGTCTGTCAGCCAAGCCATGAGAAGCATCAGCAATTTGGAGATAATATGCATAATTTGAAGGCATGGGTTGAAATGAACCTATTAAGTATGAGTGATGTGTTGGTTACTAGCTCTTGGTCAACTTTTGGGTATGTAGCTCAAGGGCTTGGAGGTTTAAAGCCATGGATTCTTTACAAGCCTGAGAATTGGAAGAAACCCAATCAAGCTTGCCGGCGAGTCATGTCGAAGGAACCTTGTTTCCATTTTCCGCCAACTCGTGATTGCAAGACGAAGGTGAAAGCTGATATGGGTATTATTGTTCCTCATATCATGCATTGTGAAGATGAACCTAGAGGACTCAAGCTTTTTAATGATGATTCTAATATTTTTAATTAGCGGTTATGTAATTGTTATTTAATTATCATTCATGTTCAATTTGTTGTGGAGAAATGAAAAGAATAATATTTTTTTCCATGATTTACTTTTGTTTTTTTGTTATTAATTTGATGTAGTAAAAATTAAAGAAAGAATTGGATTTAATATGATAGGAAAATATAGAAAAATATTTAATTATTCTGTGATAAAAAATAATAATTCATCAATTGTTTAATTAGAAATAGAGAAGATTAAGAAACTCTTTACTTTTCAAATTTTCACTTTTATTTAATAATAAATTAATCATTCATTTTATAAAATTAATACATATTGAAAATAAATGATTAAAAACTTATTAAAATAAATTAATCTTTTTTGTTGATTAAAAAATCAGTGAATCAAACCGCTCATTCCTTAGCCGAGCCACTGGTTCTATGTCTAGTTATGTGGAGTGGATATTGCTAACCCTCTAGCTTTTATTTATAATGTCATGCTTTTTTACCTTAACAATAATTAAACATTCTTTTCTTAAAAAAAAAAAAACTTAAAAAATATCAAAAATTAAAATTAAAAAAAAAATAAATTAGTCCCTAAATTATAGTCAAATTAATATATGAAAATTTTTATTTTAAAACCTATTACAAAGTCCATAATTTATGATTTTCTTTAACTTTTGAATTAAAATATTAATAAAATTATAATTTAATGATCTTATAGTTATTTTGACTATAATTTGAATTTGAGATCAATTTCAAGATACATTGATAGTCAAAAAAAAAAAAATTTTAAACGGAAAGACTAAAATGTTATCGAAAAGCGTAAATTAAGGACTTGGTAGTTACTTTTGTTTTTTTTTTAATCCTAACGTGTTAACTTGATTAATTCAGGGATGAATTTTAATTTTTGTCCTTTTCTGAAATTGGAACAAGATGGGTCAAACAATAAAATAGCTTTCTTGTCTATCAATGGGCTCCACGTTTTATTTTACACAAAAATACATTATTTCAGGGGGAAGCCTTGCATACTTGATCCAGAACCAGCTAAATAACTAAACTGTTCCGGTTCTTGAGGTTGATCTTAGATTCGAATTGCAGAGGTACGTCTTCTTTCCCAAAAACCCATTCTATATCAGTTAAAAAGATGTTATTTTCATACATATATTTCTGTATGATGTATCTTCATGGGCGCTATCGATCTCAAACTTAGAATCGCCATTTGAGTGGAAGCTACATGAATAATTGCATTCAAGATTCGGAAGGTTTTTTTTTTTTTTTTTTTTTTTTTTTTTCCAAGAAATTCGGAAGTGTTTTTTTTTTTTTTTTTTTTTTTTGGGCGAGGGGTTGGGGGTGGGGGGGGGGAGGAAGATTGAAGTTGATAATCTCATTTGGTCTTTTTGATCATTGACTACTTAGTTTAGCTTAATTCAATTTCTAAAAGATTCCGGGGGGGGGGAGGAAGATTGAAGTTGATAACTTCATTTGTCTTTTTGATCATTGACTACTTAGTTTAGCTTATTCATCTAAAGATTCGAATTGATACCCATTATCATGTCTAATTGATTTCTTGGAATCTACTGTAAGTTGCAATTCTTGCAGTTTCACAACATCTTGTGACCAAGATTTTAAAGTTCAGATTTTATAGCCTCCATTAATGTATTCCAAACATGTGAATTCCATTATAAAAATCAATGAGAATGTGATTAATGAGGATTCCGTAGAAGCACTTGAATAATTATTAAACACCTCCTCTCCTTTTTCTTTTATTGGATTTAAGAATCCTTGCAGAAGGTAAGAGCTTAGTAAAATACAACTCCATATATGTAGTTCTTTCTCTTATACTACAGTTTTGCTGCATATACATATAGTAGATTGCACTTACATTTGTGTTCTAGTCTTCTGAAACAATTAATAATCACAGGTAAACAACTAGAAAATCATGGAAATCATTCGAGTTACAATGGAAAGATTGGAATTTGTATACAAAAGATTCACAACAATCTTAGTTGTGTGTTTCATAGCCTTGCCAGTGTTATTCATGATCTCAATGATGTCTCAAAACTCAAAATTTGATCTAAGTGCAGTCTTTGGGGTAAAAGTTCAAAATGCTATAGCATTAGGTAAGGTGAGAGACCAATGCTTAATTACATCTTAATTTTCAATCATTTCTGATGCATGTTATATATGCAAGCATTTACTTGTTGACCTAATTTCATTCTAATAAATTCATTTGCATTAGGTTAGGAATGGCTATATTAGTTTCCTAGTTCACAAAATACATTGGCTTCACTCTATTACAAGTGTGAATAATCAGTTCATTAAACTTCAACTGGGTGATGAAATGGCGTGTTATTCCATACTTGTTAACTGGTGCTTTGCTTTTCCTCTAATTTTCAGATTCAAAGTATGAGGCCTATCAGCCTACCAGCATTCCAGTTGATAAATTGGTTGATAACACTTTGGCTTATGGATTTGGTAAAGGATCAGGTTCAAGACATAAATCTATTTAAAAATGATAATTTAGTTAGTTTCCAATTTATTAACTACATTGGATTGACCACCATATACGTACAAACATCTTTGATTTGTCTTCTTATAAAACTTTATTTGGATGAATAAGAGGGATATTGTTGTTATTTTCTAATAGACTTTGTTTTTTCAAATTTTCAGAACCAAAATACGAGTCCTCTCAACCTAGCAGCACACTGGAAAGCAAACTGCTTAATAGAACTGTAGCTCCTAAATTTGGGAAATTATCAGGTCTGAGAAGTGAATCCATTTACATTGAATAACGTCTAAATTAGTTTCAAGTTCATAGACTACATCGCATGCACCATACTACATACAAATGTATCTAAATTGTCATCTCACGACACTTCAATTGGCTGTTGAAGCGGCTTAATCTTCTTTATTATTTAGTGATTTTTCTTTTTTTTCTTTCTTTTTTTTTTTTAATCAAAACTTTCAGATTCTGAATATGAGTCCTCTCTGCCAACCAGCATACCAGAACCAGATGACAAACAACTTAATGGAACTCTATCTTCCAGATTTATTGGTGTATCAGGTTCAAGAAATGAATTCACTTACATTTAATAATGATGAAGTTATTTTCTGGCTCTTGAAATGCATTGGATCCATCACACACAAATATAAATTTTTTAATTATCTTATCATAAAATTTCATGTGGATAATGCAGCTAATACCATTCTTTGTTTACACTAATTTGTGCTTTTTCACTCATAAAATTTACAGTTTCGGGAAACGAGTCCTCCCAGCCAACCAGCATATCCAATGACAACTTGCTTAATGGAACTTTGGGTCCCAAATTTGTAGACACATCAAGTTCAAGAAACAATTCCTTTCAATCTAAAAGCATGGATAAGGATAAATTGCTTGACGGACTAATCCTTCCTGGATTTGGTGAAAGATCCTGTTTAAGCAGGTACCAGTCAATCCTTTATCGCAGAATTTCACCCCATAAGCCCTCTCCCTTTCTCCTTTCAAAACTGCGTGATTATGAAGGTCTTCACAAACGCTGTGGACCTCATAGCATATCCTACAACAGAACCTTAAAGGTACTCAAATCTAGCCATGTAGGTATTACCAGAGAATGTAAATACATTGTATGGAGACCGGACAATGGATTGGGAAATAGGATGGCTAGCATGGCTTCATCATTTCTTTATGCTCTCCTCTCAAATCGAGTCCTGCTTGTTGATCATGGGACTGACATGGCTGATCTCTTTTGTGAGCCATTTCCAAATACATCATGGTTATTGCCTAAAGACTTTCCTCTCAGGAATCAATTTCATAATTCTCAACTGAGGTATGCTCATAGTTTGAGAGGCATGCTAGAAAAGGGTAGGATAAACAAATCAATGGAGGCAACACCACCATATCTATATCTTACTCTAAAAAAACGCGAGGATAATCTTGATAAACAAGTTTTTTACTGTGATCAAAGCCAAGTTCTCCTCCAAAAGGTCCCTTGGTTGATTCTGTTATCGGAGCAATATTTTGTCCCTTCTTTCTTCTTGATTCCATCTTTCAAAGAAGAGGTAAGCAAATTGTTCCCTGAAAAAGAAACTGTTTTCCATCACCTAGGTCGATATCTTTTCAATCCTTCAAATAGGGTATGGAGGCAGCTAATCACCAGGTTCTATGATGCGTACTTAGCCAAGGCAGATAAAAGGGTTGGCCTGCAAATAAGGGTATTCCATGCTAATGCTGCTCATATTCAAACTGTTATGGATCAAATATCAGAATGCACTGTAAAGAAAAAGCTTCTACCCAAAGTAGACACTACAAAATCTGCATCTTCCTCTACCAAGAACCAGAAACCATCAAAAGTCATTCTGGTAGCATCTTTATATTCCGAGTTCTACATGAATTTAAGTAATATGTATTTGGCTAAACCAGATTTGTCAGGGGAAGTCATTGGAGTTTACCAGCCAAGTCAAGAAGGGTATCAACACCGCGGAGATAATATACATAATATGAAGGCATGGGCTGAAATATATCTACTTAGTTTGTGTGATGTGTTGGTGACTAGTGCTTGGTCTACATTTGGGTATGTGGCTCAAAGTCTTGGAGGTTTAAAACCATGGATTTTGCAGAAGCCAAAGCTAGCAGGGCATGGAATATTCGTTCCGTGTAAACGAGCCACATCTATGGAGCCTTGTTTCCATTATCCTTTCAGTTATGATTGCAAGTCAAGGAACAATCTTGATGCTGCTGCTCTTGTTCCTTATATAAGGCAATGTGAGGACAGAGAGTTGGGGGTGAAGCTATTTAACGATCATCAAAAGTTGTAGGATGATTTCTTGGAAATAATGTATTCTAACTTGATTGATTTTAGCCTGCACAGATTAGGTAAATATAGTTTTATTACCACATTTAAATATTAATAATACTAATAATATATTTCATATTTCAATTATAATATATTTTTAAAAATTAATGTAAAGTCTACATTTTTATGAACATAACCAACCCTGAATCCATACAGGATAAGGATACAAGTGAAATAAAAATAAAAATAAAAATGTGGAAAATATATTAGATAAAACTGCTTAGTCATATTAATTAATTGTTTGCGTAGACAATACGATAATTACCTTATATACAAAAATGGCTGCAAGACGTTTAAATTATCCATGTTAAAAAACGAAACTGAGTTATTGCACTCTTTATTGAAGGAAAGGAATCATATTTATATAAAAATTGTAATCACTCTTTCCAACCGTTGGTTTTCCTGTTATCTTAGGTTTGAAGGTACGTTATGGCTTCTTCTCTAAAGTCAACCCTTCTCTTTCTGCAACTTAACTGTTAATTTAGTTTATTAACTGTTAAATTAAGAGATACAATACATGCAAGAGTATGTGTTAATTGCATTTTTGTGGTAAGATTTTTGCGCAAGTATTGTTTTTTTTTTTTTTTTTTATACAATACATGGCAAGATATGTGTTAATTGCATTTTTGTGGTAAGATTGTGTTGCGCAATTGTTTTTTTTTTTTTTTTTATGTGTGATGTAAGTATATAACCGGGAGGTGTAATCCCATCTTGCTGTAGAACGTAAATATTTTATGCGCCTGGGATTGAACCAGAAAGTATTGGTTTTTAACTCAAAATATTATGTTCATGTTATTGAATAAATTATGTAGATCTAAAGAATAAAGAGGAGTTTGTGTTTTGTTTTTCGAAAAAAGTCTTATAAACATTGAAGGAAAGAAATCTTACTGAGGAAACTTCTAATTAGCTTCTAATTTGCTTTCGTGGTGATAATGTAATTTATTAAGAAAATACATTATATGGAGAGTGCAATGTTTCCTTCGATTTATGATAATTTTTCCAGCTTTGAGAGGTTGATTATGGCAGAAGACTTTCAGAGTTCAAGGAGAAAGAAGATCTTACAAAATCCTAACTCGAAGTAGTAGTTGGGAAATGAGATTTTTTTTTTTCGACTTCCTGTCATGAAATATGCGTGCAAGTTATGTGCATAAACAAGTTCTTTAATCTCTATGTTTTTTCGCTTTAAGACTTGATATCATTTTCAGGTAAAAACATGGAAATCTTTAAAGTTACCAAAGAAAAATTGGGTTTTGATTCCAAGAGATTTACTGAAGTCCTGGTTATCTGCTTTATAGTTTTGACTGTTTCATTCATGGCATCAGTTATGTACCGAAACTCAACATTTGAGCTAAGTCAAGTCTTTAATGGAAATCTTGACAATCTTACAGATTTAACAGTTGGTAGGTAATCAATTTTCTTTTCTTGCACCTCCATTGTCAACCCTTGTAAATTTTAATCTTTTCCCTTTCTACAGATTCAAAAATCGATTCTTTTGGCTACCTGCTTAATGAGACTTTGGATCGTAAATTTGGGGAAGAATCAGATTCAAGAAATGTTTCCTCTGGTAAAGAAGTTCTCAATGGAAGTGCATTTCCAGGAGATATAAAAGAATCAGATTCAAGAAATGTTTCCTCTGCGAAGAATATTCAAGAAATTTTCCTCTGGTAAAGAAGTGGCTCCAATGGAAGGGCAAATTCCAGAGTTACCAAAAGAATCAGTATTCCAAAAACATTTCCTCTCAGCCTAATAAGCTGACCAAGTGATTTTAATTCAAGAAATGTTTCCTCTGGTAAAGAAGTTCTCAATGGAAGTGCATTTCCAGGAGATATAAAAGAATCAGATTCAAGAAATGTTTCCTCTGGTAAAGAAGTTCTCAATGGAAGTGCATTTCCAGGAGATATAAAAGAATCAGATTCAAGAAATGTTTCCTCTGGTAAAGAAGTTCTCAATGGAAGTGCATTTCCAGGAGATATAAAAGAATCAGATTCAAGAAATGTTTCCTCTGGTAAAGAAGTTCTCAATGGAAGTGCATTTCCAGGAGATATAAAAGAATCAGATTCAAGAAATGTTTCCTCTGGTAAAGAAGTTCTCAATGGAAGTGCATTTCCAGGAGATATAAAAGAATCAGATTCAAGAAATGTTTCCTCTGGTAAAGAAGTTCTCAATGGAAGTGCATTTCCAGGAGATATAAAAGAATCAGATTCAAGAAATGTTTCCTCTGGTAAAGAAGTGCTCAATGGAAGGGCAATTCCAGGAGTTACAAAAGAATCAGATTCAAGAAACATTTCCTCTCAGCCTAATAAGCTGACCAGTGATTTTAAATTTCTTCAAGGACTTTACTCCCCAGAATTAGATGAAAGATCCTGCTTAAGCAGATACCAATCTATCCTATATAGAAAACCTTCAACTCATAATCCCTCTCCTTATCTCCTTTCAAAGCTCCTTGAATACGAAGATCTTCACAAACTTTGTGGACCCTATACAAAAGCCTACAGCAAAGCCTCAAAAAGATTAAAATCTGGTACAAGAAGCACTAGTAGCAAGTGTAAATACATTATATGGGTACCTGCAAATGGATTAGGGAACAGAATAGTAAGTATGGCTGCAACTTTTCTTTATGCTCTTCTCACTAACCGAGTGCTACTGGTTGATCATGGAACTGACATGGCTGATCTCTTCTGCGAGCCATTTCCCAATACATCATGGTTATTGCCTAACAGCTTTCCTCTAAAGCAGCAATTTGGAGTTACGAAAATTAGGCATGCTCATGGTTTTGGAAGCATTGCAGTAAATATGTCAATCAAATCACAACCAACACATTTATATCTTAATCTTGATCATAGTGATTATGACCTCGATAAGAAGCTATTTTACTGCGATAAAGGTGAATCCCTGCTTGTAAAAGTTACTTGGTTGATTCTACTTTCAGATCAATATTTTGCTCCTAGTTTTTTCCTCAGTTCATCTTACAAGGAAGAGGTAAGTAAATTGTTTCCTGAGAAGGACACTATTTTCTTTCACTTAAGTCATTATCTTTTTAGTCCCTCAAATCAGGCTTGGGGTCTAATTACAAGGTTCTATGATGCATATCTTGCTAAGGCAGATAAAAGGGCTGGGCTCCAAGTGAGAGTATTCCAGGCTCAAACTACTACTTTTCAAATTGTTATGAATCAAATATTGGCATGTACTATGAATGAAAAAATCCTACCAGAAACACAGACAGAAGAAAGTGTAGATTCTGAATTCAGAAATAAGACATCAGAAGCAATTTTAGTAACATCTTTACATTCCGAGTTTTATGAAAATTTGAAGGATATGTATTGGACAAGATCAACTGTCACAGGTGAAGTGGTTGGGGTTTACCAGGCAAGTCATGAAGACTATCAACATTTTGGGGACAATAAGCATAATATGAAGGCATGGGTTGAAATGTATCTGCTAAGTATGAGTGATGTGCTGGTGACAAGTGGTTTTTCTACGTTTGGGTATGTTGCTCAAGGCTTAGGGGGTCTGAGACCATGGATTCTTTATAAGACAAATGGCAAGAAAATCCGAAATCCACCTTGTGTAAGAGACATTTCTATGGAGCCTTGCTTTCACGTTCCTAAAATTGACAATTGCCAAGATAAGGTGAAGATTGATGCTGGTGCTCTTTTACCCTATTTGAGACATTGTCAGGATCGGAAAGAGGGAGTGAAGCTGGTTACTTTTCCTGAAGGGCTCTAGCTCTTATTATTTTCAAAATAAAATGATTCACTTTGGATTTTAGCGTATCAGAATTTTCATATATGGCGTTAATTTCTGGTGTCTGTAAAGATTTTTTTTATTCACAAATTATATTTTAAGATTTTTCGAGTCTACCAAATTTTGTTTCGCATGGGTTCATTATATAAAAGCCTGTGTTCGTGTTTTATGTGATCCTACATCGGTGTTACTCCCGGAAGTCCAACAAGCAACAAGAAAATGCACAAAGTAACGAAAAATGAAAAGCTAATAGATGCATTTACGACTGAGAAAACAGAAATAACCATTAACATGCATCCAAACACCCACTAAACCAGCCTCATTGCTTCCATTCCTTCTCCGGTACCCCTAGCCCTAAGGAGAAGGAGAAGTAACAAACTGTCTAGGCAAACTAAATATGTCCTTCCCTGCAAAAGGCGATGTCCACTCGTGCAAACCAGCAGAAGATGACGTTTCTTTAGTAGCCCCAGCGTCCCGTAACCCTGATATGCAGGAACTATTCATACTGTTCATTCTTGTGCCGGAACTGTTCCTCAATAATGAGGAAAGCCCCAGCCACAACCCGCTTGGTTTGGATGATAACATATTATTATCCAAAGTCCAATCTATACTGTTATAGTCAAACTCTGGCATCACTCCTGTATTCCAATCCACATGTGCCGAAGAGCCTAACGTTCCTGAACCCCAACCAGAAAATAGACCGAGGGAAGATGGAGCTGCAAGTGGAGGTGAAGATGCACTCACTACACCGTATGAACTCTGGGGCTCATAAGGAACTGCATGTGCAGGAGACTTACTCATTGCATTCCATGAACTTCTGAATCCTGCTGATGCAGAATCTATCGGGCCATTAAACAAGTTCGGGCTCTCTTTATAAGAAGCTGGATGATAGAACTGCTCTGAGTTCTGATTCACCAAACCAAGGCTTCCACTGCTCTGATTTGGAACTAATGACCTTACATTTTCAACACCTGGTCCGTTATTTGAATACCATCCAGCTGTTACAGAAGGTGAGGCACTTATGCTAGGGACTTGATTTTGTTTGGCATTTATAGATTGGCGACGCTGCATCATAACTATTGGTTCCCTCAGTATATGCTGATGATTTTTCCCTTCATTTCCAGAAACACCAAGCCTGACCTCCAATTTGGCTGATTGAGGTGTCACCTGTCCAGGGGATGCCATACCTAATGAAAAAGAAGGGCTTGTTCCAGTAGCAGTCCACCTCTTATCTGCCAGCGATCTGGACTGATTCAGAGGCTGCAAGCTTCTATTCCCAGGTTCTGAATACATTGGCAGTGCAATTGATGTTTTGGCATAGTTAAAATCCTGCTCATTTCTTCTCTGTTGTATTGTAATTGACGATGACAGGGGCTTTTCATGCGTTCTCTTCAAATCATTGGCATCAGTAACCTCTTCAGAAGTTAGTGGAGTGGCAGGTTGTTCCAGCTTTTGTGCTTGTAAGATCTCTTCTGCCTTCAACAGATCACCCTCACAAGCAACAATTGCTCTTTCAACCTCCTGCTTTGAGCATTTGTACCTCACCTCTAATACTGATATCTGAGCAAGCTCCTCACTAATGTCAATTTTTAAGTTACTGCTGGTTCCAAGTTTAGAGTCCTTATTGCGGGCTTCCTCTTCATTCCCTTCAAAAAGCCAGTTAACTGATTCTTCTACCCTGCCCTCATTCAACACAAGGGCCAATGTTGCTCGTTCATGAGAAAACCCCATTGCCACAAGCTGCTCTGAAAGGGCTTCTAATTTTCTCGACATCAGATACCCACTGCAACGCTCATGCAACTCTTGTGCCCGCCTCTCTTTCTGGCGCTGGTGCTTCTTCTCATTCTTCAGACGAATCTTCTCTCGCCTGTCATTTTCTAAACCAGGCACGGTTTCCTGCCGAGTAGAACTGGTTGTCTTATCTTTTGGATCTTCTGACTCGCCAGAGCAACTACCATTGTTTGACACTGAATCATATTCGGATACAGTTCCATGTGGACTACTGGAATGTTCATCTGTGTCATCTATATTTCTGAAACGACCATTGTCATGGAAATGAGGGGAAGAGGTGGCTGATGGTATCTCTAGGGTATGAAATGTCCCAGAAATTGGATTATAAGCACTTGCAGGAGTACCACTTGCAGTATTGGTAGATCCAGAAGATTTGTCAGATGCCTTCTGTTCCTTGGCAGCCCTTGCAGACGCCTTATCTTTAGACTTGGTCTTGGACTTTGATGCTGGAGACATTTTCTGGAATTATGAAACGTTCCTACAGAAGAACAAAATGAAAATCAACGTTTGCTGCATGACACAAAAGCATAGTACTATAAAAGCAGAAGCATCTGGAAGATGCATCAAAAAAATAATGAGAGCACATTAAAAACCACACCTCCCGTATTGGTGGCATGAAACCAGATCATCATAGCTTTACCCATCTCATCCAAACTATCAGGGAGGAGCAGATAATACATTTGGAAAAATAACATAATATTCTAATGCAGTGAAATCGAGAAAAGAACCATCTAACAACACAAGCCAATAAAGCAAAAAAAGTATCATTAAAACTATTGTATAATGACGAGGAGAACAATGCTGCTCCAATATATTTATATTATTATCACAAACATCACATCATCATGATTATTCAGATCAACCCATAATCAGTTACAGCCTATTTTGGCCAACCACACAAAGAAAAAACATGAATAAATTTCACATAAAAACAACAGAGAAATTAGATGTGACATTACGTTACATCAGATTCAAAGCAAAGAAACCTGTAACTGAAGAAATATTTAAAAGAGAACACTGAAAAAATTTAAGCAAAATCAGATAAACAAATAATTTCTACGATGCATTCTGTCCTAACCAAATCAAACTCCATGACTGAAAATGTAATTAAACAAATAAATATATGCAATGCATAGACAACTAAACAACAAAAAAAACATTCCAAAAGAATTTATCAGCTAAAAATTATGTTGGGGAAAGAACAAAAAAACAAGGATCGAATTTTTATGTCTGCATCCCATGCATAACATCCAATCCAACCAATCTCAAACATTTCCTCCCACCTAAGAGTAAAAATTATGAATCTTGAAAAAAAATAAATGACTCGATATAAATCGATTGTGTTCATATAACACAGCACATTCATCATTCGAAATCAAAACCCACTTAAGAAATCAACTTCCAAATAACAAAAGAATTCATTAAAATCTTTAATCACCATAAAGAAAACGGAGCTAAAGCCCTAAAAAAAGAAAAGAAAATACCTTTAGATCTCTCAAAATCTAATACAGCCCACTAAAACCAAACACAGATCAAGAAACAAGCTTAGACCCTAAATGAAATTGAGACTCCAACCAAAAAGAAGAAGAGAAAGAAGATTGAAAATGGCAATCGCATTCAACAATAATTATAATGAAAACCACTAAAGAAAAAACGAAAGAGAAACACAGATCTGAAACCAAAGAACGAACCTAAAATCGAACAGATCGATAACTTCTAGGAATTGTTTGCTGTTTAACAAAGGGTTTCTGAAAACTTGTCGTCGATTACGATAAATCGCCGCTTGTTTTTGCGTTATACGTTGAAGCTTTTTTCTCTCTGTACTTTTCACGTTCTAGTAACTATATTTCTCTCTCTAAATTTTGTATTTCGCTTTATTGCTCCTTATCGTGCGCGAGGTTTATTATTAGTGTACATTTAAATGTAGGATTTGAGTTCCGCCTTTTTATTTTTTTCGCCTAAATTAAGGATCAGAAAGAGCTGTCTTTTCCTGTTCTTTTTTTTTTTTAGTTAATTATTTATTTATTTTTGTGTTTTTTGTTCGAAGGGATTTGTTTTTGTGTTTAGATTTTATTTTTACTTTCATAATAATAATAATAATAATAATAATAATAATAATTTCTGATGGTCCGCTTAGAACGGGAAATTAGGCTATAACGAAGGCTGTTAGGATTACCCTGAAAATCGTACGGCCGCCTACTGGAAGCATCTATTACCTAAAATAGTTGTGTTTTACCAGAATTGACCCTGCCTAGTGGTGCAATCATTTCAAGCATTTGGTTTGATGGATGGGCATAGTTGGAATATTGGTGAACATTTTGCTGGCATTTAATGGGTGTGTATATAGTTCAATTAAACACATGGCTACATTTTTCTTAAAAAAAAAAAGAAAAAAAGAAAAAAAGAAAAACATGGTTACATACATTTGTTGCACTACTACTCCTTATGGTAAAAATATATTTACTCTCTTTTTAAAATAAATTAATATCTGCAGTTTCTTATTTTGCCTCAATTTAATACAAATTTTTATACCTTCAAAAAAAAAATAAAATACAAATTTTATCAATAAATATATTACTATTATTATTAGTTAAATTTCGAATTAGACGATTAATAAATATAGATTATTCATATTCCTAATTTAGAAAAAAAATTATAGTGTAATTAATTATTTAGTCCTTAAATTTTGATAAAATTACTTCATATTCCTATTAGCTGTCAAAATTATGTTTACCATTAAATATTTGCAACATGTAACTATTTAGCTATTCACGTTTAATAAAGAGTTAGTATTGAATTATTATTTAATCTCCCACTTAATAGATATAATGACATTTTAAATCTCAAGAATTACTATTATTTAGCTCTTAAGGATCTGATTGGGTATTACAGTAATTGTAATTGGTCAAATTATTATTTAAAATATTATTGATTAAAAATTTATTAATTTTTAAAATAAATATCATACGTGGGGATTGTTTTGTGCATCTATGGCTGCACTGCAACGGCAAAATCTTGATGGTGGAACCCATCATCGGACCCACATATAAATGGTTCAACTTGAAATTGTGTAATCCCGACAAGTCTAGTGATCATCAAAAATAGTTTCAAAACTTTTTCCTGATAATAATTAAAATTAGGGAATTTTTTTGCCTAATTGGGTAAACGCGTAATTCCATACACTAAGCCAATTAAAAAATAACATCATTTGAATTAAAATACAGTTATAATTAATTTGGTGTATTGTTCCTTTTTTTTTCTTACCAATTATTAAAATTTTCAATATAGAAATTATTAGTATTATTTCCATATATGTACTAAATACATTTAATAGTACCTCATATAGCTATCATTGATAAATAATAATAATTGATATTTTGGTCAACTAAAATAAAAATTGACATTTTCTTATGCATGATCAAAGAAAATGTGAAGTCTTTGTTGATGCTGCTAATTGAATTAAATTATTTAGTATAGGGAAATAAATTGGACTGAGTCTTGATTTGATTCAATTTTTAATTATTTTTTAACGAAATTTAAATTTATTTTTTAGGATTCATAAAAAATAATCCAATAAAACATTTTTTTTTACTTTTCAATTAAAAAAACAAAACCGAATATATTAAAAATTTTTTTTTTTTTTTTCATTTATAATATGCCAAAAAAGTTGCAACGAAAGAAAGTGTAGGCAAATTCATATTTCAAGCAGTTGACAAAACTCCAAACACATGCTAAGATGGAGAGAGGCTAACCAAATTTCAACCATAGAGCTTCTAGTTATTCTGCATTGACTTTAAAGATGATTTGCAAAAAGTAGTTGAATTTCAAAGCTTTCTCCTTTCCATCCAAAGATGTTTGTTAAATTATTAAAGAATCGAATTCGACATTGACATAGCTGCCTTATCTTTTACCCTTTAACCCTTTTTTACTTTTTAACTTTACTTTTCTTTAATTTTAGTTTGCTTTTTTACAGTTTTATATTATATAATAGCATATAGCAGCAGAAGCTTCATCATCTAGCTCATATCTGTCCATCTCCCTCTACAACTAGTTTTTGAATACTTCAATTTAAACATACAATGATACAGTTTATAGAAGGACAGCAACAAGTGACTATCCAGATAACTGATACAAATAGTTTAATTTCAATTTGAAGTATTTGAAAGTAGCTTTTCTTTAAGTTCTTTCAGTTTAAATTTCATGTACCTGGTATAATCCCCCCCCCCCCCCCCTGACTATCCAGAAACGATAAAATATGTTAATTTCAAAATTTGAAGTATTGATAAGTAGCTTTTCTTTTAAGTTCCTTTCATTTAAATTTCATGCTACCTGTACCCCCCCCCCCATATCATCACTTGCTATCACATTAATTATGTTTTCTACATTCTACGTATGCAAAATCCTCAAAAAACATACCTTAATTAGAAAAAGTTTCAGCATGACAAAAACCATATCGCATTTTATCTTTAATGGCTTCAGCATAGTAACTTTGAATGAGCTGCAAATAATTTTCCGATAATACACGAATTAGTAACGAGATGCTACACAGACTGTCAAAAACTAAATAAATAAATCTTAATGATGAAGGTACATTAAATGAAATGAGCAAGTAATATGTTTAGTTTACCCGTCCGTCAGTAATATATTATCTGTCCAAACACTGTCTGCATCAGTAAAAAATCCTTCTCCAATGCTTTAATCTATTCAGATATAGATAATATAGAATAAAAACTGTATACTCTGCTGAAGCAAATTCAATTTGGAATGTAGTTCCTCTTTCTGCATAATAATCACATCAGATAAACGGTATAAAAAACCACACCAAGCAATATTGTCAAACATGATAAGTAATATTTTCCCATAGCATGTAGACCATGCCCTTTCTTCACTAGCATATTAGAACCATAGCATATAGAGATGCCTGAAAAAATATGAATCGCAAAATGTTGACTAAAATCATTATCTTGCCTGATTCTGCTGTAAATTTTAATTGGATAGCGTATGTGCTGATTAAATGATTATGCTATTCTCTTTTCCAACTGTGTTATGCTAATGTTGCTATTTTTAGCAATTCTTGCAACAATCTCTAATTATGAAAGACGAGTCAATTTTTTTTTTTTGTACAAGGATTACTAAATGATGTCAAATGTGTCTGCTGACTGTATGAAGGCAGTTAAGATTTCCTACTTGATATCTCTGTATCAATGCACGATACATGTGGTTAAACTAGATCATAAAACAGAAAACTACTAGAAAGTCTGAAGGATGGAGGCAGGTAATGCTACTCCATTTGGGATTCATATGATGTCATGCTACCTTTACTGGACAGAAAATGGTTTAATTGTGAACTCAAGCACAAAAACAGATGAAATCAAATAATGTGGTCTTCAATGGAAAATTATTTGCACCACAAATTCTCATGATCAAACCAACCTCGGTTGCAAACAGTAAGGGCAGGTAAGGCTGCAACCTTCTTTCTTCACGTTCTATGTTTATTTTTAAGTAATCAAGGCCATTCAACAAAAAGTCAAAATGGGCAAATTATAGTTAAAGAATAGATATGCATGACAAAAGGATGGAAAAATTGCAAGAACTTCATTCCAACATTAGGTACTAAATCAATTACATTTTTGGAAGAAAAATTCACTCAAACATAAAACATGTGTTGAATTTAATGGTGATGAACAGATGTTGATCATTCTATGACATCAGTAACTTATTAACCCCAAGCCAAGAACCTCATGATGCAAGAGTGAATACTTGCAGCAGCTATAACTAAAAGGATGTGGAAAAGGAAGTGATTCATATTTTTCATGCTAAAACTCACCGTTCTACAGCTTCTTGGCCCTGCAAATTAGCAAGGCATGCAAGTTGATAAATTTCATTGAAGTTTTTCTGAGCCATTGCTTCTTTATTGAATATGGCATCAGACAAAACAACTGATGAAGCTCCACAGGATATATAGTCACCAACAGAATCTATATCGATCAAATTTCAAAGAAATGTCATTCAAATGTGAAAAGCCAAGGAAATCAATGTTGTCTTCCTACAAATACATATTAGATTGTAACCATGAATCAGAAATGAGAACATTATAACCGGAAATAAAATAAAAGTTTCTTTTATTTGTATTCAAGGTAAGATGGAGTACATTTTAGAATTTCATACAAAATTGTAATTATATCCATTAGAGGAACTCTCCAATGACAAAATTATGATAAATGTATCCCTCAACTACCTTCTTTCCTAGAAGGGCATACAAGAGTTTCAGAATTTAAAGTATTAATATGAAGACCCAAATAAAGTAAAACTTCAGATGATACAGGATAAGAAAACAATCATATATGGAAAATTTCAGCCCTTCTGTTTTGGCAATGCAATTCTTGGCTTGTTGCATTATTTATTTTGTTAGGAACCACATAGAGAACCTCCGAATGAGCAATTACAAGGACATTCATAATTCAGTTCACATCGGTACTTGTAAGGTTTTAACCAAATTTCATTCTTATGATGTAGTTTACTTGTTTCATTCAAAAGCAAAAGTCATAGAGTGATTCGAGAGCAAGAAGACAGAGTTCAGATCACAAACCAATCATTATGCCTTGTGAAGCAACCATTGATATGTGAGCAAAAGGTTTCTTCAGTGCTGATATATACTGAGTACCACCTAATGCAGAAACTGGATAGACCTAATCCACCAAATAAAATGAAGATAGAGTTCATAACGTGTTTCTTGCTCTTAACATAATCCCAATACCACAACATAAGGGTGAACTGAGTATCCAACCAAATTCAGGGTGAACTGAAGATATGACATGCAATAAGTTGTAGAAAGAGCAATGAATATAGCGTGTCTATACTGTCACCAAGTTACAAGTCTACAAGTTCATATCAGAACTACTTTTAACTCACCTTAATAATTTTAGCACCAGCATCATAAGCTGACAATATCTGTAAAAAGAAGTTCTGGTTACAACTGCTTGAAGAGAAAATGGCACAAGTGGTTCAATACTTCAATTATCAAATACAATACTGGAGATGGTCATTACGATAATAATTAATTCTTCCATAATTACCGTTATTTAAATTGAAAAAACAGCCGAGGTCCAGTGGGAGAATACTAGACCTAGCTAATCGGGCTTAAGCAGATTATCTGAACGTTACAAATGAAAGACAGCTTAAGCAAATAAGTTTCTTACTTCTGTTGGAGTCATTGCACCAGGTATGTACAGAACCTCACCATCCAGGACAACATCCATAATACCCTAAATGGGAGCAAATGTGCTTAGTAAAAGAAGAAGCTCTGCAGATTTAACATGTATTTGACAATCAGATTGAAAGAGACAAAGACAGAGACAGAGTAGAGCACACAGAAAACCTTCAAGTTTAATAACTAAGTTTCAGTGAAGAAGAAAATCCACTCAATTCTTGGAATACTAAATGCATACCATCACCGTTGCAGGACTCATGAGAAATTTGGCCCCAGCTCTCTTTGCATTTATAGCATCCTCAGCATTTAAAACAGTACCTACCTATAAGACACAATCAGCACCAAAAATCTTTTGAATAGTAACCCATGTAATTAAAATCAATCAATCTCTTGAATATGTTATTAAAATCAATCAAATCTCTCATAAATGATATCAAATTATCAACAAATTGAAGACTTGAAACCGAACATCCACCACAAGGGTGTCAAAACCTAAATTGCACCAACTACCAATGTACCAATAATATACAAAAGAAAACTATATTGGGTCTTTCATGGTCTATGGAGAATATTTTTCACTGTTTTATTTCAGCAATGGTGCATTCATAACCCAACTTATATACTTGAAAAATTTTTATCGTTTTATTCAAGGCAGAAGAAACATAAAAGGATTTTTTTTATTCTTCCACAAAAATGAAATCCACGCACGCATAATTCCAAGATTTGAGCAAGTGTCTAAAATGTGTGCCAAGAAGACACCATGACAGCATAATATAAAAATAAATTGTTATGAGAGCGAAAAGGGTGTCAATGAAGATTACCCCCAAGGCCACTGTAGGATGATCCTTCACCAGCTGTTGTAAAACCTGAAGACGACAAAAACACAATTCACAACCTGGATGGATAAATATAGTAAAATCCAAAAGAATGGAATATCAGACCACCTGAAACACACCTGGAGTGGACATTACGATCTCCAGCTGCATGTCAAGAAAAAGAATACACATTATAAAACTCAATATAATAGTTAATACGTGGAACTAGATTCAGATTCTCTACAATGACATGCACTTAGCCTGTCTAACTCATGGGGACAAAATTGCATCCGAATTTCCAAATTTAGAGAACACCCTTAAAAAATTGCCAAAAGTAGAAGGCTGAACTATTGAGAGGAAATTTAAGCAATCAAATTTATCTTCAACTTTAGGAAAAAATAATTGATAATAAGAAAGTGGATGTAGCAATAAATTTGAAGGAGTTGGGAGGCAAATATCATAGATAGAGAAAAAAAAACCAAAAAAAACAGGATCAAAGTTAGAAAGACTCACTACTGAGATTCCAGCTCTCAGTGCAGCAGAAGCAGCTTCAAATGCGAGCTCTGCACTACATATATAATTAAAAGATAAAATATAGATCGTTAAATTCTCTCCCAATTTAGAAATCAGAAAAAGCAAACAGTCCTAGAGAAAAAGCACCTATTGGCGCGAAGGCAAGCGATGACACCGGAATTGTGAATGAGAGATAAGGTTCTTTCACGGGTAGAAGAGAAGGAGATTGGAGGCAAAGAGCTATAAACCCTAAATCTTTTCAGATTTTGTGATAATTGCGGCGCCAAATTTGGTCGCCATGAGCATACGCTTGCAGCTACCACCATATCCGTAACTCTTGTTTTGTCATGTTTTGGGCGGGACTAATATTTCACCGGATAATGAAAACATAATTGAACGACAAGATAACTCCTCTTACCATAGACGACAAGACGACGAGTAGTTCAATAACAACCGCGAATCATCGTGAAATAACAAATTTATTCGGAAAACGATATGTCGTCAGATCGAAGTCGCATCTCCTCTTTGTTACTTGGGTAATTAACTTTTTTTAATCCTTTCTTTACCAAATAGTCAAGACGAATAACAAAATAGTTTAATGAAACTAACTACTCAAAGATTTTTTCAAATCAGAGATGATGATAGTAATTTCAATTAAAATTTAAAAACTAAATAGACAATTATCTTCTACTTCATTAAAAAATATTACTCCTTCGATAAACATTAACACGATTAAAAAAAAAAAAAAAAAAAAACTTACAAACTAAATAGACAGAGATATCTTTTACTTCATTAAAAAATATACCCTTCGATAACACATTAACACGATTAAGAAAAAAAAAAAAAAAAAAAACTTGCGGTACTATGGTTTTTAATTTATAATTAAAATGACAATACAGAAAATTAACTAAAATGTGAGAATTAGCACAAACTTTCCGTGACACATCAAGTTGACTATACAAGTTAAAAAAAAAAAAAAAAAAAAACTTGCGGTACTATGTTTTTATTTATAATTCAAAATGACAATACATGAAAATTAACTAAAATGTGAGAATTAGCACAACTTTCCTACACATCAAAGTTGACTATACAAGTTCATGCATCACGAAAGGCATTGCTCCCAAGTTCCATACTTTGTGCTGAAGCTCCCTCCACCATTCTGCTGCGCATACTCGGAAATAACTGCTCGAGCGCAAGTATCCCAAATCCTTGCTATCTCCCCTACTGACATGGGCTCCGATAGTTGTCTGAGAAACACATTGAGCTTTGACTTTGCCTTCACTGAAATATCGTCGTGCTCTTTGCTGTTAATGCTTCAAATAATCAGAACCGTATATGCAACATCAGAGCATTTTGACAGTAATTCAGAACATATGATCATGGTTCGATTGTAATACACAAATTGAAGTCAAGGTATACTAATTGTTAAAATCATGTCCAGGTGTAGGGTATAAATGCTGAATGCTGTAAATGCAAATAAGATTAAACATATTTGTTTTTTGTTCTCCAAATCTGAGAAGGAAACTCGGAAAGCTACCGGAAAATGTAAATTATCCAAGGCATCTACCTAAGAAAATAAGATTTAATATTAATGCAAAAAAAATTGGAAATTTCTGCACCATGCTGTGAAGAACATCTTTCTGGCCTTGGTTGCCATTAAGATGTACCTTACCTTATATAATGAAAATGTAGTGTGAGCTCTTGAAACAGTTTTTCATATACCCAATTCATTTCTTAGACAAAACAAAGTAAACCTCAGTTATATAGTGATGGCACATAGGCACCTGTCATAACTGGGGAGTTGCCTATCTCTCTTCAATGGTTCTTATGATAGGCACAACCAGGTAACTACTATAAATAAATATGCATGTTTGTGTCACTCAACAAAAAGTTATTAGGTATCAATTTAATTTCCATTATGTTTACCTTTTCTCCATTGCATTATCATGTCAGACAACACAATCTGTTACCAGTGATCTAGATGATCGACAGTAGTAGAAATTAAACAATTTCTTGAAGCAGTAAGAAGGATTCCCCTCGTGCAACTGTAAAAGCTGCACAGAGAATTTTTAAAAAAGATAATGAGAAGCCCCGTTCTCTTACCTGAATTCCACTGGCAATGTTTCTAGAAGTATAGGTGAGCAATTGGGATAATTGACAGGGACAAGCAACTGGATAGCCTGGATTAATGACTGCATGGCCATAAACTCGAGGTCAATTAAAATGGATAAATCTATGCACAATGCTGAATAGCAAGAGGAGTCAAAGACTCACAATTTGAGCACAGGGTTTTGGCGTGACAGCCACAGCACTGAATGAGCACTTGACAATGGTTCCTTCAGTACCATCTGTTCCATGTAGGGTTGAATTGGTATTGTCATCACTGACATCTACCACAGTGTCTATCAAACACTTGTTGACCTTATTTATTTCTTCCAACAGAACATGATTGACCTGCAATTTGCAATGAATGAATCTCTGTAGATAAAATCACTGCAAGTTGATGTGAAAAGGTTCTAGAACTAGAAAGTGTGGTGGGTCAACAATTTTATCAAAACTGATGAATGTAAATGCAACTTATGTGTCATGGCTAGAAAATATGAAGAGTTTCATTAATGTTCCAAGTTTTAGTCTACTTTTAGTTTCTTTCCATTTCTTTTCATTTATTTAATAGTTATTTGTAACATCACCTCAACTAGACCTAATAAAGCAGTCATACCTCAATCCTAGGCCTTTTGATACAAGAAATTGCAGTGGACTCCAAGTGCATCGCAAATAGGGAGCGCTTCATTTTTGTCATTCCAAATGCATTGCAATGCCTGGTCAGATCTTCAGCAACTGAACCTTTTGATCCACAAACTGGTGCTGATCCTGCCATTTTATCATCCAGACTAACAACTGATGCAATCTCAGTTACAGCAGAACTAAATGCTTTTGCTGACATTGATTTCATCTGAAAATTAACAACATTTTGAACTTATATCAATCATATTGAATTCTGTGCAAGCTTCATAAAAAGTTGAAAAAAAAAAACATCAGTTCTATGTTTGGGATTTAAAAAAAAAAAAAAAAAGAAAAAGGCAAAACTAAATGCATAGAAAGAAAACACTGGAACAGAATTAAGGAAGAGAAAATTGTTCTCTCCTCGCATCTGGTCATGGGGGCAAGGAAAATTAAAACAGGGTCGTTCTAAGAATACAAATTACTGTTTTAGTCCTTACTTCTAAAAAATAAAATACCGTAGGAATAAGAAAACGAAAATGAAAATAAAGTTGTAGCATGGTGAATAAGTTCTTCAGACAAACCACTTCAATTAAATGCTGAAGGGGGCGCTCTGCATCATTTGAATCCGCAGAAGTGACATTTGAAACAGTATAATTAGTATCACCAGAATTCTCCAGGGTTAAAGTTGACATCTCAGGAGTCTTAACATCACAAACCATGCCTGGTTCTAGAGAATCAGTTGTTTGTTGATATTCAAGTTCGCCAGCATTTGAGAATGAAGAAGAATCAATAATATGTTTCTCAGAAAGCCCTGGTTCAAGGGATGAAGTCATCTGAGTTGAACAAGGAATTCTTGCTGAACAGAAAGAGGCTTCAATTTTCGTAGGCAAACTGAACAAATTTTGCTTGTCAGTCTCCAGGGAATGTTGAGTTATCTGAGAAGATGCAGACTGGAGGAGCTTGGATGAATAAGTAGACAGTGAGACTCCATTATTAAGAGGGTGATGATGGAAAAATGAGTGCTGACCAACTGAATTAAGATGCTGAAAACCTGATTTAACAGTCTTCTCTCCTCCAGGTTTTGACTTCACTTTGTTCATCTGATGCACAGGAATTTCATATCCAATTCCTGGCCTTACTTTCAAGTCATTTACTTCAATTAACTGATCTTGTGGCATTTCAGGAGCCCAAAGCAGCTGCTGCTGCTGCATTTGCACTCGTCCCAATTGCTGCTGTTGGAAATTTTGCTTCAGCTTATGCACTGGTGCGTGCTGCTCTTCCAGCATTCTTTTTGGATTCATATGCTGCGGTGTAAAAGAACTTGAGCAAAAAGAATTTGCATTTGTTTCTGTCACATTTCCATGGCTTTGCAATAGCAAGTTGCCAATATTTGTTTGTTCACGAGTGCACATAGAAGTCTGTAAAGACCTCATGGGAACCTGCAGCATTGATTTCACTGGATTTGCCTGACAAAAATCTGATTTAGTAAGATTCTGTTGAGAGTTCATATTCTTTAGCCGTAGCATCGCAGGCTTAGATGAATGGTTAGAATCAGCCAACAAGCTTGTCACATTGTTCTGCTGTGGCATTATCATGCAACTCTGGGAATTCATTGATTGGAACTGTGATTCACGTTGAGAGTTTATTTGTTTATCTTGCTCTGATATATTTATATTCTGTTGAAGTTTGTCTGGCTGTAGTTGAGACAACTTTTGCTGATACTGATGCTGCAAATTAGGGGCAGTCTCTTGTTGCCAAAGCAATTGATTCTGCCTAGTGTTAAAAGAATCCAACCATTGCCTTTTTAACTGCTCTTGTTGCTGTAACTGCAACAATGGCTGCTCTGGGATGGGTAGCAGATTCTGTTGGATAAATGGAGCTTGATTTGGCTGTTGTTGTTGCCTTAAGGCTCTCTGTGGATATTTGTTAAGCATAGATGAAGTTGGCTGTTGAAGTTCATCAATTTGGGACCGACGACTCTGGAATGCTATTCAATGTAAAAGCCAAAAGCAAAGTAGCTATACAATCAGTAATGGTGCACTAAAGGACTAAAGGTACCTGTATCTAAAAGAAAGGGAGGAAAGCACTAAAATGGGAAGCCTACAAGAAGGAAATCAAATCAGATGACACCACAAAAAGACAAATAAAATGCTAACAACAAATTTTGGATGAAAGACCAATGCATTATTTAAAGGTTTAAAGGATGAGGCACACATAGCTGAGTATAAAGCTGGCATCTTGGCAACCAAGAGCACAATTTCCTGAGCAATCCAATTTACATATCTCCAAGACTTGGTCTGTAGAACGTGCTCTATTTTTACATGAAGCACATAAATGCAATATTGAAAATCTAAAACGGTCATAGAGACAAAACTTCCATAAACCATATTATGCCTCTTGCACCAAACATGCATTACCTGTTATATCGCCATGCAAAATTGCAGACAGTAGAACAGAATTCTTTTAACAAAAATCAGTACAATTTCAAATGTAAAAGACTCCCTGCTGATTTTTTTTATAGGAAAAAAATCCATTAACAAGGGAAGGGGGAAAGAAGAGAATACACCATGTTGGACAAAGGATCCTCCTAAATATTTCATCAGACAACTACCAACCAGAACGAGTCCACTAGATCCTATTATTATGTTGAATTTGTATTGTTTCCTGGAGTGGTTGTTGCTATAGTCGTCTAATCAGTCATGTTCAGTAAATTACATTGCGCTTGGAGTTAAAAATGGGTATCAAAAATCCATCTTCAACATATTTAATGTTCAGTGAGGCCTTATAAAGCATATTTCAAGTAAGAAAGACAATGTGTTGAATTAAGTTACCAAAGTAAATAAATGGCAGCTCATTGACCATATGAATTTAGCCAATGACCACAAATTAAACACATCAATACCATATATTAGTCCACATTTACCATAAAATAATCTATCCTCTTATTTTTTTTGGAATAGCGAGAACAAAAGTTTACTCTAAATTTTTGGATTTTATAAGAAACCAATGAAAGCAAGCATCAATGGAAATTTATGCCTAAACATGGAGAACAGATTTAACAATTAGTAACACCAGCAACAAATTATCACCTGGGTCTGGGGAGATTTCCGCTGAGCATGAAGAGTTTGATGGTGGATTAAACATTGGACACTCAAGTTTCTGACCGTTTATCTTGAGCAATGCTATTTCTACTCTGCTTACATATTCAGCCTGAGATAACACAATAAGTAACCTAAATATTTAATACATGCAAAATGTTTTTAGACAGTACTTTTCGTGCCCAAGGACAGAATTACAGGGTGTTATAAACCAAGTCCAGCTTTTCAGCATCTTTCTTGAATTAGCTGCTCCCAAGTCCAAAGACATATACTCACACGCATGTGCTTAAAGGCCTCTGGCTTTTAGAATTAAATGTTCACATTCTTTTGTATTTCAAATTTCAATATGATATTAAAAACCAAAAAGGAGATAAATAAGCAAATTCAAACCCTCGGAATGTATTGATGTTATAGGATCCATGTGGTCTGTAGACAGCTTGTTTGTAATTTAACAACAAAAACAGAGGAGTCTCTTGAAATAAATCGAGGACTTTATAAAACAAAATTATTTTGAAAAAATTGAAAAAGTAAAGTCAAAATGTTTATCCCTGTAATGTGATCAGCATATTACATACCTTGTTTTTGGATTCAGTCCAACATAACTCCTCAGCATTGACAGCAAGCTCCTGGATTGTTGGTGATAATGCTTGCGCAGGATGTAGTCGAAGAACATTTTGTTTTATTGCATCCAAAGTACAAATTTTTAATGCTCCAAGTATTAAATTGCCATCTTTCACAGCATTGGAAGTCATGAACATCCAATTTGTAAACATACTAGAATCCCTTGAAAAAGCATATGCTCATTGCACTAATTAATGGTAGCAGAAATCATGAAAACCATCAAATAATCGTATAAAAAATGCTAAATATAGAAAATTGACAATAGAAGTAAAAACATCAAACGAAATTGGCATTTGTGATGGTAATAAATGACAGCAATGTAAATGCACTGAACTGGTAATTATTAAACTGATCTTGCAAGGATATACAGTTGCACATGACCAGACAGATACAGGAATATAGATTAGCATAAGAAACATCTAGTAAGTCTAAATTTCACAAGTTTATGCAATGTCTACCCACAAATTTTCAGACAGCACTAGTAACACCGGCTCCCTCAAAACCCTACAATATCCTCCATCCCCTTCTAATCAATGCCTCCCATAAAATTAATCATTTGGGAGTCTTTCTAACTAGACAAAACAGAGTCACAAAAGGAGAGTTCCTTCTGCTATATATGCTGGAACATTAATTAGTCTTATGCAAAATGTCATAAATACCTCTCCAATAAACCATAAACCAAGCAATCAAGTTGATGGTTTAGTAGAAACAATTACATGTTACGACTTACATATATTTAAGAGCTTTCGATCGGCTGTTTGGTGATAGTTCTCTTCTCCAATCTCCAGGTTCCATGTTTATTACACCCAATTCAGACCTCCAGTTCTCATTCCTGGTCCATCAGACTACGGAAACCGTCTTAATTAGGCATAAAATAATTTAATAATTGCTCCTGATAAACCTAAAACATGTTCTTCCATTTTATAAACCCTAATGATGTAACAGTGTCAAAAGTTTAAAACCCTACATAATTAAGTCAAGATTATCAATAGGAAATCATTTTAACAGACCTTTTGATTGATTACAGGAAATATTGCCGAAGAAGAACGATAAGCCCTAATAGAAAACCTCAAGAAATTGAGTTCATCGATTGATTGACTAATTAGCAGCTAGGAATTTCGGATGCTTGCAACCTAAGAAATCTCCTTGTTTTGCGAGTGCATTAACCCTTTGTTTGGACGATAATATTTTACTTTCTTTTGGAATAATGAAAATAACTATGGAAAATAAATAAATTTTCATTCCTTACGTCCAAATAAAATGGTAAAAATAATTATAAAAAAAATTAATAATTCATTATTGTTTACTTAATTATTTTTCGCTCCTCAATATTTTTTTTCGTCTCCTTTCTAAAGGAGGGGTTGTAGTTTTTATAATTTATTAACTATTATTATTATTATTATTATTATAATTTATTAACTATTATATTTATTTTATTATTATGTAATTAATTATTATTGAATTAATTTTTTAAATTATTATTATTATTATTATTATTAGATAATTTTTTAAACGTAAAATTGCAAAACAATTGTGTATTTTTTTTCATAACAAGTTTGATCATGTATGAGCCCGACTCAAAAATCAACTTAAAATAAAAAGTAATTGACATATTGAAATTACAAAATTAATTATTTTCTTAATTCTTTATAACATTTACAAATACATTTTAATTAAATATAAATTAAATTTTAGCATATAAGGTTACTAGTAATATATAATATTGATATAAAAATTTATTATTTGATAAGAAAAATATATTAAAATTTATAATTTTCATTGCGTAATCAGCACGTTAACAAGTTCAAACTCGCTCAAATTAAATAAATCAAATCCGAATAAAAATTATTAATATTAGTATCGAAATGTGTGCAATATTGTTAAAATTTACGAGTTCTAGTGCACAATAAATTATCCGTAAAGTTTAGGGTGCCATAAGATTAAAATCGCAAATTCAGTAGTTAATTTATGTATTCAGCCATAATTATAGTAACTAATATATACATTAGTTACTGTAATAGAAGAATTACGAAATAGGAAAATAATATGTACTTATTATATAAAAAAACATATAAGAGACAATCAAGGATTGTGCAAATCTTTCCTTAATTAGAGTTTACATAGCAATACGTGTCAAGTTATTATTGGATCTATTTATTGCCATTAATTAATGACTTGGATTTGGAATTTACTCTTGGTTAATTTCGGGCTCAATGTCTAATTAACTAAAATTTGAAAAATTCATTAATGTTGATAAATAAAAGTTAGAAGGCTTAAATGGGAAAAGTAACCTAATAAATTTAATTAGGGGTTCAAATATGAGTTTTTTTTTTTTTTTTCCAAATTAGACACACAAAAATTGGACACCATGGCATGCTTATCCTCTCTATAAAACACTACCTTGATTTTAATGTGGTTGAAGTATATAAAAACTATAGTAGATAATTAATTAAATGAATTGTTACCTATAGAATATATTATTGAATATAATGTAACTATTTTTTATTTAATATCTAACTCATTTATTCAGAATAATTTTCAAGTTGCGGTTTTTTTTTTACTGGAAATATGACTTAATTATTATCAGCATAGATCATAAATCACTCCACTAAATCAGACATAGAACCAGTAGGATGAGCTAGCAAATGTGCAATTCGGTTCGCTGATCCTTTAGCAAAAGCAAATGATAAAGAATAGAACTCCGCATAAAGAGTTTTACGATCAGTTATAATAGACACAGCATAAGAAAAATCTCGTTGGCTTGTGTTTAAAGTTTGAATGGCCAAAAAGTTGTTGCTCTCCATCGTCAATGGAACATTCTGGTATCGCGTAACCAACTTAAAGCTTCCCTGATCCTTATTGTCTTTGCCATCAGAACACTTGCAACCCTACCAAGCTTCTGCAACTGACCACCTTCACATCTCCCATGGTTATTTCTGACCAGTCATCTCATTCCTGCCGTGCTATCCGACTGTAGTAGATTAGACTCTTCCGTTTTTGATTTAATGGTTTTGGATTATAAGCATTTTTTAAGTTTTAGGCTTAATATTAAAGTCAAGTGGGTTCGGAGACAACTAAATTTAGATGCCCGTTTTATTGCAAGAGCGTTTGTTACGCTTGTCTCGATAATTTTTTTATAATTATTTTTCATTTATAATTATTTTGATAGAATTAAGCTAGTTTAATAATTCCTTAATCCTTATGTAATTTTGATATTGTGTGACTTCTAATGAATAGGAGGAAGTGATAAGTAAATCTTATAACAGAAGAATTTCTTTTGCCACGTGTACAGTGAGGATGTGGAATTCTGAATTGATATAGAAATTAATCAAACATGGTGTGTACCATAGTAAAAACAGTGATTTGAATTTCAAAATTCGAAACATATTAATTATTGTTTTGAAAACTATTACCATACGGTACGTTTTTCATTAAATCATCCCATTGATTCTAACAGTTCATCAAAATATTTATTTATTTATTCCAAAATTGGAAATAATTCTCTTATACTAATAAATAATCACATCTTCTGCCACTTTGACTTAAAAAACAAAATAAAAAAAAAAAAAAAAACTTATACTAGATAAATAATTCACATCTTCCTGCCACTTGACTTAAAAACAAAATAAAAAAAAAAAAAAAGGAGATTTTGAAGGTATAGAAGGAAACTTAATTTAAAAAACAAAAAAAAAAAAAAAAAAAAAGGAGATTTTGAAGGTAGATAGAAGGAAATCTTAATTTTTGAAACTAAAACAGTCATAGATTCAATCCCCTTTCTCTTTTCTTACCAAATATCCATCTTCTTATAGTCTTTGATTCAATTTATCTATGGAGTTTAGGGTTGGTGAGATCTTATTCCAAATAATCAAGATTGACTATGAGATTTAAAATGGAAAAAAAGGAAATCTTGCATTATTAGTCAATTGATTTTCTAAAAATGGAAGATTTTGTATATATCTTTGTCCAATTAATTGATAAAGTCTGATCAGTTATTTCACAAAGAAAATCAATATTGTATTTTTTTTTATTTTAACTAGAAATTCATTTGAAAAATAAATATATTATTATAGATAAAACTTGCCTATACTTAGTATATGAGATCACCCGTACATAGTACATATCAAGCCAATGTATGAATGGTTCTTTTTTAAATATTGTTATTGAAATACTCATGTCCAAAAATTTATTTTTAATTAATTTGATGTATGGGTGAATCTGTATATCGAGAATAGATAAACCCTTCACCATTATTATTATTTCTTCAAAATTAATTTGCAAATATATAGAATTATTGCCATAAAACATCCATAGAATTTAACACACCTGCAAAGAGGGCGAAAAGCTTTTACTGTAATTAAGCTCTAAGCTAAATTAGGTGGTCTCTATTAACAAAGTCAGGATATCGATGCTTTACATTAAAAAAAAAAATCGATAGAGTTTAACATGGAAATTTGAACTTTTATGGTGTCAAACTATGTTCACATATATGTAGAGTTAAAAGAATGAATATATATATATTAGGAATGTAATTAGTAATTACATAGACATAGTCTTGTAAATGAATCTTTTTAATGTTACTAATCACTCATTGTATTAACAGCACTATGTGATTTCTTTCCATTCTTGATAAGATACTCTATTTATTAAACCCTAAATATAAACACATGCAATTCCTTCACCAATGCATAATCTTTGTATTCAGTCCAAATCACCAAAATTCAAGGTTTCTTTTCTTTCTTCTCTACCAGATGGACCCAGTTGCTTCTTCTGATCTTCCTCCTCCTTCTCCTCAACCTTGCCCTTCTGATTCCTCTAGCATCTCTGCTGCTTCAGAAGGGGTAAACAGTGATGTCAAGAACAAATTTATTGCCATGAAGATGAAGGAGAAGTTAAGCGAATCTAATTCTCCTGATTTGCTTAATTTAACTCTTTCGAGCGAGGATTCGATTCATGAGTCCAAGTTAGAACTCAATCTTTTTAGTTCCAGTACAAAAGATCAGTTCACAGATGATGATTCCAAGATTAAGGGATCTGAACAACCTAGGGTTTTTTCATGCACCTTCTGCAAAAGAGAGTTCTCTACGTCACAAGCTCTCGGTGGTCACCAAAATGCACATAAACAAGAACGTGCACTGGCCAAAAGGCGTCAAGGAATGGATTTTGGTACTGCTTTTGGTCACTACCCTTATTATCCTTATTCAACCCTATCAACTCACCATCATTCTTTGTTTGGATCTTTCAGTAGATCATCTCTTGGTGTTAGAATGGAGTCCTCGATTCATAAACCTCCATCGTCTTATTCTTGGATGTCCACCGTCGGTGGTGGCAGCCCCGTCAACACAATCCCTTACCGGTTTAGTCACGGTGGTGGATGGCCCATGCCAAATCCCATTACTTCACAACCTTCTATTGATAAGCTAAAGATTGGGAATCTGAATGCTATTAATAACAATGGAGGATTTGGAATTTCAAACCCGTCTTCTTCGAATAAGAAAATTGATTTATTTCGTAATATTGGTATTTCTCCATCAAATGTCGGGATAATTAGACCTACTGGTGATCATCATCTCCAACGACCTGACCATTCGATCAGTTATGATCAAGTTGATGCATCCGGAATTGATTTATCGCTTAAACTATAATTAGTGTTAATCAGAGATTGATGTAGTAGCTTTTCTTTTTTTTTTTTTTCGGTATTGCACACATGTTTAATTAATTATGGCATTGAATATTAGAGATTATGTACGTAAATGCAAAATCACTTTACTTTATGTTATCTTTTTTAATTTATTTTGTTTATAGTAGTGGGCCATGTGGTGGTGATTAATTTATATTTATAAAAATATTATTAAAATAGAATTAGTTTAAATAATATTGTAAAATTAGTTTGATGTGTATTTGAAAAAAAAAGGAATATTTATTTGCATATTTTAGACTTATTTATTTGTTTATTAATGAAGGAAACATCTCTTGATTATAAAAATCAAAAAATAAAAAGCTCGATATATAACATTGATTTCTCCAAAAAAAAAAAAAAAAAAAAAAAAATATACATTGATTTCTCCAAAAAAAAAAAAAAAAAAAAAAGGTAATACAAATGTTAGATAAATGTGGTTCAACTTGTAAACTTTGGCGATCAAGAAAAAATAAATCTTGGAAGGAGGGAAACACTTAGGCTTTCCTTCGCTGGTTAGGTAAGAAATAGAGAGAAAAGAGTTTTTAAATTTTTTTAAAAAGATAAAAAAAAAAAAAAAAAAAAAAAAAAAAGGTAATACAAATGTTAGAAAATGTGGTTCAACTTGTAAACTTTGGCGATCAAGAAAAATAAATCTTGGAAGGAGGGAAACACTTAGGGCTTCCTTCGCTGGTAGGTAGAAATAAGAGAAGAGTTTTTAATTTTTTTAAAAGATAAATTGTGGGCTAGATTGAATGGATGAGCTAATAGATTTCTTTCTCGGACAGGGTGAAAGATACTCCTTAAATGGATGGCTCAAGCAATTTCATTGTATTGCATGAGTGTTTTCTTGTTACCTTTGGGTATGTGTGATGAATCGCAAAAATTAATGAATCAGTTTGGGTGGAGGTGGAAGAAAGGTTGAGGGAAGGGTATGCATTGGTTATCATGGGATCGTATATATGTGGGATGGAAAAGGAGGGGGGGATGAGGTTTAGGGACCTCCATTGTTTTAATTTGGCAAAGCTAGGAAAACAAGAGTGGAGGTTATTATTGAAACCCAACACTTTTTATTATCATGTGTTCAAAGCTAAATACTTCTCGGATGAAGACTTTCTAAGTGCTTCCTAGGTAATAATACTAATCTAGTTTAGAGGAGTGTTGTCTTCGAGAAAAGTCTTAAAACATGAGGTTCGCTGAAGGTAAAAAATGGATTGAGTATTAATGCAATGAAGGGTCCTTGGCTTCCTATTGATTACCCTTTTAAAGTAACCGATGAGGATGGTTTGATTAATACGAAAATGAGAGTGCATGACCTATTGAAGGTTAGAGAGCACATGTGGGATAGTGATAAAATCATGAGCTTATATTGTGCTATGTATGGACTATTCTAGAAATTCCCCTTAGTTTGATGAATAGAGAAGATCAACTCATTTAGCATTTTGAGAGGAGGGGGTATATATAGTGTCAAGTCAGGGTACTAGTGGTTATGAAAACTTTTGGAAGGGATAATTTTCGAGGAGGCGGGGATTTTTAGGGTAGGGTGTGGAAATTGGATGTTCCACCAAAAGTGAAAGATCTTATACGGATAAGTTTGAGGGGTGTGCTACCTACTAAGGAGAGAATTAAAAGTAGAATGATTAATATTAATTGTCTGTTGTATAGTATGATAGAGGATATAGATCATGCTTTAGTGGGTTGTACAGCTAGCAATATTTAGAGGCTTGGGGAGTTTAGGAGGGAGCCAACCAACATTTGCTTTAAAGATTTTCTTGGGCAGGTTCTGAATCAAAATGACGTTGTTGTTGCTAACTTGTTTGCAATGGAATAGATTTGTGTGGAACAACTTTTTGATAACTTATGATGGGGTTCTTGCGGCAGCTTGTTTCCAGTTACAAGACTCGCAGAGTCGCAGGCATTGAACAATAAACGTAGCTCAACCTCTCACTTGCATGCTACTGTCCAACAGCTAGAGTAAATTCTTGATATTTTAAATGCATGGCAAGCCACGTTGATGATGTCATCTTCCAATCAGCATGTATCATTAGATTCAGAGTTACTTTCGAGGATAAGGAAGGTTGTTTTCTCAAAGCTCTGTCAGGGTTTGAAGAAGGTGCAACAACTCAGATTGCGAAAGCTACAACATTGAAATAATTAAGCTTTAAGTTTAATTATCTTGAACTGAAAAACCATTTTAGACAGCAGGAGAAGATATTAATATTGTTTGGATTAGAAGGCAAGCTAACCTCTCATTTCTTGGCTCGAGCATCTTATCGTCATAAAATAGCTTCTAAATTTGGGATTCAATTCGGCTATGTTTGTTGGAATTTTTTTCCTTTGAGTTAATGCAATTTTTCCGTTTCTCTTTAAAAAAAAAAAAAAAAAGAAAAATAACCTTAAATTAAATCATTGATAACTAGAATTTGACATTTACTATCCTTTAAACACAATGACGAGGGTTTATAATTATTGATAACTAGGCATGCCTTCTTCTTCTTCTCATTAATTAAGACAATAAGACTATAAATTAAATATTATTATGGGGAAATATATGTTTTGCTTCATATTAATTGTGACTTATATATCTATGGGTTGTAGTTCAGTTGGCAATGTAGATTGAGTACGTCGAAAGAGTTCTAGAATTTGATTTCCACTAAACGCACTTACAGAGAGGGGCGAGAGATCTTATCTGTCACTGAGCCCCGAACCTAACTAAGCAGTTTCTAGTAATGGGGTCCGAGCACCGGTGATTTTAAACAAAAAAATTATGATTTATAAATTATAATATTTGACGTTTCTTTATGAGCTTTCGAGGGTTCTTCTGGCTTTTGCTTTTAATTAAGTAGATGATCATTTGTAGAATTAACAAGATTAATGTATAATCGCATACTAATTGGATCTTTCTTTAAAAAAAAAAAAAAAAAGGATCATCCATAGTATAAGAGGAACGTCATTTTACTATTATATTTCCATTATTGCTTAAAAAAAATCAAATTTATTATGGAAATTTGACATTATTTTGGTATCAAAGCACGCTCAGATATTTGTAAAGTTTCACAATATAGATTCTATTCGATGCAATTAATTTATTTTCTTTTAATAAAAATATTATATTTAACTTTTATATCGTGTTTGATTAGACTATTTATATATAGACAAGTTATATATTCTTTCTTTTATAAATATTTTTTATATCCATTTACATAACACTAATACCGATATTGAAAACTAACCCTCTGTTTATTTCCGTAAAATAACTTGTAAGAAAATATTTTTCTTAATTTTTCTTTATGGCGTACAGAAAAATAAGTTAATGGAAAATATTTTTCTGATAAAAAAAAAATAGTCACTTTTTAAGGAAAATAACTTTCTATTTTTGACAAAGTAAAATATTTTTCGGACATTGATAAATTATATAAATCCATATTTTTGTTTCGCTCTTTCCATATTTAATTTCATTTTATTATTTATTTATAATAAAAAAATTATTAATATTGATGGTTTATAAAATATAATACATAAATTTGGTATAATTCATGTAACTATTCCAACACCAAATCTTTTAATATTTTACAGAGAAAATTAGTTACAATTTTTTAGGGAAAAAAAAATATAAATATGAAATTATTTTAAATTAATAGAAATACTTTTATTTTAAATAAAAAAACCAAACCACAGTAACTGTATCAGAAAAATTAGCGATCACAAAGTTCAATACGTGTGCTACTCTCATTGACTGTTGTATACTTCAAATGAGGAGCATGTAACTTTATCAATAAATATTTAATTCTCAATTTTCTCATTTTTTTGTGTTTGTCAAACCTGTACGGACGGATATTCCGTGGAAACGAGAGCCTGTTTTTTTAACAAGTTTATGGATCTGAAGAGGGATAGCTTGTAGATTTTTCGTGCGATATCCAAATTCAATTATGAAGAAATGATTATGATTTGAAAAAATATCATTTCGATCTTCTTTTTGGCTGTTTTCGCTTTCTGCTTCAGCTTTTGTAATTATTTATTTCTTATACATTTTTTTTAATTTAAATGCTCCAAATCTGACAAGCCATGAGGAAGAAGCTCGACACCCGTTTCCCAGCTGTAAGTCTCTCTCTCTCTCTCTCTCTCTAGTTTTCTCCGTCTTGATTTGGGTTTTCGGTGTTTGGTATCTGAGGAAATCAAAGCGTTTGACCGATCGATTGATTGACTTATTGAGGGGTTTGGTCAATTTAAATCCTTTTGGTTTTGATTTTTGGGGTTTAAGTTATTTTAAAACCTTTGAATTGATGGGCCCTTGATTAGAGTCAGAATTAGGAGGTGGGTATTTCAAAATTGAGGAATTTATGTGGGTATACGATCTGGATCAGATTGTTTTTTAATTTGTTGTTGGCTCTGGTTCGAATTGTGATATACACGGAAAACAGCTGATGGGTAATTGGTATGGAAGGCTTGTTGATTGCTGGTTGATAAATTATGCCAATTATGGAATTGGTATGCTGATATATGGGCTTGGTTGCGTATGTTTGTTGTGCTTTTGCTGTTCTTTTCTTGTTTTTAAGTGGTTTGGTACTGAAATCAGTTGATGGCTGCTCATCTTTGGGGCTATTTGTGATTTGTGTTCTATTTATGTTATGTGTTCATATTCTGCAGCTGCTTTCTTTCCTAGGCTATGTTTAGTACTGGAGTCACAATTCGATTGATTGTTTTTAAGGCTTTTCATGTGAATCTATTAGTGCTATGATTTGCTTTGCTTCTGGGATAGGTTATTTTACATGCCTGTGATAGAGAGCTAGTGAGTGGGAGTTCTATAGTGCTTGGTTTAACCTTTTTTTTCTTTAACTAGATTTTTCTGTTCGAAGTATTTACTTCTTACTATTAAAAATGGCTGGTCCTACCATTTCACTCTCTTTTTACTTTTCTTGACAAGCATGGGTCAGATTGATTATGTTATTTTCAATACTGGAGCTGGGATGTGGGATCAGGATCTGGTTCTTGCTTATATGTTTTGACTATCTTCAAGAGTACTTAATCTATTTCATACCCTTATTTCATTTATGGGCCTCAGTATATTGATGGTATTGGTGTTAATGGAAACATTCCTGTAAGACGTCTCCTATAAGTGCCTCTGGCATTGTGGGACTAATTATCCTCCCTTCTTGAAACATTGCATACAAGCATATAATGCCAATACGCAATCAACCAGCCCTCAGTAGACTGTCTTCCAATAAATGCCAATTTTGACACAGGATGAAAGCTTAGAAGAGTCTATTGCATTAATTTGGTTACAGACCTCAAAGGCATTTATATAAGTGTCTTATATTATTTTATGACTTCAGGATTTGAGTTGTTTGGTGGAATCTAGAAACTTACTACACCAATTATTGATCACAGGAAATTAGCAGTTGACTTCTGCCATACTTGATGTTTTCATGCTTGGAAATTTGACTAAAATAACTATTTCAACTAAAATACTTGCCTTCTAATGGGCATGATTTTCTTAAATATTGCTGAAGGTCAGGTTTCCTTAATGTACATTGTTATCTGATGGAAAATATTAATTTGACAGGCTCGAATAAAGAAGATAATGCAAGCTGATGAAGATGTTGGGAAGATAGCGCTAGCAGTGCCTGTTTTAGTTTGTGAGTAGGCGTGATGACCCATGCTTTAGCCTTCAGATATTAACTATATCTCATTTGGTTGCTTATGATGTTCTTATATATCATTGCAGCTAAAGCATTGGAATTGTTTCTACAAGATCTTTGTGATCGTACATATGAAATCACTCTTCAACGAGGAGCAAAAACTATGAGTGCATTGCATTTGTAAGTGAGAAAATCCTAAATTCAGTAGAATTCTGCTGTCTTGCTAATTGGTGTGTTGCTAGCTTCTCAATGACTGAATGTTCCGTTTGTCATATGGATTTGTTTTCTTTTAAGCTTCCTAAGCCATTTTGAGTCGATAATTATAGAAAATGCCACCTGATGCATGAAGAAACAAAAAATAGAGCAAATAAATAATTCCTTTTGTTGTTTGGATGTTGATCAAATTTAAGAGATCGACAATTTTATTCAAAATATATGTATATTATGAATAGAAGTTAAACTGGTAAAAAAATTTCTTCAAACAAGTGAAATAAATGAACTGTAATTTCTGTGAAATGTGGAAGAAGGTTTTTGGATGGTGCTTCCTGGTTGATGAGAAGTGTTATATTTTGGTGTGAGCATATGATGTATGATTACCACTAATTGCAATTGGGTTATGTGACATAGTGATGATTTAATCAGTTTCTACTGATCTTAATGGAGGAACCTTTCATATGGTTATTCTAATATAGTTTCATAGTAACCTAGTTATCGAAAATGGTATGGCCAATATTTAGGTGACTAGTTTGGTATTATGCACTTTAATATGTCAATTTCTCCATACTTCATTGTGAATTTCATTCCTGGAATGAAAACAAGTTTAAGACCAAATTTTTGAGGCTGGTAATACTGTTTATGAACTTAGTTGATGGGCCCTTGTCATGGATGGAAGGCATGATCAATGAGGGATCAAGTCATGGAAGTCTCCCTTCTTGCCTTTTAATGTATTATTTCAAGAGAAATAGAAGAGTTTGCAACAAAGTTCACATAGAAATGGAGAGATGAAAGAAAGGAGTATGAAAATGTCGGTCCTTCTGTTGCCTTTTCCCCTTCCAACTGAAAGACTTGCTATCACTGATTGTTAAGGGCCTTTCTTCTCTCTTTTTCGGATTTTCATTAATATCTAATAATTGCATAGTGTTTTACCTTAAATAATTGAATTGCATAGAGTTTCTTTATCCTCTCAAAAGGAAAGTAGTGGAAACATGATTCGCTATTCCTGTTGCTGCATTTCTTAGTAGGCGATGTTTGATTTTACAATTTATGAATTTGATCTAATCACATTGCTTTTCTTATGTGCAGAAAACATTGTGTACAGAGCTACAATGTGTTTGATTTCTTGAGAGATATTGTCAGCAGGGTTCCTGACTATGGTCACGGTCATTCTGATCACTCTGCGGATCATAGACCCCTGCAAAAGAGGTAGTTATACAAATTGTGTCTTCTTTTTTTCCTTAATTGACTCCCCTCCTCCTCCTTTTCCTCTCTTCTTTTCAATCTCTTCTCCTTCCATTGTGGATGTAGCAAATTAAGCTTGTTCATTGATCTTGTGCCAGGAAACCCATTGGGGATGAATGCAATGATAGCGATGAAGAGTCAAAGAGAAGCAGGATGGTAAGAAACCCTCCAAAATATACCAGAAACCGGCATGTGTTGATTTTAAATTGATGTTATCTATACACTGAGAGCTCGTAGGCCTTATTTTGCAGATCTCAGCTTATGAGCTTGTTACTTCAATCTTTCTCTTTTAACCTTTTTCAAGAATCAGTTTATTGTTTTACGTTTGTTCCAATTTTCATATTTAAGGGGTAGTTGTTAACCCAAGTGCCTTTGTTATCCTTTTGAACTGCATCACGCATAGTAGTGTTTCAAAGTGTGAGAAAGCATGTCAAGTGTGAAGGCTGGGGTCTTCACTTTTCAGCATTTTAAATTTGGTGCATTTGTTAGTCTTCTTGAGATGGAGTTATATATTAAAAAAATTTGTTAACATGTCAAATGATACAGCATGAAACGAGCCATGCTGGCAGTAGTGGCAGAGGGAGAGGCCGTGGCCGAGGAAGGGGCCGCGGGCGAGGCAGTCGAAATGTTGAACGAGAGTCTTCTCATCGTGAGATTGAATCTGAGCCCAGCACAGCTCTTCAACAGAGCATAAAAGTTAACTCAAATCCTGGTATTGCGGTGGATAATGGATCAGAATCAAAGGAGTTGTTGATGGAAGATGCGGTAGCCAGTGATGGTGCCAATGCATCAGAAAGAAACTTCGATCTGAATGCTGATGTTATTGAGAATGAGGACAGTAAGGCTACAGCAGCAGCATCAGCAGCAGCAGCAGCAGCAGCAGCATCAGCATCAGCATCAGCATCAGCAACATCACCGTCAACATCAACAGCAACCGCAACAGCAGGAGCAGCAGTGATAGATAGCTCAGCAGCCGTGCCTGCTACTGACACTAACCGCGAAGAATATCCAGGTTGGTCACTCTCTGAAATGGACAAGATGCCCTTTGATCCTCTTCAGCTTGCACAACTTGGCACAAGATTAGATGAAGAGGAGGAAGATTACGATGAAGAAGGCTAATTGACCAGTAGTGAGGGCTTCTAGTAAACAGTTAGTGGTTCAGTTCTGATTAAAAGGGTGTGAAGACAAGGGGAGAAAGCAGCAGAAGGTGAAGTGCAGAACATAGCATATTAGGAATGAACGCGTCTTTTGTGACATCCTTTCTGAGAAAGAATGGAATGAAATGATCTCTTCCTTTTGTCTCTCTTTATCAATCTTCTGTCATGCAATCTCCTAAATGTCAGTGCTATATCCTAACAACCCTTTCCAGTAGTAAATTTGCTGAAAATCTCAGAAAAATTAGTATGTGTGTTTTTAATATCTAATGTAGGATGAACACAGCAGCCCTGGCAGTAGAAGTTGCTGTTTAAGATTGTCGTGTATGATTTCTTTTTCAATTTTAGTGCAACCTCATTTCATTAGCATCCTTATGAATGAATGATCAGCAACTTTCAAGACTACTGCTTATTATTTTAAATTGCAGATAGTGAGAAGGACAGCATTCCAGGGTATTATTTAATTTGATTGGGTTCGCTCCTTGTGTTTTATGGTTTGCTTTATGCTCTCCAATTGCTGGGGCTGGGGCTATTAAGGAGTTGGTGTGTTTGATTTGATCCAAGTCTTTGTTCTTTCTAAACAGAAAGATCGTTTGCTTATGTTTAATCTGCAACGAGTTTAAATTGTGATTTGGCTAATTTTTTTAAAATAAAAACATATAATTACCCTTAAACTAAGATGCTAAAATACCATTATATGACAAAAGTACAGACAAACTGTATTTCTGTAAACTGTAATCAAAAGGAACAAGCTTTAGAAATATTAATAATTACAGAAATTAAACCAGATAAAGCATTAACAATCCACGCATATAGATATTATCATTTCAGTATATCAAGGAGTTAGACGTGTGCCTCCATCTGATTGAGAAGGAAGTTGCCTTCATTGTTTTTGTGCACCTCAACCTTGTACTTCTCTTCATTGCTTCCCCTCTTCACCTTAAGGAGCATATCAAACTTTGCAAAATCATCCACTACCTGTTCACCATTTATGAACACTTATTAGCTCATGAAGAAGAGCTCACAGATCATTAAAAAGATGGTCTTTCTAATCTTAATGTTGACTCTCATAAGACCAAATCCAAGGTAGTAGTTTCTATGTAGCAGGAAAACGATACTCTGTAGAAAGCAATTCATGTTCAAACACAGTAATATCAGAAAAAACATGTTGAAACTCCAATTCCAGTAAGAAGGGGCTATAGAAAGAAAGAAAGAAACTTCAACTCCCAAGTAATATTAGGACTCGTTCTAAGTTCTAACCCAAAGAAAGAAACAAATTAAGCAAACAGATTATACCTCAGCCTTCGCATGAACAATCTCTTGAAGCTCATAAGGGAACAATGAATTGGACCTCTGCTGAATGGTCTTCACAGCATGATTTGCAGCATCTTGCACTGCAGGATCATGTGCTGGCACTTCTCTCCATCCAGGCCCATGCCCATCTGTTTTACAAAATTAATCGAGTCAGTATCTTGATACAAAAGCTAATACAGGGTTATGCCTTCCACTTGCCTCGTAATCAATTGAATAGCAAAGAAATAAAAATAAAAAAAAGCTTAAACGAAGTGTTTAACCTCTTTTGACACCAAGATCTGAAGAGGTGAAGGATGAAGCACCACCATCAGGTCCATCAACATCCCCAGCATGCTTGAACTCCTGTAATTCTTTGAAGTTTAGCCAAGGCTTGACCCAAATCTTCGCTTCATAAAGCTTTTTCTTTCCAGCCTCAATCGCTTCGATAGTGAGGTGATGCAGAGTCCCAGCCACCACTTGCTCTTTCGCCTTCACCACTCTCGCAAACTCCAACAACGCATTCTTCATAAAACAAAAACCATGACCAAATTTAAGCTAAATCCTTCAATAATTAACCATATTTATCGAAAAAAAGAACAAATAAACAATTCCATACCTCTTTCTTGTTGTGTTCTTCGACGGCGAAACGAGCCAGACCGTCGATCTCGACGCTGTTGGCGCTTACTTCGCGAACTCCACCGAGTCTGGCCATTTTGTCGCCGCAAAAACCTGACTCTCCGATCACAAAAGAAGACAGAGAAAAGAGTATTACAATAAAAAGCAGAAGAGTAGATGATAATGGTGTTAAGGTGCGAGATCTCATGACTTTATAGATTTCGAGTTGACCCTTTCCTTTCCTTCACTGACTCTTTCGGATGCTGCCATTGCTATTTCTTTGTCGATGGAGGCGCAGGATTTTGACACGTGTAAACACGTGTTGATCAATGGCCTTGAGATGCGCACCGGTGGAATAAATTTTGCTTAGTGAGTAAGCTTACGGTGGATGGCTGTGGGGTCCATTTGGTACTTTAATAGAGATCAGAGACGCGGAGGAAGAAATAGAAATAATGAAATAGCATGGGCTAGAGTTAAATATTTTTCGCGCCAGGCAGATGTACAACGAGGGCTTAATTTTAAGAATATCACAATAATTTAATTAAAAGATATTTTTAATGAAAAATATTCTCGTTATCCTTTCATTCAGTAAATTATTACCTTTCAAGATGAGAATATAGAGTATGATTACAGTAATAAAAAGTCTCAGAGATCATAGAATACAACATTTCATTAAATGAACAAGAGGTTACACACAAATGACATAAACTCCCTCTTGGAGAGAAAAAAAAAGAAAGTTCAAAAGAACTATAAGGGAAAACTATATCAACTTCAACGATGGGGAAGAAAACCAGCGAGGCTCAGCAGCACATATAGGCTTATAGCGCTTCAAAACCAAACCAATTATCAAGGTATCTGAGACAGCACTAGAGCTATTCTAAAAACAGGAAGAGAACAGACACGAGACACAAAACACACTCGTGCCACATCTTTCCCCTCCGCAGGCTAATGAGCAAAAAGGCAAGGACTCCCCATCAATTTTGAAGAAAGAGGTGAAAAGGAAAAAGATGTGTGTTTATACAACAACTATTTGATGAACAACAAAAACACTTGTTCACACATAGGAAACTTCATATTTCTGTATTCCTTCAACTGCTTCTCCTCACAAAGACTATCTCTGAATTACTTGATTTTGGGTCATTTCCCGGGGTTGATTGACGCTTTACCTGTCATTTTGTACCACAGAAAGAACAGTCAAGAATCCAAACATTCTGTGCGTGTCACATTACAATTTCAAACCAAAGCAAATATATATATACAATTTCAAGACCAAAGCATAAATATATATATATATATATAATATAATATATATATATATATATATATATATATATATATATATAATATATAATATATATATTAAGGAACGGAAAAGGAAAAGCAGGCATAGTAGACAAACCACCATAGCGTTCAAGCAAGGATGATACAAATCAAAGTGGCAACTTATATATAAGACGGAAAAGAAAAGCAGCATAGTAGACAAACCTCATAGCGTTCAAGCAAGGAAACAAACAAAGTGGCAACTCCGTGGATCACAAACTCCTGACCCACACATGCACGTATACCGGAACCAAAGGGAAGAAAAGCTGCATTTTCATTTGGATCATTCAAAATGAATTTGTTTTCAGTGTGGTCAACAGCATTTTCAGCAACTTCTGAGAATATCATTACCACAGATTGGTTAATTTTGAAGCTTTTTCAGTAAAATTGAAGTTAAACAAATGCATTGATTACACATTCCTGAAATTGCTACAATGCATACTAGACACAAGGAAGTGAATAATATGAACTTAACTAAAAGGCACGACAATAAAATGTGAAGGAAACAAAAGTTATTAGTGAGGTAACAACATTAAAGGATATTTTGGGGGTTAAAATTATAGCTGCATATCTTGGGAAATAGAATTAAGCACTTGATCGAGTTGCCAGTAACTTGTATTTATATCAAGGGAAAAACATACTGGAAAGAGGCAGGAAAGAACCTGTAAATGGCAAATGCACTGAATCAGAAACCTCCCCAACTTTTGACAAAAACCGATATGGATTAAATTTGCTAGCATCACTGCCCCAATTAGCATCATCCATCTGCAGCAAATGTACAGGCACGACCAGTACTGCTCCGGCTGGTATAATAACACCATTTTTGAGCTTCAAATCTTGCAGCAAAAAAGAAGAGGAGAATGGATCAGTAACTCTATAAAGAGAAGTGGTAGAGCAGAATTAGCAATTATGAAAAACAAGCAGTAACATTAATCATAGGCGATTGATAAATCTAAGATGATCTTTTGAAACTTGAAAGGAAATCTAGTAACATAAATCTAAAGTGTAACTTGGTTGCTCTAACTGGAAACATATAACAAAAGAGTTAAATCCTAAACAAAAGAGAGAGAGAGAGAGAGAGAGAGAGAGAGAGAGAGAAAAGAAATACAGACATAACAAAGTTGAGTGATAATCAACCCAACCACTGAACCAGCACCCATATGAATTCCTCCCCTGCCACACTCTTTCTCCATTCACCCCTCATTATGTCCACATGCATGAAAAATAAGCAGAACTTTGAAAAGAATTTCCAAAATTCATGAACACATAGGTCCAAAACAGATCAGCTAATTGTGATAACGGAAATAAGCTACAATGTTGATAAGGTGAAAACAAGTGGAATGTGTATGAGAACTCTTTAAGTAAACTAAATATCCAAGGTGATCTCCATGCATCCTCTGCAGATAATTTAAAAAAAAAAAAAAGACAAATATCCTGGCATGCCAAACTAGCCCTTGGAAATAAATAGTCAGTGTCTAACCATCTTTCAGAGAACATCTCTGTAGCAGAGGACCTGGTGGCAGAAGGCGGGCTGATTCATAAATAGTTGCCAATAACAAGAGCATTTTACCAACATTTTGATCATCTTTTGCGGATCCTTGCCTTGCCATAACGATCTCTGAGTATATCTGTACATGCAAATACAAATATTTAAGTAAATTGCAACATAGACTGTTAATGGCAAGATTGGCATTTGAATAATTGATCACTGCACCGTCATATGACCTGGAAAGAAAAGAAGAGGAGGGGGGGGGGGGGTTGACCTGGAAAGAAAAGAAGAGGAGGGGGGGGGGGGGGTTGGAGATGTATTTTAAAGCTCCAAAACATAATGCCACTTACCATCAGTTGTCAAACGTGGGGGGGGGGGGGGGTTGGAGATGTATTTAAAGCTCCAACATAATGCCACTTACATCAGTGTCAACTGATTATATAATAATGCCCAAGGAAGGCCAACATACAGTGGAAATAACTTAAACACAAAATTCAATCATGTTTTAAATAAATCACAAACTGGTTAAATAAAATCATCAGTTTCATCATAGCAATATGACTTACCAGTAAACCATAGAGCAGCTACCAAAATGCATGAAGCAGGGTTTGCCACCCAATACAGTGTAGTACGGAAATGTAATGATGCTAAGGAAAAATATAACAACACTTAAACATCATTTATGCCAGCCTTATGCCAAAAATTGAGAATGCTATATAGGCTGAATTTAGGAAAGATTCAAGAAATAATGGCAAAAGGTCAAAGTTCTAACACAGCAACAAAGGAAATGTTCAGAGTCAAATGAAAAGAAAGCCCCTACCTTATCCTGTATCTCTGGATCAGCAACAAGCCTTTCCAATATATTAGCTATCAAACTTGCTGTGGTTATGCATCCATGAAACATCATCCCCGTAACATTCCCATATGGCTCTTCTTTTGCAATAAGATGGCCATCAACCTCCCTCGAGAAAAATTTATACGGCATGACAATGCCAAAAGGTGACATACTAGATGCACTTTTCAGTCCATATTTCATGGTTTCATCATTGGAGCTGTGGTCTACATGGTGAAATAGTTTGCAATTTTTTCTGCACTGCTGGATGATATCTTGAGTTAAATATTTCAACTTTGTGCACAAATACTGGTAAGTCCAAAATCCATGTCTCCAGAAGGGAGTAACTCTATATGAGGCCCAGAAGGAAGCATCTTTTGCAATCATCATTAGAAGTTCCTCATAAAACGTTGCCTTTGACCACGCCAGGAATGTATCCCCAAAGAGTGTGGTCCCCAAAATGGTAAAAGCCATATGTTGAGAAACCAATTTACAATCAACACTTCCTTTGCCCAAAATCTCATCCAATCTTTCCATGATACAATTTATAACATCTTTAGAAATTATATCAGCTCTTCCACGCAATTTTTCATTCAATTGAGATGCCAATGATTCTCTTCTTTTTTGTGCCTGCACATAAAAAAAAAAAAAAAAAAAAAAAAAAAAAAAAAGGAAGGAAAAAAAAAAAAAAAAAAAAAAAAAAAGAAGGATAAGCAACGAAAATATTGCAGGGGCATTCAATTTGATGAACATTTGTGCAGCTAGTGACACCAAAGCAGTGTGAGAGGGCATAAAAAGGAAAAATTTATACCTGGTCATAGGAGCAAAAAAAGAGGTTTGATCGTCCAAAGGCTAAACGAAAAGCCTTCCCAGAAAAAGGCAATTTGTCCTCAGCCTTTAAAAGCATATCTTTGATAAGTTCTGGATCTTTTATGGATACCAGAAGCTGAGTAGGCCCTAACCACAACTTGAAAACTGAACCATATTTACTGTGCAGCTTCGACAAAAGGTCTGAACGCCAAATAGGATGAGTGAATATAATTCTCCAAACACGTTATCTTACCCAATGTTTCAACAATCGAAATAATACATACGCAAACACTATCAAGCTATTCCACCAAAGAAAAACATCTACAAACATCTGTACTACCTAACTGACTTCTTTTTCTCTCATCATCTTTTTCCTATTTCCTTTTAACAGTCTTTCGCGATGTAAAATAGCAGAAACATAGTATTTTCAGATTCTAAATCAAATCAATTTCAAAAGTGTGCAATTAGAATTCCAATTGACTTCTTTTTACTCTCAAGTCCCTTCCAACTTAAATCCTAAACAATTAAACTTCATCCTTCATTTTCCACATAACTAAAACATAGAATCAAAATCAAAAGCAAATGCATCGATGATGGATAACTAACCGATGAAATTGTCGCGGGAACCGAAGTTCTTATGGCCGAAGAACGAACTACTAGGAGGACCAGCAATTCTCCTAGCTTTAGCCCATAATCTGAACAATTTGAAAACCTTCTCGAGCGAAAGAGCGGTAATAGTTACTAGAGAAATCCATAGGAAAGCGTTGAATTCCCATGTTGCATAGTCTTTTAGTAATCGAGAGCTTTCCTCTGAATCGCAACTACTGTACCCAGATTTGGATGATGAAAAGAGAAACGACATGAGTTTGTTTGGTAATTTACATGGAGAACTCATTTTCTTCCTCACGGAGATGGAGACCAACGGAGAAGATGAACATTGACTTTTGAGAGACTGTAGATGGTTCTTGTTTGTATATATATATACTGTAGATGGTTCTTGTTTGTATATATAACTATATATATATATATATATAATATATATATATAATATTGCAGTGGAGCACATGGAAATATTGGAAAACTCTTTATATATATGCATGGAGCACATGATATTTGGAAACTCTTTTTCTTTTTAACCTTCCATGCCTGGATCTATTATTAGTAACTAATTAATTTAGTTCGAGACTTAATTATAATAAAACTCTTCATCCTTTGCTGTAAATGTATTCGTTGAAAATCGAATCAAGAGCTTTTTTTTTCATATGCCCAACTTTTACTAACCGAGCCGTAGCCAGTAAATTTTAAATGCTCTCTATTTAATTGAAAATTATTTATTATTTATTAAATATTGTGATCGATATTTTAATTTTTATATTCAAAATAAAATAAAAAATTATAAAATAATTAACAATTAAATAAAATATATTTTACTTCCATTTTATCTATATAAAATTTGAATGGAACTGTCTATAAATTTGAAATTACAAAAAGAAACTGACAGTAATTTTTTAAAATTTAATTTTTATTACGAAATAATCAACTATAACAATATTAATAATAACTTTATAAAAAATAATAGTTTATTAAAATATGTAAAAAAATAAAACTAATTCAATTTATATGAATAGGTATAAGGTAAAAAGTTGAATATATAAAGCCAATAGTTGACTTTAAATATTGAAATATTTTATGCATTCACACGAAATAAACTTAGTGAATAAATAATAATATCGATAATACATAAAATGATATTAATATTAAGATAAAACTAATAAAATTTAAAAATTAATATCACAATAATTGATGATAATAAAATACAAATTTTATTTTTCAATTAATAAATAATTTAAATATATTTTCACCCATCGATAAAATTTTCTTGCAAATTTTAATATTCTTGCAAATATTTTTCTGTAGCGCCGTCTAAGATTTTTTTCCAACCCTGTACTTGCGCTTGTTGTTTGTCCACATCCGTAAAACAAAAATAAACAAAGGATTATAGTGTTCGAGGCGGCCACGTGGGTTTGTGGTACCGTTGAAAGGCATAGGGAAGCGCCAACCGCCAATCCCCAGTACGCTGGTCTTATCCAACTCGTCGGTATCTGTCGACTGTCCAGATACAACCTCCCAGAGACAGGCGGAATCACATTGAATTTTAAACATAATTTCATTTTTCTTTTTTTTGTTATATCTTTTTTTTTTCTTCTTTTTAAATAAAATTCCGCTCCATTTCAAGCCATTCTACCATCCATTCTATTTTCAATGCAACATGGATAATAAAACGAATATGAATATTTGAAAATATTAATATTGAAACTCCATTAGATTATGGATTTAAATCGCTAATCGCAGACTAATTTTTTGTAAATTTTTCTCTTCTCCTTAATTTGATAAGCTCTTAACCATCGATTTTAATTAGCTTTTTTGAATTAATTTTTTAAAATCGAATTTAGTTTATTAAAATACAAACTAGTTTATTAAGTGTACGTTCATAAAAAAAAAAAAAAAAACTTTTTGTACTATAAAACAAATATTTGTTAGTTGTTAGATTGATTTTAATTTGATTTTTACTTTATTAATTCCTTTTTTAATTTGAATAAAATATTTTTATTTTTTATTTTTATTATTTTAAAAAATAATCTAAAAGTTAACTAGATTCAATTGTTTCAATTTGGTTTTATCCTTTGATGAATAGCAATAATACTCCTCGTCAATTTTCATACAATTATTGATTTGTTTCATTATTATTTTGTCTTTATAACAATATCCATTTAGATACTGATTTAGATATTGATGCACAGTATCTAACCCTAGTTTTAGTTTGAAGCTGTCATTGTTTATCAGCGATAGCCCCTACTTTCTACTTTTTATTGCCTCTTCCCTTTCATCTCTCTTTTTTTTTTTTTTTTTTTTTTTTTGCCTACTTCCCTTTCATCTCTCTTTTTTTTTTTTTTTTTTTTTTTTTTAATTTTTTTTTTTTTTTTTTTTTTTTTAATCTTCTTTTCTTTCAATAAACTCATATTTGTTTTCTTTATAATAGATCTTTCTTTTTGTTTTGTTATAGTTGGTTGTTTTCATATTTGGAGTTTTTCTTGTTCCTTCTTTATGAGGGCAGTCCCTTCTTGTGAGTGTTTATTATTAAATAAAATTATGATATCTGATTTTACTTGGTTGGAAATTTTGGATCTTGATTTGCAGGTGTGAATCTTCGATTGATGAAACCTGGTAGTGCGGCATGTTCTTCCGTTGATGCTATTTACACATAGCGACGAAAACTCATCTATATTCGTCATATATTGCAAATTATTAGAAAAACAATCAAGTTTTAGAAGATCTAGATGAGTTACTATTTTAACGTCCAAATCAATTAACGAATTAGTTCTTGCCACGAAGATTTATATCGTTTGTCAATATCAACTCCAATCAGAAAAAAATCTAATATTATATTTTTTTTTAGTTTTAATTTCATTATTCAATATGATATGAATTTTTTTATTTCATAGGAAGATGCAAACTCTATTGTCAGTAAAGTTTTATGTCTGATTTATATGTTTATTTGTAATTCTTCATGTTACTGTTAAACAAAATTTCAAAATATCTCAACAAAACCTTTTAAAATACTTATAATATCCTTAAAGAACTACATAATTTTTAATATATACTTAATCTATTTCTTAGTTTTTTACCATTTAATCCCTAAATAGAAAAATCCAATAATTCAAATTAAAAAAGAAACCAAAAGGAGATTAAATTTGAGAAAAATAGAAATGGAAATCATGCTCATGATCTATTCTTTTTTTTTTTTTTTTTTGTTAAATCATGACCCCAATTGACAAAATTTAAAATTAAGGGAGTGAATTGACTTCAATTGAAATAAGAGTCCTCAAATGAAAAACATATATAAAATTCAGGGATCAATTTGAATTTTTGCCTGAATAATATTTTATACGGAAAGAAATCATAAAAAGAAATAGTAATCGGTTTTGGCGCTAAAACACCAACCCAAAAATCAGTACCTCACTTTTCAAAAGGGGATTCTGCACGCGCTCTCAAATACGGAAATTAAATTTTCGGGATCCTCACTCCAAATGCTACTGCTGAACAAAGAATAGAAGAAAAGAAAACGCTCGTCAGTCGTAACGCCTCTCTCTTGCCTCCTCTCTGTATGATTTCGGCTTGTTTAGGGTTTTGAGTTTTTCTGATGATGACGACCTTCTTCTCTGCGGTCTCTCCTTCTCGCACTACTTGCGGTTCTCTCCTTCATGAATTGCAGGTTCTCTTATCTCTTTTTACTTACCCCGTTCAGTTACTGCACTCTGATTGGATTACTACAGTCAACTATGATTACGAGTGCTTGTGATTTTGTATCCATCCCTCTCCCTTTCTCATTTTTTCTGCATTTCCAGATTCATTGGTTATTAAGTAACTGAATAACTGTGTTCAATCAGAGGGCTTAACTTTAATTTTGATGACTGAATAATTATACTGTTTGAATTGGATAGAGCTTTAGATTTTAAGTTTCAGGTTTTGATTTTATGTAGCAACTGAGGATTTTTATTTTCCATTGTTTCAGTCATTAAGTGTTTGTTAATTACTGCAAGGATAACAGCTAATTTTATGATTTGAGACTTGAGAGTTTATATTATGTACTTAATCCAGCAAATTTGGGATGAAATTGGGGAGACTGACGGTGAAAGAGACAAAATGCTCTTGGAACTTGAGCAAGAGTGTCTTGATATATACCGAAGAAAGGTTGAAATGACTAGAATGTACAAAGCTGATTTGCTTCAATCATTGGCCAGTGCTGAAGCTGAAATTGCTAAACTTATTTCTGCACTTGGAGAAAATGCTTCCTTTTCACGGGTTTGTGGGTTCTATTTTGCTTATTATTCCCATCTTTAAATGAAATAATGCGGTAAGGTTGGTGCTTATGATTGTTTTTTCTACTGTGAGAAGGGGAATGGTACTCTAAAGCAGCAAATATCTGCTCTAAAACCAGTACTAGAAGATTTGAGATTGAAGAAGGATGGTAGAATGAAAGAATTTTATGAGACACAGTTGCAGATTGATGTGATTTGTGCAGAAATAGCAAGCACTGTTGATTCTATAAAGTCGATTGAGCCACAAGTTGATGAACAAGATTTAACTGTGAAGAGATTGGGAGAGGTTAAGTCACACCTGAAGGATCTTCAGAGTGAAAAGGTTTCTTCGGATACTTCTGTTATGAATTTGCAGTAACAATAGAACTTTCATTTCATTTTTATTTCATGCTGTTTATTATTTAATTTTCAGAGCTTGCGATTACGGAAGGTTAACAGCAACATTAGCATGATCCATGACCTATCAGCTGTAATGTCAATTGATTTCTTTAAGATTGTTAATGATGTTCATCCTGGCCTGACTGCTTCTGCAAATGGTCAATCCAAGAGCATTAGCAATGACACGATTGCTAGATTAACAGCTGTAATACAGTCACTAAAGCAGGAGAAGCAACAAAGGCTGCGAAAGGTGACAGTAAAATGAAACAAATATTCTATTTCACTTTAAAATTTGGAGTCAATTGTTCATCACCATCAGTTTCAATTCTACTAGTTTGGCTAATGACAGAGTGCTCCTTAAATAATTGAAGTTAAAACACACATCAATATATCCATAACATGATAGCGACAGACAAATTGCAATCAGTAATGAAGTACCACTAATCTCCTATGCTTTCACAGAAGTTTGTGTTAAAGTACTTCATTGTGTTTTTGTTTTTTCTTTTCTGTTTTCATGATTTGTCTTATTTTAGCTTCAAGATCTTGGGCGCACACTGCTAGAGCTATGGAATCTCATGGACACACCTAATGACGAACAAAGAAAATGGGACCATGTTAGGATCTTAATATCTTCCACAGTAGATGAGGTCTCAAGACATGGGTGCCTTGCTCTTGAAGTTATTGAGCAGGTACTGCAACTCTCTCCCTTTCCTAGACTTTCCTATGTTCAGTAATTCTATAACATTTAGTGAATGTTTTATCAGTGTTTTAATTGTATATTATTGTTAGATTGAGGTTGAAGTAGAGCGATTGAATGTTCTCAAAGCCAGTAAGTTGAGAGAATTAGTTTTAAAGAGGCAAAATGAGCTGGAAGAAATCTACAAAGGAGTTCATATGGATGTAGATAGTGATGCAGCAAGGCAAATCCTCATTAGTCTCATAGAATCTGGTTTCCTCCTAAACTTGTCTCTGATTTTTTTTGCCTATCTAATTGATTATTGTTGTTGCACTTGATACTTATTTATCGGGCTTACATGCTAGCTGTTGGTGTTGGAGCTTCAACTAGTCTATTCAAGTTTTTCAGAGCGCGCCACACCCCCCCCCCCCCCGACTTATTCAGAGACGCGCCACACCCCCCCCCCGGCGGCGTTTATGCAATTATTCTCTGAATATTCGTGATCCAACGCTGCATGTTTTTTCCCCCCCCCCCCGGCGGCGTTTATGCAATTATTCTCTGAACATATCGTGATCCAACGCTGCATGTTTTTTTCTTGATTATATTGAGAACATTAGTTGGGTGTTGCTATCTTGGATCTTTTAGTACTTTCTTTTTATTAGTTCTTGCTTCTCACTGCATTTATTATTTATGTTCCATAGCTTCTTTGAATTATTATTAATTTTTTGATAACTTTATTTGCATCCATCTCTGCCATTATTTGTTTGCCATTAACTTTAAGCTAACAAAGTCAGCAAAAATGGCTGGATTTGTGATCAAGGGAGCCTGGCGTGGGCTTATTTTATACATGCATGGCTTATTCCTCTTACATTTTCTTTCGTGTCACATTATTTGTTACTAATGTTTTTTAGAACATAACTTGTGGTTTCACAGGTAACGTTGATCTGTCTGATCTGCTTTTAAGCATGGATGATCAGATCAGAAAAGCAAAAGAGCAAGCTTTAAGCCGGAAGGATATTTTGGACAAGGTAGAGAAATGGAAATGTGCATCTGAAGAAGAAAAGTGGCTTGATGAATATGAAAAGGTCAGTACTGGACAAACTAAAATTAATAATGCTTGTTTAGATATTTATTGACCATCAATTAAGTTCATCTGGTTGACATTTTCTGTTTCTGGTTACCAGGCACTTGTATTATCATAACCTATATATAAATTAATTTGAAAATATCTAACTGCCAACGAGACAACTACTTCTATGTATGGATGTTTTATACATTTTAGGAATAATATGGACCATTAATAACTTTTTCCAATTTAGCCTTCATTTAGGTATTCAGTATTGTGATTATTTCATTTGGTATTGTATAATATACTGCATTGCATTTGGACGCCTTTTCCTCTTGCATAGAGATAGCACTCATGATTATTTAGTTACTCAACGCTAGAATAAATCCACAAGATTACAATTGTATTTCAATAATAATCGCAACTCTTATTTGATTGTGTTATTCGTAACCATCCAAGAAATTCAGAACCATCACATTTGCTGTTAGTTAAAAGTCACTGATCTTTCACCTAAGTTCCTTTTGTTGAATTGCCAGGATGAAAATCGATATAGTGCAGGAAGAGGAGCACACAAAAATCTGAAACGTGCAGAAAAGGCACGGGTTCTGGTCAGCAAAATACCATGTGAGCTTGCAATTATCATCTGTTGTTTCCCCTATTTTCTATTCTTGCAAACTTGACAGTCCCTACTAGGTTAATGTCAGATATGGTGACAAGGTCTTGAGTTCTTCAGATATCCTGCTTATCTTCTAATTGATTAAATAACACGCAAAATTTGAAATTGCATAAATTCAAAAATTTTGGCTGAATTGGATAAGAGGCTGCAAAAGTTATATTTGTATTTCGAGTAAATTAGATTATAAGACAAGCTGGAGCTTCATAGAAGAGTAATGTAAAACCCTTTTTGTTTGAGACTGATACTCAAGCAGCGTTATGTGAAGCTTGAGATAGTCTGCGGTGTACTACTGAAAATGGAAGGTTCAGCTCCAAATATAGAATTCCATACTTGTTTTCCTAAGTTACATGAGTCTTAAATTGTGTTAGATTTGTTAAACAGTGACCCAAGCTTCGGTAAACAAAATGGAAACAGAACATGTGAACATTTTTAAAGCTTCAAAAACATTTCATTTCCAAAGCAAGTTTCTCTGGAAGCCCACAGAAACCATATGCAAAGTTGAGGAAGCTGACTATTTACCCCTTTTATGAACTCTCTCTTTTTTAACAAAGAAACTTGGTATAACTTTTGATAACAGCATAATGAAATATCATCAATTGTGGAGGTGGCTATGTTATCAGTTCTCAGTGATGTGGATGGTCAGATGCAGTAATGTTGTGTTATCTTGAATTATATTTCGTCTGCTAGGGAGATGAGTCATTTTTTATTCTGCTTCCAAACTTTGTTAGCAGAATTTTGGCAATTGATTTAATTTGTTAAGAAGATGAGTTAAAGTTTGGTTTATTTGAGAATCGAGTTGGCCCTTTATAACTTTGAAAATCATTGTTGTTTTAGCTATTGTGGAAAATTTGACTGCAAAAGTGAAAGCGTGGGAGTTGGAGAAAGGAATCACCTTCTTATATGAAAAGGTGATTTATGAGCTTTTAAGTTTTCTTTGTTGTTTACTGTAAAGTTTAGTTATTTGCATCCCCTAAAATTGTTTTCAACATTCAGGCTCCTATCTTGAAAACTTTGGACGAATATACTGTGCTGAGGCAGGAAAGAGAAGAAGAGAAGCGACGTTCTCGAGTATGATTATAAATATTTTTGAGCTTTTGATTGCATACTAGTACTACTTTATCTGTTACAATCATGAGTTGGCATACAAAATAATTTACATCAATTATCAGATTGAAAATGAAGTTACATTATTCTCTCTCTCTCACTCTTTTTTTTTTTTTTTTTTTTTTTTTTTTTTTTTTAATTTACATCAATTTATCAGATTTGAAAATGAAAGTTAACATTATTCTCTCTTCTCTCACATCTTTTTTTTTTTTTTTTTTTTTATTTTTTTTTTTTTTTTTTTTTTTTTTTTTTTTTTTTTTTTTGGTAAAAAACATGTTTACAGGAGCAAAAACGTCAGCAAGAACAATTTGCTGCTGAGCAAGAGGCAATTTATGGTTCAAGACCAACAGTAAAGAAGCCTCTGGGGCAAAGCACCAGTGCTAACACCATAGCCGGATCACCTCTGGCCCGTCGTGTGGCCACTCCTGGCCGTCATGCGTTCTCTTCTGGGAAGGAACGCAGAGAAAGCAGGATGCATAATGCAACACCTGTGAACTATGTCGCTCTTCCAAAGGATGATTCAGCCTCTAGAGGTAGCTAGTCTCTGCTCATGTGCTTTAGAAGTTAATGTAAATCATTCTTCATTTTTAGGATGCTTGACGCACTTCTGCTTTCTTTCCTTTTTGGAAAAATTTTTTTGATAGCAATTTACATGGATTAGCCCAAAACAAAATTTAGCTCAAGTGTTATTCCAAACGAGAAAATACAAGCCCAATGGGTTCAGTAGCCAACTCTTACTCGTTGGTCCAAATTCCGATTAATTAAATCAATATAGGCCTAATAGTCTGATACGAAATTGCACAAATCAGTACAAGATTTGCATGACCTGTTATATCCTTGGCCATATGAAATGCCCAATAGTCTTGTCTAAAAATGAATTATAGGACGAGATTAGATGTCGCAATTAAGTTTTAAAGCAAAAGATGAACAAGTTATTATCACCGCGAGTTTTTGATTTCTGATTGTGAGATTAAGAAAAATAGTGTTTGGGGTTAGTGTGGTTGGTTAGATTCACGACCTCAATCCACCATTCGCCACTTTTATTAATTCCTAATAATTCTCATAATTAATATTAAGTGTCAAAAGCATATCATTGGTAATCCAACATAAAAAGCAATCCAATTAAGCAAATCAATAAAGTAGTGAGAACGTTATTGTCTCGATGGAACCTCCTTTGCCTTTTGCCCTTTTCTCATATCATTGAATCTCTAGTTTGAGAGTCCTTTGCATTTCAGCAATTAATATATACAAGTATTGTTGAGATGGTACCAGAATAATTATTAAATTTATATTTCTAATGTTAATTCATTAGTGATATTATGCTGTAGGGGATATGAATATATCTTTTCATTTATATGAAAAAGGGATATTTTTTATTTATTTGATTTTGTGAAGATTATTGGGTTCCTTTTTAGATTAGCTTTGTTTTGTCTTTGTAAAGACAATTAATTTAAAATAATATAAGAAAGAGATTCACTTCTCTTTAGATCTTATTAATTTAGAGAAACATCAGATTCCATAATTGATTTAAAAATAAATATTCTAGTGGAAGAATGAGGGTAAAAAACAAAGTTGATGAGAGATGCCAACTAACAAAGAAACATTTAGATAATCAAAGAAATGCACTCTTAATTAGTGTCACGTGTGAGCACAAAATTTAAAGAAAATAGCAGTGCAAATATAATTAAAAAATGCAATTATCCATATATATAAGAAACACAAAACAGCTGTGTAGTGTATTACATATAGAGAAGTGATGATGATCAGTACCCCCACAAAAGAATCAAAACAATAATTTAATGAGAATGCTCTAAACGTAGATTTTGCAAAGTCTGTTGTCTCTACTGAGTGCTAATTATATATGTGGAGAATCGTTGTCCCATAATGTTTTTATATTCATATATATACAGTTACCAGCAGCATACAAATCAAGTGATTTCTGGTGCAATTTTTTGTATATATATGTTCTACATTATCCTCATTGACATGGTTTTTTCTATTTGATGAAAATGACCACCACTATTAGTCATGGTGTTTCCTATTTGGCCCTCATGAAAGATATTCCTGATTCTTTGCTCATATACTTTTCTTATTTCAGATACATTGCCATTTTATATATACTTAAAAGAATGTTAATTATTTGATATAAAAGGTATACTCATTATTAAAATCATAAATTTTTTATTTAAATATAATCATATAAAATTAAAACATCTTGAACTCATCTGATTCAATGCTATTAAGAACAGTTACAGTATGTTCGATAGTATTAACTGTTAGTTGTTATTGTAATTATCAGTTGTTGTATATAATCTTCTGAGAAAGTTCCCTATGATCTTTAGGAGCAGTTTGTGGCATTCCCACTATCTTCTGATTTCCTAGAAAATAAATCCCTTGTGGTACCAATGATTTGAACCCTCTTATTGATTTTTTTCTGTTGATTCATAAACTAATATTAAGAAAGAAATGAGATTCTGTCTGGAAGAATGAATGAAGTTGCATGGTGATTTGTACAGAAACAAAGAATATAATCACAAGTTGACTTATAATAAATTGATGTGTATGCAGCCCAGAATCCATTGGTTTGGTTCTGTCTATTTACCTGACATTACTTATAGGAATATTGAATCAAAGTGCACAAAAGAGTAGTAAAGATCATACTTCTCTTTTCTTTTATTATATGCATTTGATTTATTAGACACAAGAATTATAATATTCTATGTGATACGTCATACATGTGTTTTCATTGGACAAATTTGTGTTGATGTGTATATATATGTGTGTGTATGAATTGCAGATAAGAACTCAGATCGATCCAAACATATATCTTCTATGAAAACTACTATTTAGAGATGTTCTGATTCTTCTCAGCTCTTATGTGATATGACAATCTATATAGCTAAAGAAAATGTGCAATTTGTCTCTTTTCTACTATGCTAGGCAATTGCCCTCTTTTCTTCGATATGGCTTCACCATTGTATAGCCTAGCTTTATTATTATTATTATTATTATTATTTATCGAGGGGTTCAATGAGCTGAAATAACAGTAGGCTACACGTCAAATCGATGAAAATTCCTGCAAATTAGGGAAAATTTTTTTAGTCTACAAGATCCAAATTTAAGACCTTCCATACATGATTGGTTATAGGTTTTTTATTTTAAATAAAAAGATTAAGTAGATGCTTATTACAATTAATTAATGACATGGATTAAAATAACTTACACGAGAATCTATACATCTGTACGCGTTTATAACATTATGAAAGTCATTAGAAAAAAATAAACGAATCTTATGTTCTGAAAACATCCTTGCTGCAACTCTAAACCAACGTTTTATTCCCTCGTGTGTGTGTGTGTATATGTATATATTCCGTTGCATATATTTATGTATAGAAAATCAAGATAATATATTTTTTTTTTTGATGATCCAATGGGCGGAAATATCAGAAGTGAAAATACTAGAACTCTTTCAACGATTAATCAGAATTAACAGTAACGGATTGAATAATGTATATTATAAAAAGAAAAGGAAGATGAACATGTTTTGGATAGGGTATGTTGTCACTTTCAGAATTATTTTACATTTAGTAATTAGCTTGTAAATATATAAATTTATTGTTACAAATTGATATTTCAATTTGTACTAATCTTCTATATGTTTTAGATATGACATCCTTTTAATTGATAAAAAGAAAAAAAAGCTCTATGGTAATCCTCCTCTTCCAATCCAATGTTAAAATAATATTTATCCGTTATAAATGAGTAAAATTATTTAACTGTACTGAAATTTTAACATTTTAAATATTTTTAGTAATTATTCAACTTTTACTATATTATTTGAATAATAAAAATTTTATATATATTGTACTAATCTTCCTATTAATGGATTGTATGTTTGAGATATGACAATCCTTTTAATTGATGAAGAATAAGGAACGAAAAAGCTCTAAAATGGTATCCTCGGCTCTTCCAATCCAATGTTTAAATAGATGTATTTTAATTTTTCCGTTATGAAAATGAGTAATAAATTATTTTTTAGACTGTATGGAATTTTTAAAACAATTTTAAATATTTTTTTATGTAATTATTTGTTACTTCCAAAACTTTACTAATATTTATTTGATATATTATATTAATTTTATATATTATAGTAGTATATATATGTATTATATTATTATATACAGTATATAGTAATTGTAAAAACTAATAAATGAATTAATATTTATAAAAGTATAATACAGTTCCCGCGCGCAAAACCTGCATAGCATAAAATCTCTGCAGAATTTATATAAGGCAACCAATATAGTAATAATATGTTCATAATTCATGTCTATCGATGTACTTACTTTTTTTCTTCAATGAACCCTTTATTGCTAACTCAAGATAAGAATCAGTGATATGATAATATTTGGGATTTACTGGTTCAGCCAACCAATAAGAAATGACGCAGTTTCTTATTGTAATCGCTTAATATCCATTTTTTATATTTGCTGAGAAATTGACAGAAAAAAAAAAAAGAAAAAAAAAAAAAAGAAAATGAAAAAAAAAAAAAAAAAAAAAAAAGATATAAGGGAAAAAAGTGAGATAATAAGACATAGGTTCCTAAAGCTATATATAATCGACGTGCCTTCTTATTGGTTGCTTTTGGAATTTTTGTAAGGAAGCATCAGGTGCAAAAATTAGTATCATGACACTACACAAGCTGCCATTTTAAGATTCTGAGAACAATATTAGCTATCCAAGAAGGATTCAACTATGGCTAAATATTAGAATCCTTAAATTAGTGGAATCTGCATCAGATGTCAGCAGATTCTGCCACGTGTGCATTTCATTATGGCTAAATATTGAGTACTATTAATTATCTTAGATCATCATAAATTAGAATACACAATCTTAACTATCATATAACACATAAAAAAGAGGGTACAAAACTTAATTAAGAAGAGGAAAAAAAGAAAACACTGAAAAGCCCCATATGATAATAACAAAATGGGTGATAAAAAAGACCAAAAAAAAAAAAAAAAAAAAAAAAGCCCATATGATAATAAAAAATGGGTGTAAAAAAGACCAAAAAAAAAAAATAAAAAAAAGCCTATTCTTGATTTAAGCTTTTGGTTCTTGACTTGCTTTAAGCTCTAAAAAAAAAAAAAAAAAAAAAAAGCCTATTCTTTGATTAAGCTTTTGGTTCTTGACTTGCTTTAAGCTCTTGCATGGTCATAGGCATAGGGATGTTAATGGCCATTGAAGAGAAGTTATTGTTCTTGTTAGCTTCTGCTTTTTGTAAATCAATTTCATTAGCTTCAATGTCTTCAATTGAATTACCATTTCCTTGAACACCCTTTACAGGATCAGGTATATCTTCGTCTGAAACTGACTCCATCTTCTCCTTATGCTTTCCCCATAGTACTGAGTAAAGCCCTATAACTATCAGTACTGAACCAACAATACTGCAAAATCACAAATAATAACTCAGGTTCGATTCATAGAAAAACATTCATGCGCAGTGATTGTCACAAATCCTGAAATGAGATTCATAATTTGCAATATTCATGACCAAATAAATTTCTTTTATGTTTATGGATACGTAGAATTTGCACTTGTTGTAAGATTCTATTGAGACTAATGAGGAAAAAGTGATCATATGCTATAACATAGATAAGGATGCTATATTAGAGGATACTATACTGAGGGAATATTGCATGTGATGTGAATAATTAATAGAAAATTGGAAATTAAAATAAATTACCTTCCAAGAAAGATCTGTTCTGCCAAGATAAAAGAACCCATGATGGCTACAATGATCATCATCAAAGGGCTAAAAGCAGTAGCAAAAACTGGACCCTTTTTCTTTATCACTAATCCTTGGACATAGTAAGAAATGCTTGATGTCACAATCCCCTGTTCATAGGAAAAACAAAAACTTCTTAGTCACTCACAAAAGGCAGACAAAACCACAGAAACCCAGGAAAAAGGAATAGAGATTCAAGAAAATATATTTACTTACAGCATAGGCGGCAGCAAGAAGGTTCATGTCCCAGCCAATTCTCCAAACAGATGCCTTGTGTTCCATTACAAAGGTAACAGCTATAGCTTGAATGGTTCCAATAAAGCACACAAGTGATGTTAGAGAAAGCTGGTGATTCTTGTACGTCTTCAATGCTTTGGTCTGTATTTATCATATCACATGCAAAAAATTAGCACATATATTATTATTTTGTTAAAGAAAATAATAGTAATATAGAGAAAATTAATTAGGTAGTTAATTACTTGTAAAACAAACAAGGAAGCCCATGCAAGAGTCGCGATGATCAGAAGAATAGAACCCTTAAACCAGTCCTTATCGTTAGTTCCAGTAGTTTCTGTTGTATCGGATTTACCAGAATGAGCATGTTTTGACCAAACCATTTCTATAATTGGACCTTTGTATAAAGTCATCAACATAGCTCCTGCTACTGTCACCGCTGTCCCTATTAGCTTTGCTTGGCACCTTACTTTCTTCAAGTCCAGTTTCTCCATCCTGTTAATAATACTTATAAGTATATATACCCACAAAATGAAACTATTAACAATGTGCTTAATTGGATAATTATAATTAACTACCTGAATATTACTGCCATAACAAATGTCATGGCAGGAAGCATGTTGCTCATTGCACAGGAGAAAGTTGGTGATGTAAATTTCAGCCCAGCGTAGTAGAAGTTTTGGTCTATCACAGGTCTGTAATTTTAAAAGAATTAATTTTATGTAGGTATTAATTAAACAATTTACGACTGAGAAATGTTTAAGATGCAAGAACTAACCCAAGAAGACCGAGGACAAATAATTGCAAGAAGATAGGGAAGGTAATTCTTGGTTGTGCTCTCCTGGAATGTTGGAGAAAAGAAAACACATAAGTATATTTATATATGAAACAATATTAAAAATCTTGGAAGTTTGTGCTTGAGTTAGAACTTAGGTTAACCTCTCGAAAATGAAAGCGAAAGGAGCAATGACTGCGGTGGCAATTGCATGGCGATAAACCACAAGAACGTAGTGGCTCATGCCACGATTAAGAGAAACTTTAGTAATAATGTTCATTCCTGCGTAGCCAAATTGTAAAGAAATCATGGCAAAATAGGGTTTTGAAGTTTCAAGAAACTTGAGGCAACTTCCCAATTGGCTCTTCATTTTCTTGAAGAAAGAAATGAGCAGAAGAAAAGACTATATTAATAGAGAGGAAGAATACCCAAGCGAAAGGTTTTTGTGTGTTCCTTCCTAGGGAAAAACCTGTTGCCCTTCTGCTATTTATATTGCTCTTGGAGGAACTGTACAATTGGCATGGGAATAATGCAAGAACTGTACTATTTCTCTCTTTAAAAAAAAAAACAAAAAAAAAAAAAACAAAAAGAGAATGCCAATTATCCATTTTGGCAGTAGAACATAAGAGAGAAAGAGAGAAGGGTGGGGTACACGTAGCATAGAGTAGTAGTGAGTATCTGAGTCACATTTCACAGACGGACAGTGATGCAAGCTTGTAGTGATATGTTATTGAAAGATGGAAAATAATTTGATAACTTGATTTATTTTTATTTTTTTAAAACAAAATGAATAATAATAAGGGAAGAGAAGTCAGAAGAGAAATGGAAATGTTGGTATGTAGGCCACATTCGAAATTCGCACCCATGCAAATTAAATAATTCCCATGACGTAGTCATACATTTTTCTGCAAATTAACTACAACCGTCTGATCTGTTGAGATTCTTAGTACACCATGAAAAGATTCATTTCATCAAAAAATTCATACTCATCATCGTTAAGAATCTGATTATTCACTTCACATGGATCCATAATAGTAATTTGATTTTCAATTTCCATATCTTTTTCCCTTATTGTGATCACATCATAATATTCATATATACGGTGCATCGTGGGACACAAACTTCAACCAAAACTGTGCGTATAGGAAGTTTGCTTGCGTACATAAATATCTACCCAAGACATTGGTTCCCTAAATCCTTTTTAAGACATCATATGCTGTCATGACGAATCTTACATATGCAAATCAATAAAAAAAATACAGAATATTGAATTTTTTAAAAATATTATAAATACTCGTATAGATTAAATATAAAAGTGTATAACTAATCGAGTTCGTTAATCTATTAACAAATTAAAAGAATTATTTATATCATTTTAAAGAATAAAATTAAAATTAAAAGACATCGAAAAGAAAATACTATTGAGTTAGGTTTGAGTTAATTTTAATTATATTTATAAAATTAGATTCTAATGAATAAGAATAATTGAATGCATATATTCGGCCGGCCTCTCTTTTCCTTTGTTAATTTCTAATCACAACGTGGGAATGTCCAAGTGCGTTGGAATATTTAGAGGATTCAATTTTCTTTTAGCAAATTAGTTTCCAAGAAGAAGTCTATAAATGGAGGCTTAGCTTAGATTCCATTTTCTTTAGCATATAAACCTAACCATATAAATTTTAGGTTGTAAAATTTTAAAGAAAGATATGTTGAAGTAGAAATTGATTAATAACACGTATGGGCTGTGACTTAGTTGGCAACGCAGGCTGAGCATATAGAAAGAGTTTTTGAATTCGATCCTTACAAAATGCACTGACAACACCGAAAGTTGATTAATAACTTAGCTCTCTCGTCACCGAAATGATAATAAACCAAAGATTTTTGTCCACTTGAAGGAAGATGGGAAATGTAAAGTGATCTTATCATAAGATATTGTTGATCACAGAAATATATATTTGTGGCCATATATATAGGATGACGAAAACACTCAAACAGGAGTTAGTGTGCATAGGTAAAGGAGTATAACTCCCACATGAAACTTGAACAAAAGCAAAAAAAAAAAAAAAAAAGGGGGGGGCCACAAATTATGAAATGGCTAGTCTAATCATCCTCAGTCATTGCTTTAAATTGATTCCCAAAATCCACCAACTAATTGGATTTCCCATTTCACCATTCACCGTTTCCTTGGGGGGGGGGGGGGGAGCACCATCCACAAAATATGAAAATGGTAGTCTAATCATCCTCAGTCATCTCTTCTAAATTGATTCCCAAAATTCCACCAACTAATGGATTTCCCATTTCACATTCACCGTTCCTTCAAAGAAGAGCGTCGGCTTTATATTTATTTTTACTTATACGACTCAAATAACTTTATTCGATAACCTTAACAAACTGAACTCAAATCTATTTATATGAAGTTGATTTAATATATATTCATTTTTAATACAACAAAAAAAAAATTATGTTAATAACGTGTAATTTTGGGTCCACTAACGTATGTTCATAAAAAAAATAATTATAAAAGGAAATTGTGTGTAACTAATTACATAAAAATTAAATGAGAGGGACTTGAGAAATGGGTGGAATGGAATAGAGCAATCACCAGACAAAATGGGGAGAGCAAAAACATGATGTGTCTATTCATTTCATGAGGGGAGAAAGGAGAAATAATTTTCTGCGCACGTTACATTATTATCATTTAAGTTCAGAATATCATAATATTTGTATTTTTTGTATCCACATATAATTAATTTATAGTTTAAAAAATTTAATTAATTCCAAGAAAATATTTATCTACTTCCCGTTACGTAGTATTAATTGAAAGAATATAATTTTAGTTACTTAAATATGTATTGTGTATGTTTAAAATTAAATTAATTTATAATATACGGCATTAAATTACATTTAAATTTTGCTTTTTCGATTCGCATCGGAGGATATTTTCACTTGTTTATATGGATGAAATTAATCTATGTTTTGAGTGATATTCAAAAAAAATTTTAATTTAGGATTTTCAAAAATAGTTTTAAAAAAATTAAATTGAAATTTTAAATAATTTTGAGGGGAGAAAAGTTAGGGCTTGGGAGCATATATATGCATAGTACATAGGACAATTATAAGAGGTGAGAGAGAAATAATTGGGACATATGACCTTAATAATTGGGGCGTCTTGTCCGAAATGAAAGGACTGAAGTGGTGTTGTGCTGCAAATTGATGTAGGGATTAGTGGGGAGAAACAATTTGTCCCACTTGCTATAGCTGTTGGAACTTCTGAGGCAGTTTTCGAAAACAAAGCTATTCTTCTTTTTCTTTCCACTATTTTTTCTTTTTTCTTTTTTTTAACCCCATTTCTTATTTTCTTTTCCTTAATTTATTTCTGTTCTTTTCTTTAATTTCTCTTTTTTGTTCTAATGGAGGTTAGGTTTCTTGTTCATAGCTCATAGAAATTCAAATCATTTAGTGTTCTTTTTGTTATTTATTCAAGTGGATTGTCTATATAGCTATCTAACTTGTAGCTCATCTTCTTGAATTAGAAATTTTAATCAAATAATAATAATTTTCTAGCTAGTTTGGTCAATGGATATTATTTGATTATGATTATTAAAAATAACTTCTATTTATTATTATATTATTATTAATTATTAATTATTCATCATTTCATATTTTATATTAGTTCTAAAACTTAAATAAACTCAATTTAGAAATTTGATTCGATCGATTCTAAATTAATTTTAAAATATCATAAATTAATATAAATAACTTGCATGAACTTGATAATATATAATTTATAATTAATTAACAAATGCATGAATAAGAGCTTCCATTAGCCGAACTCATTTCATTCTTTCCACTAATGAGAATTAATTAGTTTAAGAGTTTGCTCAGCAAAATTAGTTATTTTAGTAGTTAAAATTGTTTAAGCAGCTTTTCATGAAACGGTACTTAACCTATAAAAGCAGATTAAACATTATATTACCGAAAAATATAAAAAGTAGCGTGTCAAAACGCTAAAAGATACTTAAAAAGCTATTACAACCTAATTAATTATCGCTGTTTCTATCGATCCTAGTTATAAGGTAGCCTTTCCAACCCAATACCCAAATTGAATGAACCGACATATATATACAAAAGGTTTTGTTGCCTTCCATAAATCCAAATGAACTAAAGAAACTTTTATTTCCTATATATATTTTCAACCACTCCTTAAACCTATAATGCCCTTAGGTGACATTCCTTTAAGCAAAGCAAAGCACACACATAACACATTAATTCTTTTTGGCTTATATATGAAAATATTTTCTTGACTAAATAAATAAATAAATAAGCCTTCTATTATCGAATTCTTGCAAAAAGTCATCCACTTCTTTCTAAAAGTTTAGTCAAAGATTCAATTTTGTTTATCTTCATACATATGAATCTTGATACTATAATGTCAAAAAAACCTAAATTTCTCCAATTAGATGACTAATAAGAAAAAAGAAAAAAAAAAGATTTTGCCTTTTCATAAATTAAAGAGCATCGAGAGCTTCCAAAACCGTGCATTTTAATATTCTATACTCTTTGTATATTGTGTTGTAGTAAAGTTGGTGCTTTTGATGTCTTAACAGTATGGTCGTTGGTCTAAATTATTAATCATCATGATCATAAGGGACCAATTATGTAATAATCCAATTTTTTTTTAAAAAAAATACAACTTTTTTAATTAATTAATTAATTAATGAATCATTAAACTAATAGACGGTCTTCTAATAGCCGCGTACAGGAAGTCGCACCGCAGGAGGTGGACGAGGAAATATTGCACGATGAAAATGAATTTGAACAAACGCGATTTGATTAAATATAAATTTAATTAATTTAGTTCGATTAAAAAATTTGACCTAAACTGAACAAACCTATCCATATCCTTTCACCTTTACTAACTTTTCATTCTATCCTCTTAAAACTCCCATGCAATATGTAAACCTCTAATTGGGAATCATTAGCTATAGTCTAAGTTACGTAAATCAGAAATTAAGAACTCATTCTGTAAATTAATTACTAATTAATCAAGTAGTAGTAGTAATTGCAAATTAATCAAGTTCGTTAATTATTTAATTAGACAATAATCCATAATTATTAGTCTTTCCTGCCTAATCCAAACCCAAAAGCCAATAGTTGATCCAACACATGGCTGATCCATGAGTGAAAATTACAAGCACTTGGAATTTAAATTTGTAAAATAAAATTTCATTAATGAAACATTGTCTCTCTCATTCTGTTGTGAAGAGGAATACATAAATATATAAATAAATATAATTAAACATATGATTAATAATTTATTTATATTATAATTAAACATCATTATCTTGCATATGAGGAACCCAATATTATTTTTTTTAAGTAATTTTAAATTTTGTAATTAATGTTAATTAGTGGAGTTGATCCTCTTCCATTAATCACACAACTTTGAGATAAAGACAATCTTTTTGCCTCTCCAATGATTATTCCTTCTTTAACTTTTTTTTTTTTTTTTTACAGTGAATTAAACAAATTTTAACCAATCACTTTTATTGATATTATTTTTAGAATTATAAATTAATACCAATATTAAAGATTCCAAGAATCAGTCCATTTTAGTGGGATGTACATTAAGACATGAAGGAATTATATTATTGGTGTAAGGACAAGAGGCTGAGTGCAAGAAAGCATTTCTTCTTCTTCTTTCACCATTGGATAATAAGATTCTGAGTATCCAAATCAGGAATCACTCACTTACAACAGTATATCCATAGGCTTAAGTTACTTATAACTTAAAAAAAATATGCATTTCTTTTGTATTTTGTTGCAGAAGATCACTGAGTTTCTTATCTTACATTCTGGATAGGCTTCGATATTCACTAAAAGCCATTGGTGACCTTCATTAATATCAGAAAATAATAGAAGCAACATACAAAAGAAAAACATGGATAGAGACATGAAATATACCATTTTGATTCTTGAAAAAGTGTCTGGTTAGATAAACATCAAACATTAAGCATGCGAGATTACCATTTCGGTTTTCTTGAACTTGATAGCATAATAACAGTTTGACCTTTTTCTTTTCTTGAACAGGCATTAGGCAAAAAGTAACAAAAAAGTAGCAGTAGCGAAGACAAATAACCTGTTGATCTGAAAAAAAGGTTACCGAATGGATCGATTTGATAAAGAGAAAATCTTCAGCCACAAACATGCAAAAGCTTGATAGGTAAAGGTCAGATAGTGAAAATCTCACAAATTGACTGTAAGACATCCAGCAGTAGCCCTCCATTGCGGCACTTGCATCTTATCCTGTCAGTCTCTCTGAGGAAATATATATAAAGCCAAAAAAAAGAGGTAACTTTGCCAAGACAAGTTCATATAATTGTCTCATCAGAATCATACATATAGAAAGATTAGATTCCACAGGATCCAATTTGATCAATCCAACAACGCATGCTCGAATGATTTATATATTGAAAAAATGTGTGTGCCACTAACCTCCATCTCAAAAAAGAAAAAGAAAAAGGTCCCAGGAACATGGTGAATACTAAAGAGAGAAGCTATCTTACCAAGTATGATTCAAGTAAATGATTAGTTCTACAGTGCAAAAATATGTCAATTCATAAAATTATTATCACTAGCAAGGATCCACACATGGAACCCACGACTCTCAAGTGCAAATACCTTAGGTGTACCTCACTTAGAAACTGCAATCATTTAGAAGTTCTTCAAAAACCCAATTTCTCATATCCCAGAAATTTCAGAAATGCAAAAAGAAAAGATTTATTTGCTTCAATTGTAACAAAAAAAAAAATGATCTTCCTTCTCTTTTTTTTCCTTTTTATTTTATTTTATCTTATTTTGCTAATATATACAGAACAGTAGATGATGACTGTTGTAGGATTTTGTGTAAGTTGATTGAAAAGGAGAATATTTATGTGAATAAGAAAAGCATCATAAATAACATAAGAAAAGAAATTCTGATGTAAAGATCTATCCCAAGGAAAATAAATAGCATGTGTTTTATCCCTAGTAAATAGAGAAAAAAAGCCTTCTTGTAAAGAAACATAAAGAGGTTGCCAACTCATCCCACTTGTTTCTATGCATGCAAATTGCCCTCCAACTTCTGCAGAGAAAATCTAACGGGACAGACAAGTCCATTTCAAATGATATCTCCTTCCGTCTCTACTCTACCAATCAAACGACAAGATATGTATAGAATTTCATATTTGTGAAATGTACAGGGCATATATTAAGAAACCAGATAATTACAACTAAGAAATATGAACTGGGTGGTGTAGGAAATACTCATATTTTGATCCTTCAAGTGTCCTATAAACTTCTTCCCAATTATTAACTTGTTAGGTTCGACATGAATCTTCACCTGGCAGCTCACTAGCTTTCTAAATGGAACTCTTAGAAACTGTTGTGCATCAGATAATGTCTGTGTAGAAGAAAAATGGATATAAAACTCAAATTCGTCTTGCATCACATGGAGCCTGTATACATAAAAAGGTTATAGCAATGCAATGGATCATGATGGATGAGTTCATGGATCATGATGGTGTTATCATTTTCGTCCATTTGTTTTGCGAGAAAATTCTGGGAAGTAATATATTTCTGTATTTTAATATTTTCATATTGGACGGGAAAGACAAGAAAAAAAGAAACGAAAATTTTGAAAAAAAAAAATCTTTTTCTTATAATTTTCTTTAATTATTTTCTTTCCTTTCATATTTTCCCTCTGTCCAAACATATTTTCCAAGTTTTCCTTGTCAGTTTATGCCTTTATTTGCAGTGGGCATCCTTTAGTATATTTTGGGCCTCTTCAGTCTATGGGCTTATTCACAGTGGGCCTTCTTTGATGATGTTTTTAAATCCATTTATTATGGACTTCTTGTAGTTAAGACTTAAGCGCCTTGAATAGGTTTGTTGGGCTTTGGACTTTGTGGATTTGTTAATTAAATTAGACGAACGACACAGTAAGGAGGTTGCTTATCCATCCCTCGTTTTGGTAGTTAATAAACGACGGGCAGTTTATATATAGTTGTTTTGCCAACTACTTTCCTTTTTTTTTTTTTTTATTAGTTTTTGTTTAATGGTTAAATGAAAAATTAATATCTTTCAGACTAGAAAGCGATTACGTTAAAATCCTCACAAAATACTAACTTCACGAGTCACGACTGGATTTTATAATCAAACATAAAATGTAATATACATCGATCATTAGACCAAATTGTCCTAGATTTGCGAACTGCTATTTCAAATTAATTTAGTTAATAATAGAAATGTGAATTCACATGCTGAGTCACACTTGAGAGTAGAAAAAAAATAATATTTTGTTTATAAATTATTTTTGGTTATGTTCTTGTGAGATTGATTAATAATAGAATATTAGTTAGCAATTGATAGATAAGTTCACATGGATTGTTAGAGAATAATACTCTATTTCCAATTTGATGTATGAGACAGATTGACTTTGTCTGAATAAAATTTTTTTATTATGTATACTTAACTAATTAGAAGCTTCAGTGATATATACATATATATAAACAATCCATTGACTATTATTTGTTAATATTGTAAACTAAATTTTAAATGTTTTTTAAATCAATTAATTAATTAGTTTAAATATTGCTGTAATTACTTGATTGATAATGTGTTTCTTCAAACTCTAAACGGTAAAATAAATAATAAAAATAGTATTTTGACTTTAATTAAAACGCTGTATTTTATGAGTCTGGCTTACTGTTTAGGCACATTTAATTAAGGATAATTGGGTTGAAGTCCTATCTATTTGACTAATGTCTCTGTTCCATAAAACTTGTCACATTTGAAATTTTATGTTTTTTAAGAAAATAATTAAATTTATCTAAGTTACGATAAATTATTGAGTAAATTAATTATATTGCTCTTAATTTAATATTAATTTTTTTAAAAAAATCATTAGATTGAGTAATAATTATTAATCATACATAAATGGTAAATATAAAAAAAAAAGATTTATTACTTCTCGAAACTATATGTAATAAGTATTTTAGAATAAATTATTTTGTCAAATTTGATAAATATTATAAAAGATAGATAGTAATAATAGTAAATAAGTTTGAAATCAAAGACACGTTGTTGGTTAGTTTCTTCTCACATTTGTCTGTTTGAACTTTGAACAACTGATTGTCTGGTCTGAGATGACTTGGACTCCTTTTATATATATATAAAAGAAAAGGAAATGTTATCTATGCATTCGCTTCAGCTTCCATGCAATTTGATCGAAGTGGCTTGTGGTTCCCACCCCCGGCTTCATTTGCACGCTGGAAAAGAAAACTCTTGACTCTGACCGCCTCCTCCTATGTTTTTTTTCTAAAATTTATTTTCAATTTCTTTTTTTAAAACATTAATTCCACAATTTCCATGGAAAACATATCCCAGATACATGGAAAGTTAACGCTTATTTATTTATAAAGTGAAATGAAAAAAGTAATACTTTATTTTTTTTATTTTTAGGAAAAATACCCTATTATATACGTGCGTGCATGTAAATTTAAATTTTAAATTATTTTTTGAAAAATAATAATTATGTGGAATTATTTGACAAATGAATTTAAGCCATTACATCAAAATCTAAATCCAAAAGCTACCAATTAAATGAACTGAATGCACGTGCTGAATTTCCTAGAAACATTTATGCTGCTAATTTAAAAAAATAATAATAATAATAAAAAACAAGAACCTCCTACGTCTACGTCATCAATAGACAATAATTTCCGTTCTTGTTGACGAAAAAATGAATTGCCGTGTTAGAGTTTCTCATTCTCATCACTTCACCTCTATATATAGGGTGGAAACCCTAATAAAAAATTCACACAAACAACTCGTTATCTTCTACTTTCTCTCTACCAGTTTATACATAACCACAAGTTCATAACCATGGTTCATGAAAGAAAGATCGTAGAAGAAGTTTCAGGCTGGCTCAGAGTCTATGACGATGGCTCAGTTGACAGAACATGGACTGGTCCTCCTCAGGTCAAGTTCATGGCTGAACCAGTTCCTGCCCATGAACAATTCATAGACGGAGTCGCTGTCCGTGACGTGACCGTTAATTCAAACTCTGGTCTTCGTGTTAGAATTTATTTACCGGAGACCAATCTTGAAAGCAATGATAATAAGCTACCAATAATCCTCCACTTTCATGGCGGTGGTTTTTGCATTAGCCAAGCTGATTGGTATATGTATTATCACATATACACTAGGCTTGCTAGGTCAGCTAAAGCCATTTGCGTCTCTGTTTTCCTCCGTCTTGCCCCTGAACACCGCTTACCTGCCGCCATTGATGATGGGTTCTCTGCTCTGCTCTGGCTAAGTTCTTTGGCAAACGGCAAGTCGCAGGAGTCATGGCTAAATAATCATGGAAATTTTAATCGTGTTTTCCTTATTGGAGATAGCTCCGGAGGAAATGTTGTGCATGAAGTGGCTGCACGTGCTGGGCACATGGATCTGAGTCCGTTAAGACTCGCGGGAGCAATTCCGATCCACCCAGGATTTGTCCGGTCGGAAAGGAGCAAATCGGAGCTGGAGCAACCGGAATCACCCTTTTTAACATTAGATATGGTGGATAAATTTTTGGGTTTGGCATTGCCAATTGGATGTAATAAAGATCATCCAATAACGTGTCCAATGGGAGCAGCTGCGCCGAAGCTAGATGGCCTGAAACTGCCGCCATTTCTGCTGTGTGTGGCGGAGATGGACTTGATAAGGGATACTGAAATGGAGTACTATGAGGCAATGAAAAAGGCTAAGAAAGATGTGGAGTTGCTAATTAACCCTGGAATGGGACACAGTTTTTACTTGAACAAGATTGCTGTAGACATGGATCCACTTACAGCAACCCAGACTAGTGTCCTTATCAAAGGGATTATAGAATTCATCAAGAAGCATTAACAATTAATGTATTTTCCAAAAATTTCAGTCTTCTTAATTAATGTATGTTATGTCATTGTAAAAGAATTATAATCGATGTATGTGTTGAATCTCGTATTTCTATCTTTGTCTACATATTAATTTTGGACTTTTTGAAAAGTCATGTTTATAAACATGTGCATATGTCAAGATTCGATGAAATGTGAAAATGATGTTGGAGCTAACATAGAACAATACAAGTCATACATTGAATTGGCAATGGAGGTGAGTCTCATATAAATTGACAAATTATTTTGTATCGTTCTGAGTATTAATTGGAAATTTTATCTAATATATTTATGCAATATTTATATTTATTGTACGATTCTATTTCATACAATAAATCAGTTAAAAATAAACTTATATCGTAACTGTAGAAAAATAAAATTTTAATAAGAAAAAGAAAAAGACAAAGTAGCTTTTTTTCACCTTACGTGTGATGAAATTATAAATTGGTGAATTCGGGTTACATAGTGGAGTAAACTGATACCATTTTTTTTTTTTTTTTTTTTTTTGATGAAATGTGAAAATGATGTAGGAACGCTAACATCACGAACAATATACAATCATTACACATTGAGCAATCTCTTGAGGCAATGCGAGGTCAGTGTCATATAAATAGTGACAATAATTTTGTATCGATCGTGAGATTAAATTGTGAAAATTTATCTAATATATTTGATACTGCAATCTATAGTATCTCTAATTCTGAGTAGTGATTGCTATATTCAACTAATACTCATGATTAAGAACACTTATAATACGTAAACTGTAGCACAATAAGCAGTTAATGAGAGAAAAGAAAAAGACAAGTAGACTATTTTTCTCTTCCACCTTAGTAGGTATAAAAATTATAAATGGATGATAGGTCAGGCCTAACATCGTGATGAGAGATCTGATACTCATTTTGGTATTTTTGTCTTGAGATCCATACCATCCAATTTAGATGTATTTAATAATAGAGGCTATTTCACCTTGTGGGTTTTTGGAAAATGACAAGAAATGTATTATATTATTAAACTCTTGACTTAAGCAATCTACCATTTGTTTTACAAAAAGATCGGCAGCTCGTCCCTTGAGATACAAAAGCATCCACTAGTAATCATATCACATTTTCCTCTTGAGTGACTACTGAAATTTGTCCTAAGATTGAATGACTATCTGCAATTAACGGTCGACTCTAATTACCAAAAAATACATCACCATAGTTGTTATAGCCTCGTGGGAATTAATCTCGAACACACCTACCAAGAGCCTGCTAATAATAGGCGAGTTTCAATATACCGGAGAGAAATACGTAGATTAACGACACAACAAGCTACGTTTTTTTTTTTTTTTTTTTTTTGAGAATCATACCATAATTAGGATGATTAATATATATATTTTTTTTGGAAAATGAGATGATTAATATTATTAAACCTTGCTTAAGCAATTTACATTTGTTTTCAAAGATGGGCAGCTCTCTTGAGATAAAAGCATCCACAGTTCAATAATTTCATTTTGGATACTAGAAATTATTATATTATATTTCTCATTAGTGCTTAATTACCATATAACACATAGTTGTTATAGCCTCGTGGGATATGAATCATGATCATCCACCGAAGGCTGCTAATAATGGGGTTTCATTAGTTAGGGAAATACGTAAGAAACAGACAAGCTTCACGTGTTCTACATTTGTTATTTTGAGTTTGTCTGCTTTTACAAACTTATTATGAACAAGAAAAATGGACGTATGCAAGAAAGGAAATTTGGTAGCCATCATAATGTCCCACACTGCAAATAATTAGTAATCTGTCGGCAGAAATTTTTAAAACAACTGCAAATCAAGTCAATATCAAGCGTGCGGTTCTGAAAATTTCTTGTAAAACTTTTTGTCAAGTATGAATCTATGATCTGCAAATATGGGAATTGGGAATTGGGAAAATATGGGAAATTTTAATTTTCAGCAACTGAATCCTCTAAATAACTCGAATCTTATGTAGAAAGAAATTGCATAATCGTATTAACTCTCTTCGGTTGCGAAAGAGAAGAGAAAATTTTTAATCCATTCGGTAAATGTGCTTTCTGGAAAAAGAAAAATAATTACGTAATTCTAATTTCAAGATATTTAGTAATAAAGAAAAAAAAAGTCCGCCCTGGATGAACATGAATAATACGAAATTGGATAAAAATGACAGTAATTACCATATCTCTCATCTAGGAAAATTAGGAACCCTAGTCCAAGTTTCTGTGGACTGAGAGTGACAAATAAGAAAAGAACACAAAGCCAGTAGGAAACCTACATATGGGTCAAGCATGAAGTTTGAAAAAGAAAGAAGAACAGTAATAGATTTGGAAGCTTGCTGGCGTTTTCCTCGAAAAAAAGGTTTGTGGACTTCCATGAGAATCAAAATTTAATTCCAATGCACCAAAAAAAGTTGTAAGTTTTTTCTCTTAAAAAGAAAAAGAAAGAAAGAAAAGTGTGTATTCAACTTTTTTTTTTTCTTCTTTTTGTTAACATTCTGGGTAATTTCCTTAAAGATTCTGGTCTTTACAAGAGGAATTAAATATGAAATTAAAGTAATTTATTTTTATTTGATTTTATCAACTAATTTATATTTTAAAAACATTTTAATTTATTAGATTGTAATTATTATATGATAATGCTCTCAATTTTTATACATTAAGGCAATTATTTGTGCATCTTTATCAAAACAGTCTCATTTTTTCTTTATTTTGCAATCACCAACCAACTAACTAACTGCAAATCCTTTAATGTGAAGCTATTGTGGAGTTTGACAATGAGAGGCAATACAAACCTACCCACTAATTTGAAGTTTGGTGATGCCAACTGCAAAGGGCTCCATCATCTTTATGTTCTACTTAATACAGAATAATGGAAACCTATGTCTATGTCTACCAAATTGGGTATCAAAATAATAATAATAATAATAATAATAATAATAATAATAATAAGAGCTAAATTAAGGAAGAGTATAATTTTAAAAAATCAAATTATCGAACCGAACTGACACAATTTAGTTTGATATTTTATATAATCGATTCTATTTATTTAAAATAGTTAAAATAACTAAAATAGAACCGAAAATCTGATTTAGTATGCTAGTTAAATTTGGTTTGATTAACATAATTGTATCTAAAAAAATTTGATATATTTCATTCGATTTGTATCGGTTCGATTTGATCTGTAATCAATGCTCTCTCACCCCTAGGCCAAATCGATTATTTATTCAAAAATTTATCATAAATGAGATTTATTTCACTCCTAAGGAATCATGTTTGTTGCTGTTTTAGTGTATATTATAATTTATAAGTTGTTGCTTTTCACTTCATAGCTAAATTTCTGCATTCCTAAAAAATAATAATAAAAGAAGAGAGAGAGAGAGAGAGAGAGAGATTGCTTTTAAAAAATAAAAGGAGAAAAAATTAAAAATGAAAGAACAATCAATTGGTACAAAGATCACCCGGGGTGGAAGGACAACGGTGCCAATTCTGATAGAGGAGTAGCAATAGGCGTAGAAACCGCTGAAGGAGTAGGAGAATTCCTACACAAAGGACACGTGGCACTCATCTTAAGCCATTCATCAACACAATCAGCATGGAAACAGTGATGGCAAGCTGGGATGCACCGTAGGGTATCTTTGGGCTTGTAATCAGACAAGCAGATTGAACATGGGCCGTTATTGGGTTTAGGAAGTCGCCGACTTTCGCCTAACACCATCTTCGGGTATGATTCGATCTGAGGCCCATCAAGTCCAATCACCAGCATGGGCTCGCCGGTCATGAATTGGCGGTTATGTCTATAAGGATCGGTATCGTCATCATTATCGCCATTGTTACTACGATCACGTAAACTGCCTTTAACTCTTACACAAGCATAAGAAGCGAGCATTATGGTGGAGATGAGAACGAGTATGCTAACTGCGATGGCGATACCATAACCAAGTCCGACGCCTGTGGCAGATACCGGCGGATCAGCTGTACTCATGTGAGAGAGGGAGGGGGAGAAGGTATGAAACTGAAAGAAGAGAATATCAGAATAAGAGAGAACGGAGAGAGCAGGAAATATGAAGAGGAGGAAAAAGTGAGTGAGAGTGATCTTTGATGATAAGTGGGCCAAGGCCCACCGGGGTCCGCGGGAAAAAATTAAATGACAAATGGGTATTGGAGTTAATGTTCAACGGTTTGAAATTAAAAAATGAAAAAAAAAGGTTGGGAAAGCATTTATGAGGTTCATTGAAAATTCATTTTCAGCCCTTGGATTGATAATTTTTATTGTGATTAGTGCATGATAATTTTTTTTGGGTTGATCCAGAGTTCATCAGGGGGTAATTTCGAGGTAATCTGCCTCATTTTCTTGAAATTAAAAAATATTTAATTATTTAAAGTGAGATAAGACGATAGAAATCTGAATTCATAGTTTCTTTTTTTTAAACACTCATAAAATAATTCCTTTAAACTCTAAAAAAAAAAAGAGCGTTTTATTCTTTTTGTAGGTTTGTCCGGCCAAATCTAGATTAATTGGGTAATGAATTTCAAATACCTGATAATTAAAAACCAAATAGTATATTTAGAAATTGGAGATGGCCCTACTGAAGAGATTGATTATATGAGATACCTGGAGTTTGTCAAGCCTGTTGACAAGGAACATGATAATAAAGATTAAAAATTCAATATTATATTTGGGTGCCTGACCTGGTACACAAATGCCTATGCTGTGTTTATTTATAAATTGGTTCATATCTTATAGTTGATTCAGCACTCACAAGCTAGTGCTGGAGATCATTCACTTTTGTCTAATGTCAACTTCAGAAAGGGAAATCTATGTTTTAAATTTCTATTCTAATTGTAACTTGAAGGTATATAAAAGGAAAGAAAAGAATGCATACATCAAACCTCCCAGATGCCACAAATATGCCATGCCTCCCAGGTCCACAAATATGTAATGCTTCGTGCACTAGGTTAATTTCTATAATGTGTAATATATAGGCTAGCACAGCTAACTTTAGTAACAATTCAAACACAAGATACCTGTAAACCTCCAATGAGATTAGCAATTTAAAATTATGTAATTTACTAATTAGTGATTACATGTGCGATTCATGATATAACCAGAACCAACTTTTGTCTCCTGAAATATCCATTTCCATTAACTGCCATTTACTAGTAAAATATTGTAATTAGAATTTGTTAGTTGCAGGTAGCAACTTTAGTAATATTCCTCTTCGTATCTCTCTCATTCATGCCAATAGCAACTTTAGCATATTTCCCTTCATTTTGTTGTGTTTGATGCAATATAAAACCTTAAATTTAGTATACATCATTGGTATAGAAGAAAATCTCAAGTTTCTACAATTAAAGAATTTAAGCCAAATGAATTAGCCTAAGAAATGCTGTTCTCACTTGAACTTGGAGGCTCCGCCTGTAATTGGGATTGAACCTCCATCTGAGGAACTTCTGGTGCAGAGGTTTCTGACTGTACAGATGGGGCGGGTTCAAGTTGACTTGGAACTGCAGCTTCGACTATTTCTGGAGGTTTGAATTTGTTGATATAGTAACTGAGAGATGGTCCAGAATATTCAACAGTCTGCACCTGGACTGGCTCGTTCTTACCAACTTGGATGAGAATTGATGAAGCAGCAGCCACAGCAATCAGGGCAAGGCCACCAGCAATTGCAGCTGTATTTTCAGCTCCATCAGAAGAAGAACCTGCATTTCCTGAGCTTATTGCACTTTCTGCTACATATACTGTTGGCTGGAAATACCAGATGGTATTAGATGCAAGAGTAACAGTATGATTCCTTGCTAGACGAAAATGAAAATGTAGAAGAATTTTCTGTGTATCTCAGAAAATAACCATACAATACCAATGACCATTTATTATGGTTTGCTCATACTGCTCTTTGTAGTTTCTAATGCTCCAGAACATGTAATCTGCGATTAAAAATATTTTCCCCAGGATGTCTTAATGTAACATTAGATGCTTAACTGATCATGACCTGGAGCAAACAATTGCCTCAAAGTGCTCATCCAGGATGAATGAACCTATTGATGAGAGCCTATTTCATAAATTGCTCTTAGAAAATACAACGTAAGAACTCACTTTGTTCCTTCAGTTGCAAATGGACATGAAACTGTGGCACAATGCCGTGAAACATTCTGGTAATGCTCCTGGCAGACCACTTGTCCAACAACCTGTCCGTAGAGGACAAATCACATGGCCCAAAAACTTAATGTTCATATTTTGGGCTGGAAAACTGTTTATGTACCAGACCATCTTGGGAGTATTTTCTCTGCCGGGGTATTACCTGGTGATATATGAATTACAATTGAGTGTACAAAAGAGATCTCCTGAGATGTTGCCCATTACTGATTGTTAGTTGTTAAAACTTTTTATAAAGTAGTTTTCTGTTAAACCATCCCTTTCCACGTTGCTCTTAAAGAAATGTTGCCTCGTGAGTCGTGAAGCTACTAAGTAAAAAATATGCAGCATGGAATAAAGGGAGACACTTGTAGAGGGCATTCAGTAAACCATAAATTAAGTGGGGGGTGAGTTCTTTTTTGAAGTAGCTTATGCACTTAATCGATTGGGATCTAAAACAGACATTCATAGTCTTACAAGATTATAATGGACTGTCACCTATTGAAAACTCAAAAAATAAAGACCTCTTCAAGGATCTTCATCAGCAAAAGTATTAACAGAACAATAACTTTGGACCAAAACAACTTGTATTAAGCCATAGAATTTAATTGAGTAGCATTTATCTTTATGTTATCTTGGGGTATTCAGCTATTGTTAGTTACCATCAATTCTAAATCATTCGGCCAGAAACAACCTAACGTCCAGTGTTAGGGAGAAAAATCATCAACTTTAACAGAATATACTGATAAAGGGAAAAAGAACACTCAACGCATAAAATTGGAAAGTTTGCAAATTACTAACCTCGACAGAGTAGATATTTGTTTGCCCTGCAGTATCCTTCTCAACATACCCTGTCCAACCACGAGTTCGCGGAGGGAATGTACCAACAACTTTAGTTTTATCCCCAGCCAACCATTCCACACTCACCTTGCCAACCTATTTTTCCACCACAGAAAGCAAAAATATAAAAACACCACTCTCTCTTGCATTGTAATTTAGGACAGAATCTTAAACTTTAGGCATGCCTTCAGAAATCCACTGCTAACATATCTTTTTTATTTATTCCAACTCTTATACTCAGTTAGTAAAGCATATATAAAGACTAAATAAAATCAGATTGAAACACAAGTCGCAGGTTACTTTTCTCATTTCAAAATGGGTTATTTTATCCTTAATTCCCCATTTTAGTTAAAAACTTTGACTTATAGCTCCCATGTTCTTTTTAATTTTATTTTTTCACTGATTCAAGAACAAAGAAACTACCTTTAGACTCCTGAGCTAATAAAAACAAGAACAGATGGTAAAAGGCTTCAATTAAAAACAACAAAAGCAAGAAGTAGAGTGAAGTAAAAATTGAAAAGGGTTTTTTTTTTTTTTTTTTTTTTTTTTTTTTTTTTATAACCACCCCAGACGAACGATACCAGATCCACCAACATTCAACCACCTTGCCAACTTCATGAATTTTCGCACTAACTCAACAGAAAGCAAATGAGATATGAAAATCCTACTATCACTCCAAATCACTTATTGCTATTGAGAGCTATAATTATTAAGTAAAGCAATTCTTACAACTAATTAGTCAAATAGCTTCTAGAAAATCCTCTTCTACATAAATCTATTTTATATCATATTCCCAATCTTAATACTCAGTTAGTAAAGCACTCACTAACTATATGAACTACAATAAATCACATTGATATACACATATACGCAGATACATTTTCTCACTCTTCAACAATTGTGGTATATTTAAAATATATCCTTAATTTCTCAACATATTTATGTAAAAAACTTTTTGAAACTTATAGCTAACTGTTTTCTTAATTAAAACATATATATTTTGTGTCACTGATCTTCTATTAAAACAATATAGAAAACTCTTTAGACTCAAAACTAATAAATTAACAATGAACAGACTCCATATTCAGGCTTCAAATATAAAATCTAACAAAAGCAAAGAGAGCATGATAGTAAATAATTGAAAAGATTTATTTTTTTAATTAATTTTATCTTTTATATTAATTTTTATTTTAATCATATATATATACAGATCGTTATATTTAAAAATATCAAAAGTTAATAATAAAGATGTGATCCTATAGTTAGCTCGACAAAACTCTAGCGTATAATTTACCTTTCCTCTATTCAGTGAAGTTAACACATTAAATCGATCATCAATCAGCTCTTTACACATTTCAGTGGGATCATCAATCAGACTATAAGTCCTCAGATCGTGATGCAACAGAGACAAAAATTTAATACACATAGACTTCAGCCTTCTGATCTAACATTGTGACTTTTTCAAGTTGAGTTATTTCGGTGCTTGATAGAACTATTAATTCATATAGTGTATATAAATGAAGAGTACCTAAGCTAGGTGTATGCCCATTTGTACAGTATCTAGCGATTCAATGAATCATACACCTATACTTGTAGTATTTGCGAGCTTCATATTATTCTAATGTTTGTGTTCTGTTTGTCAACATTCTCACCTAATAATTCTCGAAGTGTACCGTGACTCGCACATACACCATATAGAGCACTAGTCTACTATACCTATATTTGCATCAAAGAAAGATCAAGAAGAAATGAAACGTGACAGTACACATCACTACCCCACTATTTCACATCGATTATCGCATTTCTAAATACATGCACATCCTCGAAGGAGATCTACTTTCACGTTTAGATATTATCTGCGAGGTTCAACCTGCGAAGAGTAAAGAGAGGAGTAAGATATTTGATTGGATAGCAATACACCTTTGTTTGGAGAGGATTGTTGGCGTTTCGAGTTCGTTGTGTATGTTCGTGAGTTCCTGTTATAAATTCATGCTTCTCGCATCGCGGTGCTGCACAACGAGTGAGTCTCATTCATTGCTACCTCAGTTCCTCTCCGCTATCCAAGCTAAAGTGATAATAGAGTGTAAAACCTATAAAAATTTACGTACATGAAATAATCTATAATACGATAATTTATCGGTAAAACTTGTAATTTCAAAATCCGATGGTCCAGCTAGATCTCATCAAATTCAAGTCCAAAATATACGACCAGTAATACAAAGCACTAAAGAAAAAAATAGACGATACGATGGACAACAGAAAGAAGTTCTGAGTAAATTGAGGGAGATACATTCTGCAATATATAGGAGCCGTGCGCATCTCACAATTATTGTGGCCACACATGAGTACTAAAACATTAACGCACGCAAGTAATAACAAAGCAGCTAGAATGTCAGTACCGAGATCAAGTTTACACGTATGAGAATTTTTATTAGCAGAGGATATATAACCAAACATTATATCAATATGTCAGAGAGACGCAAGTGACATACGGAGCCTACAATTAATATCAGCTCTGAGAGTCATCACCATTAATCTAAAGCACTTCTCTCAGAGGATGACATCAAAAGCAATATCTACAATTATTGATGAACAGCCTTGCTACATATAAAGTTCCTCAATAACAAGTATATGAGCCTTTCAAACCTCGAGTCATTTTTCACGTTGGAGTTAAGCGTCCGGTTACTAAATACAAATTAATAGGCCAAAAAACACACTTCTATTCAAAATAATTGTCCTCTGTTCTACATATGACTTGTGTATAAACACATACGAGAAATCATAAACCGAGAGAACAAAAAAAAGCAGACACGAAGAAGCCTCTATCAGTCCCAATTTTTTTTTTTTTTTTTTTTTTTTTTTTTTTTTTAATATATATACATGTATTAAGAAATCAAAAGTTAAAAGAATGGATGTTTAGCAAAAACTATACCTCCTTATCAGGAGCACATTCCTCATCGTTACAATCAGGGTCATCAGATGAAGCTCTGAGTGTGAAAGTCTTCAAATTTCGCCTATTTAAGCTTCTGTATTTCTTGAAGAGTCTAGGGGAAGAGAATGCGCAGGTGTTTGCTGATATCATTGCCTGTGATGCACATGCCATTTCTTCTTCTTCTTCTTCTTCTTCTTCAATCAGATAATTTAGAACGATAACAGAAAATTGCCACAACACAATTCAGTGACGCTAAAGCACTCGTGGGTTTCTTTCCGGTTTTTGCAGTTAAATGCGAGAGAGAGGAGGAGGAGGAGAAATTTTGATTGGAAGAGAGACCTTTTGTTTGGGGGATGGGTCACGTGTGGTGGATTTTGAGTGGAGCTCCGTTTGACATATCGTATTCGTTGCTTCACTCTCGTCCTTAGATTCAACAATTTGAAAAGGCAAAGAAAAATGAAATTATTATATTTTTCCATCGTACTTGATTACCGACTGTCATAAGATTTTACTAGTAATAAAGATATTTTATCGGGACATCAAATCATTTTTTGGAAGCGATAATAGAGATAATGGAACTTTGTGTGCAAGTGCTAAATTCAACTCGTCCGAAAACTTATCTGGATTGATTCCATGATTTTACATATGAACCAAATCATAATCTCACATATGAACCAAATACAATATATACATATTTACAATTACATTCTTTCAGTGACATCAGCAATATCTAAATTATAAATTGCTAAAAAATTTATTAAAAGGCTTTACAGTCATTTCACTTAAGTGAAGCTCCGATACAAATTGTGCCAAAAATATTTTTCTGAATAATAATAATGAAAGAATAAAAAAAAAAAAAAAACAAGAAGAAACCTTATCGTCCATAGAAACAGCATTTGTTTTTACAACATCATCTTCTGTAGAAACAGGATTTATTTTTACAACATGTGAAAATGTTACCGAACTATCTTAGTTTAAAGAAATACTAAGCAAATAATCAATATTTTTAAAAGTCTTGATAAAGATCAAAAGTTTATGTACATAACTATGTCCATAGAATGCACTGAGAACAAGAAAGCTAAGATTCGACTATATAATATAATGAATAATCATCAACTACAGCATCAGTTGTCACTCTCCAAGCAATGCAAGAGTTTAGGCTTCGTTAACCAGTATTGTTCAAACCTCTGTCTAGCATATTCCACGTAGTCAAAGTCGATTTTATTCACGTGTTCCTGAAAGGAAAAATAAATAACAAAAGGAAAATTAAAATTAAAAACTAAAGACAATGATAGGTACAAATGCTGGAGTTCTAATTAAGAAACTGAAGATGAGAAGGCAGCTTACCGATATTATGCCCCACAAGCCCCAAAACAAATGGCTTGCAAGTGTGTATTTCTCAACATCTTCCAGGAGTTGCTTCACCTCAATGTCACTAGCCTGATCACCTGCATAAAAAACAGTAGCTCATAAAATATGATGATAGTGAAACCAATACATAGTTAAGTTTGTTAAATGAGTTACTTTATAAGCATTGGGACAAGATACCACTTATGGCTGCTTGTCTTTTAAACATGTAAGCACATTAGTTATCAAATATCTGAATATGAAAAATGGCTCATATAATGAACTAAAATGGCCGAGTATTGATAATAATACCAAGAAATTGCAGATTTGCTCTGTTAAGAAGTTACTATTTAATAATTTGTGTAGTTGTAAAATTGCAGCATAGATTTTTATGAATAGCAATTTGGACAACCAGTTTCCAATAGGAATAAGAAACCTCAGATTTCACGAATCACTATAAATTTGTCAAAAGGGATATTTCAACTGGCACATATTCACGTGTGATATATGAGAAGTTATAAAAGCTAACTGTGCAATAACAACGAAAAACTTCAAATCATCAGGGTAAAAGGTCACAAGTTATTACCTGAAGAACTAAGATATACATGCAGAAACCTTTGACGCTCTTCCAATCCTATAGTGGGGCATATGTCAGAGCCGCTTGTACAATCAGGCAAAATAAAAACAAAGAATCATCAAAAAGATTAACAAAATGTTCACACACCAGGGTATTTATTGTAGTCCACAATATGAGGTGTATCAGTATGATAGTTAGATGCCATCTCACAGAAGTGGTTTGCTATATCAAAGGCAACAGGATTGTAACTTGCATATTCATAATCCTGAGAAATCGGAAATATAATAAATCAAAGATCAATAATTATGAATTAAAAAAAAAAAAAAGAAAATCATTAGGAAATGAGAAAACAGCTCATGTCCAAAATAAAAAATTGAAGACATTATCATTTCACTTCCTGTCAGCTAATTATTACATGTAGGTATAAGTTGCAGAGTGTGTGCAACATAGAGCAAGTTGAGTTAGCAGTTCACAAGCATACATGACCAGGTCCACCAGGTTTGCACGGGGCCTGATATATTCATATCTCCTGTGATCTTAAACTAAACAGTAACTATAAACAGATCTGTACTTGAGAACACACAGTGGTTTTGCAATTTTTTTTTTTAAAAAGAAGTTTAAATGAAGAAGCTTGGACATCAAATGAGAAGTGTTCGATTCAGGAAAAACTTTCTTCAAGCCAAAAAAGAAAACTAAAAATTTGAAAAAAATAATGTAGATGAAGTCGTGTCAAATAGAAAGAAAGCTTAACCATTGCATGCATTTACTTTCATGGTTAGCTAACAGCAGTTTGCTAAAAGAGTTTCACATTGAGGAAGTCTCCAACAGAGCATATTCAAGTAATATGTCAACTCTGTTACAACTATTGAGAAAAAAAAAAAGACAAGAATAAAATTCACAGTTTCATGCTATTTTTACCAGAAACATCTTCTCCATTTGACCTCAGAAAATAGAGAATCCATGAGAAAGTAACGCCATCAATGTCCTATGGGTCATTCAACCAGGCAGAGTCACAACTCAACTTGCAGTACAGTGCAAACTTGGTTGAATGCATCATAGGAAAACCAAGTGCTTTCAAATTGCATTCAGGTTATGTTGCTAAAACTAAAACACGAAGTGGTACAGAATAAATGCATCACTACAGGTTCAAGAAATTGGAAGTATGCAAAGTAAACAGCAAAATAATTACACAGATCAGCAAATAACTATTATTTTTTATCCTTTAAGAGAGCAATGAATTACATGGCCAATTATTTTATCATTTTACAGTTAAGTCGAATAAATTAGGTTGCCTCCTCTAATGATATAAAATTGCCAATATATCTTAAACTATTCATTGTCTCCATGATAGATCATAGGGTTCAAGAAGATTCAAACATCAATTATCGATTAACACAAAAAGAGAGAGAGAGAGAGAGAGAGAAGAAGAAGAAGAATTAGGACAGGTAAAATATATCCAATATTTTATAAAGTAGGAATATATTTCACATTTTCACTATTTGCATTAACTATCAAAGAGAAACTTACTATTAAGGTTATTGCTCTTGTCTCTTCGTCAATCATTATATTTCCATATTGTAAATCATTATGACAGAAACCAATTCTTTGATCTCCAGAGAACTCCTTTTCCAGCATTGAAATTTCCTCCTCCACAGCATCCAAGCGAATGGATTTGGCTTCTTCAGAAGAACACACGCTCCTAGCTGTTTTCAGCCAATTTCTGAAAAATCAACAACAAGAGCCACAAAAGAACAAATATCACAAAACTGTGACCTCATTTTAGTGGGCATGCATAGAAATAGCTCATTTGCAGAAAGGGAGAAGCACAAAAAGGGAACATACCGTAACCTAACCCACAGGCGGACATTCTTTGGACCAGGCATCTGAAGACCATGAAACTCCTTCACTTTAGCGGCTATGAGAACAGATATTTCTGGATCACGCAAATCAGATGCTGACAGCGTCTGAAATCCATATAGAACGAGGCCGATAATGAGTGTTTCAGAAAGGAAATGCAAAAATTATGGAATATAATTTTCAGCTTAAATGAAAGAGAAGATCTGATTGAATGGGATGACATTTTCTTTCTCTTCTTTCTTTCCTCCCCTTCTTCCATTAGAAGTAATTCAAAATTTAGATCCCTATTTAAATCTGCAGAACTAAATCACCAGGCATTAAACCATAAACTGTTACTTTTTTTGTCTCTTAAGATTAATATAAAATGTTAAAATTTCGAATAGTATTAGCTGCTGATAGCACTAAACATTTGATGCCTCTTACCGACTAAAATCTCTTACACTGAGATTGACAGCTATATCAACATAAGCATTCTATTCATTTGCAATGTAAATTTAAAGTGAAGGAACAATGTGCTTGCAATGTGTTCACAACTCAATTTGAAACAGAATTGATTGCCATACCTAATTAAAATGTTCTAAGGGAAAAAGGAAAACATATCATCACTCAAATATGAATGCCGAAAGAAAAGCTGAAATTAAGAAAATCCAAGTACCCGTGCACGTATGAATTCTTCAATTCGCCCATTTAAGAACCGGCCGAGTAGACGAGGTCCCTGACCTTGTTTAGACATAAACTCAAACGTCCGGATCTCATCATCCCTGTCAAAAAAGACCTCCACACCAACACCATAAATCCTCACTACAACTTTACGTGAGATTTCCTTCGTTTTTGTCGGCCACTTTATTTGAAAAACCTCATTGGTCATGGCACCCTTAAGAGGGATCACCTGCAATGCACTTGCATCCAACACATCCTCCCACTTAGACGCCAAGGACCTCAAAATCTCCTTAGCCTCATTTGGTATACGATCCTCTTTGTTTACCATCATATTTTCCATAGCACCCATCACAAAAATACCCAGCCAATTTTTTTTTTTTAAAATGAAAACCAATCCAGACAAATCCTTCTTATTGTGGCAGAGTCTGATCTGAAACAAAAACAACCAGAACAGGCAAATCAACACAATCAATCAAATTATTCCCACTACCAAGCGATTTGATTTCAACGAACAAACAACAGAACAACACAAACAGAAAATGATGGTGCCTTTTATGATTCCCGCAAAGTTATTTTAAGGCAACCAAACATAATTCTACTTTTCAGAATCAAGCAAACGGCATCAGAATGTAATAATTAAATAAAAACAACAGCTAATTCTTTCTACAATCTAATCACAAAATAATACTTACTACTACTTACTTTTGAGTGTCGTCTCGCAGCTAGAATGGACCGGTTACGAAAATTTGAGGGAAGGAGGGAGGAAATGGAGGTAATGCAGAAATCTATGATAGTTAAGATTTTACGAACAAGTTGAGAGTTCGGAGAAATTTGAAAAGAGTATGACGTAAACAGAGCCGACGTGTACAACTGGCCTGAAATAGATTTCCTTCGACTAAGGTCGGGTCGGATATTCGTTCAAAAATCCGCTCTCAAATAAATCCGTTTATAAATAAAATGTTTTTTTATTTCTGGAGTGTGGGCTGAAGAGTCCAATTTTTCCAGCCCAGCCCAGCCCAGTATGTGTAGACAGCGGAGGGTTTAAGAACGGGGTTTATGTAAACCGTCCATGTACCAGCAAAAAGCCCTTTCCCTCCTCGTCGCTGCCCTCAGAATTAGAAACTTGCTGTGTCGCTGTGCAGAGGGATTGAGAGGCTGATTGCCAAGTTGAACTATCGTTTTCCCGAACGACGGCGCGTACAGGCTGAGAAGAAAAGGAGGGAATTAAAAAACTGATCTCATTCCAATTTTATTAAAATCAGACAGTAAATTAAAAATCAGAGGAAATCGTCCATGGGTCTCATACAGACAGACCCTTCCACTGGAAACCAAGAGTATGGGTTTTCTCCTTTTGTATATAGTTTGTGTTTGTTCTTAAGGTTTTGTTCTGATTATTGGTAAATTGTGTAAAAATAAGGCTAAATGTGATCGACCAACTGATTGATAAGCAAAAGCTTACTGCTCCTATCAAATCCGCTGTTGATAAATTTCAGCTTCTTCCTGAGTTCTTAAAGGTAAATATACTTGTCATAAATGGATAATGTGTATTTCAAGAGAGAAATATAAGTAAAAGACATTAAAAAAATTAATAATAATTAAATTCCCATGGTCTTTAGGTGAGAGGATTGGTGAAGCAACATTTAGACTCGTTTAATTACTTTGTAAACATTGGTATAAAGAAGATTGTGCGTGCCAATGATCGTATTGTGTCCAGTCTTGATCCTGGTATTTATCTTAGGTAAGCATTTTGCTGATTATTTTTGAATTTTTGAATCTGATTTTTATTTGTATTTTATTTATGTTTTTTAATCGTGGGCATATGGTTTGTGGTTTGTTTGTGTTAACTTCAGGTTCAAAGATGTTAGGATTGGTACACCTTCAGTAATAGTGGACGGTGTTAGTGAACAACTTAGTCCTCATATGTGTCGGTTGGCCGATATGACGTATGTACCATTCATCTTCATTTGTATTTGTAACTGGATTTTACTTTGCTGTTCTATGCTTTTGTTTTGTTCTATTCAGTGATATGGAGATGGGATATACATCATAGTGGATATCTTTTCTTGTTGCGAGACATTCTTGGAAGAAGCAAGAAATTCTTGATATTTTTTTTTGTTAAATTTTTATTACACTTATTTATATACAAATATCTGTCACTGTTTGTGCTTCTTTTTCTTTCTATGCGTACATACATGTAGTATTTATATTTGAAAAGTTTTGTGCATGGCTCGGCTAGGTGGGATAGCCAAGCCATTTACACTGATGATACTTGGATAGTAAAACCAATAAAGACATAAATCTATTCATCGAGATTTTTCAATCTCTGTGTGCTGTCAATTATAGATATGCTGCACCAATTATGGTCAATGTGGAGTATATTCAAGGAAGCCATGATCAGAAAACCAGAGTGGAAAAGGTACTGAGAACATCACTGTAATATGAACTTCCATTAGTGTAAAAATGTAATTTTGGATTTTAAAAATAGTTTTGTTATTGCAGAATGATGTTGTTATTGGAAGAATGCCTATAATGTTACGGAGTCGCGGCTGTGTTTTATATGGAAAAGATGAGGCTGAACTTGCAAGGCTTGGTTTGTGTGCATTGAACTCAAATATCGCTTTTTTATTGCCTGCTTATTTTTTAAGCATGGTTCTTGTTAGTTACTCTTTGCTGTTGACTTTAGGCGAGTGCCCCCTTGATCCTGGAGGATATTTTATCATAAAAGGGACAGAAAAGGTGAGTTCATTTTTTTAACTGTTATAATTTTTTATTTATTTATTAATTTATCATATGGAAGACTTTAGGTCAGACGCACATGCCATATCAAAATGGCTTTAGTTGCAGGAGCCTTCTATCTGAAGTGGCAATTCCTCTTTAATTTCTCAAATTCAGCATCTTGCATGAATCTCCTGAGTTCTTGTTCATTTGTTTGATCATGAAATCTATGAAATAGTTTAAAATGTTCAGCAGGCATATGCTAAATTTAGCATACATGTCACTCAATTTTCTTTAGTCTTGTGTTCCTCATTCTTGCCTTTATGCTCTCTCCCTATCTCTCTCTGCGGATAGTATTTATTGGTGTGTTTTGACCCTATGAATCTCTTTCAGGTTATTTTAATACAAGAGCAACTGTCAAAGAATAGGATTATTATTGATAATGATAAGAAGGGAAAGTAAGTTCCTCTTTTGCCTCTTTTCCCCTTTTACTTCATGATATTCTTCAGGCACGTTCCATAATTTATTTTTGTTACTAGGTGCTCAGAGTTATTTAATGGTAGATTTGGCAATATTGTTTACAGTACTGGTTAAATCATTGTCGAGGTTGTTATTTTCAAATGTAGGTTTGGATACTTATTTTTGTTTTTTATATGTTTCCAGTATAAATGCATCTGTCACAAGTAGCACGGAGGCTACAAAGAGCAAAACAATTATTCAGATGGAAAAGGAGAAGATGTATCTGTGTCTAAATCAATTTGCAAAAAAGGTCTTTGTTTGAGATTCATTTTTATTGTTCCTTTTCGTTAATGTCCAATGTCTTTCATTTTTGTTTCTATGTCTATTTTATAGTTGCCCAGGGATTAACATTTCAAAATATTTTATAGATTCCTATTATGGTGGTAATGAAGGCTATGGGAATGGAGAGTGATCAAGAAGTTGTACAGATGTTGGGAAGAGATCCTCGATATAGTGCCTTACTTTTGCCATCTATTGAGGTAATTGGTTGTGAAATTAGGTCGATAACAGTGAACTCCTGAGACAATTTGATGCTACATTCTCTGATAACAAACTGCGCATGAAAGCATTTGTCACATTCCCACCTCAGAATCCTGTCAGGAAATCCGAACTTTGTGATTCTATCACAACAAGTTTGCAATTGTTTGTTGAGTATGTACCTGATTACAATGTTAAAATTGGAAAACAATTCACAGTCATATTCTGATGAAAACTGGGATCTCTTTCTGTTGCCTCTATGAAAATCAAACCTTTTTGGATCTTGTGGGATTATCTGGGATTTCATATTAATTCTGCCGTAAAAATATTAGGTGTTTTCTTTTTGGAACACCGTATAAGATTTAATTTAGATATTCTTAAAGAATGTTGCATTCAATATAAAGTTGGAAGCCTATAATTCTCTAGTCTCTACCTTTTCGTGTGATCCATTAGGGTATCATTACAAAGTCTTGTTGATGCCAGAAGCTGATGTGGAAAACTAAAACGTGTTACCAGTTAAAAACAGCTGCCAGCTTCTTTAGTCTCCCCCTAGATAAAACTGTGAAGGGAAATAACTTCCAAAAAAAATGATAATTTTCCCCATGCTTATTTCATCTTGGAATTCTAAAATGATAAAAAACTCTATGGCCTCAAACTGATGATTTAGAGCAAATGATTTCCTCATTTTTCAGGGTAAGTTATTTTCCTCTTTACACAAGTATGGGTTTCATTATCTCCTTCCAGTTTCTTTCTTCATGTTCATTTCTTGTAGAGAACTCCAGATCAACTGAAAAGTGTTAAAGATTCTCCTGAATTGATTTTATGCATCTTTATCAAATTTGCTTCTCCTAACAATTTTCATGTTTTTTTGTACTCCATTTGCTTATTCAATACGATGATCATCAAATAAGTGGCTACTTCAATGCAACACTCTACAGCTTAGTTTTCCATGTTGCTCATAATAAAAATGCTGTTTGTCATTTATGTTTGTTGTATTATGATGTTGTGCCTCTAGTAAACAGTGACACTTGCTATTCGTTGTACGTTTGGTATTATTTTCTCAAAATTTTGGATTTATCACGTGATTTTTTTCATCCAGTATTTTATTATTTTGGTGCTAAAAAAATTATGTGATTTGCATCTTTTAACTTCTTTTTTCTCTCATTTTATCCATTTTGTTTTTATGTTTTTTCGTAATTTTTGCGTATTATACTCATCTCTAGAGTTTGTTGCTTTGATATTAGGAATGTGCCAGTCTGAATATATACACACAACAAAAAGCTTTGGAGTACCTTGAAGGAAAGGTATGATGACCTTGTTTGCGAAATTGCAATATTGGTGATTCTGGCATTTAATTCCTCAACTACATGCACTAACTAAGACCTTGAAGTGGCCTAGAACTGTATTTCATTTTTTTATATAAGTTTCTTTCTCTTTATTGATCAAAGGCTGCATTCCTATTATTGGAGACTTTTTGGTTGTTGTTCCATTTGTGTTGCTATAATGTACCATTAGTTCCATATTGATTATATATGCATGAATGTCCTGTCTATTTCCAATTTTTCTCCCCAAAAAGGTTGCTTTTCTTTAGCAGTCAATTATCTGTTTCTTGGTCCATTTTCAAGAATAATAAGTTTTTCCATAGAAAGCTTTGGATTTGCTTTTCTTCTCCATGGCTTTTTTTATTTATTTATTTTTATTTTTTATGAGTGTGGTTGTGGTAAGTTAAAAGATGTTGCACTTGAGGTTGTACCTTTTCTTATTGAGCAAGTTTGCTTGCTTGATTCAATTGTGGTTCCTGTGAACATGGAAAGCATGCAAGCCCATTGGTCGAAGAGCATTAAAAGAGACCTAATCCCTTCTATTAACTTACTGCGGACGAATCCCTTCCGAGACAGTACTAAACTACTAATCATTGCTGCAGCAATCCACTCATAAGTTTTGAGTATTTGAGAAATCAAACATGTGTTGTAACATGGGTACAGTAGAATATAGATCCACCAGTAGTTGTAATATACTCCAATATCAGCACAGACATGCGCTTGGTTTGTAACTTGGCCGGTAAAGTTGGACAGTATATGTTAATGATAGCAATAGTTAACAAGCACATACTGGATACTTCCATATGCAATATCATTATCATTGGGGCACGGTAGCCATTTAGTATCATTAGCAATCAGAATTATTTGTGTTTTCTTCGATGGTTCTGATCATTTTGCTTGAGCCTTTCTCATCTTCCAGGGAAATCATTTTCACATATTCTGTTAGGAAGTTCGTTTATTGTCTGTGCTTGTCTTAAAATATTTTCCAATTTGTTATTTAATGATTTCTGTAGCACCTCAAGCCACATATTTTCTTAGCTTGATTTTTTGTGTTGACTCTATTGCATTTTTTTTTTTTTTTCGCATCAATTGCTGGCTGTTGCAGGTGAAGATGCCTACATATTTCAGCTCTTCTTATGTAAAGGTCCTTCCTTCCTCTTTCTCGTGATGTATATATACACAGATGCACTAAATCTTTATGCATCGTTGAAACTATTTGGGGATGTATTATACTTATTATTCTTTGTGGGAGTTGTCTAACATGGAATATTTTGATATTTTTAACAGGAAAATAGAGCTTTGGGTATTCTTCGAGATGTATTTCTTGCTAATGTTCCGGTAGAATTCTCTGGATATACAATTTAAAGATGCTTTGTAATTGTGCAATTGTTTAACCTTTATTTTACCTTGCTATTAGGTACATAAAAATAATTTCCGTCCAAAATGTTTATATGTTGCGGTAATGTTGCGGAGGATGATGGAAGCTATGTTAAACAAGGATGCAATGGACGATAAGGTAATTATTTTGCTTTAAAAAAATAGTTAAGAGTAAGTAGAATTTGATAGAGAGAGAGAGAGAGAGAGAGAGAGAGAGAGAGAGAGATATTTCTCAGTTTATCCTCAGACCAAGGCTGAGCCATTTCTTATATCGAGGATGGTTTTTATGTGCAATGAAGTGCAGTTTAAAAGAAATGACTTGCTTTAAGCTGGCAATTACACTGTCTGCACTGTTCTTTGGAGCATGTTGCTGATTTTAGTGCTGTGACAATTTTCGTTTCTTATCACTTCTGAAAATATTTTATTATTTTATGGTAAAATCGATGGATTAGTCTCTTGATACTCTATCTGTTTAAATCAGTTCAACATTGTGCATATTGCATACTTAGAAATCATTTTCCTTGTTTATGTCAGTTGGTGGGTGATTATATATCTAACAATTGTTTCCATCAATTTTATAGGATTATGTGGGTAACAAGCGATTGGAGCTCTCTGGCCAGCTAATTTCTCTGCTCTTTGAGGTATTAAGGTGGAATTTATACTTCTTGAAAATGCTATTCAAACTCACTGTTGCTGACTCTCTGTTGATTGCATCTTAGGATTTGTTTAAGACAATGATCACTGAGGTTCAGCGAACAATAGACGCTGTCCTATCAAAGCCAAACCGCTCTAGCCGGTTTGACCTTGCCCAAGTAAGTGGTGGAAATTATTGGTGTAGAATCTAGCCTAGTTGATCCCCATATCTAAATATTTATGTTTCTTCCTTGTAAATATCATGTATCGATGCATGTTCCCATAAATGTGTATAACTGTATATAAATATGCACGTGCTTATTTTAAGAAACTAGGAATTATAGAAGTTATTAATGTCAAAGTGTTGCAGATCAGTGACAGCAATATAATTTTTGGATTTACTTTTGCACGTTATGTAGAAAGAGACTTGTGATTTTGCAGTGCTAGTTTCACACCATTTTTTTCCGGACCAACTATTGCTGTTTCATTCAGTGGCCAGGGAATTAGTCTTCCATGAGTCACTTTTAGCTATAATTGCATGCTGTCTGGAGCTTGAGCAAGGGTTGGTTACCAGATTCAACTTGAGAGATTTCCACTCCATATTAATGGCTTCTTCTCAAAATAAATTGGCAATGTTATCTTTAAGTTAACTATAAAAGACAGTTGCTTATAAAGCATCAGTCTAGAGGCTTTTGACTTGAATTAATCATGAAGGGATTTCCCTTAGCAGTAGGAGATGGACAGATCTGATGTGGAGCTCTAACAATGTCGATCCATGCCAATGTTCATTTAATCATCTGAATGTTCTAGTTTTCCTATGGAAGGCTTCTGATCTGTGACAAATAAAACAATATGATGTGTCTGGTATTTCTTTTATTTGCATGATAGCATCCTTATTATGGATTTTTTATTGTTGTTTTATCTATCTTTTAACTTTAGTAAAATTCAGTACTGCTTGCTAACTTTCTCCTGGAACGAGTTCCTCTAATTTGATATACTTTTGTTTCTTTCTTCTGATTTTAGTATTTAGTCAGAGATAGTATTACTAATGGGCTAGAAAGGACGCTCTCTACTGGCAACTTTGATGTCAAACGTTTTAGAATGCACAGGAAAGGCATGACACAGGTTGTGTTATCTGTCTATTTTAACCCCACAATATTATGTTTCCCTTTTCATGTTTGCTTTATCTTAAGTTTGTGGAATGAACTGATGGAGACTTCTATATTGAAGGTGCTAGTTAGGTTGTCCTTTATTGCAAGTTTGGGCATGATGACAAGAGTCTCACCTCAATTTGAGAAGTCCAGGAAAGTAAGTGGACCTAGAGCATTGCAACCTAGCCAGGTAATTTTGATGCCTGTGGATCTCTTCATTACATTGAAAAATATTGCAGAATCAGATTATGATATTATTGCTACTTAGGCTTATATTCTATTTCCTCCCTTTAAAAAATTGTTTAATTGACTGAACATTCTTCATTTTTGTTTTAGTGGGGCATGCTTTGCCCATGTGATACTCCAGAAGGTGAAGCTTGTGGGCTAGTGAAGAACTTGGCTTTAATGACTCATGTTACAACTGATGAAGAAGAAGGTCCATTAATTTCGCTGGTATGTCTTTGGTTAAAATTTATTTTTTTCATGAAGGGTAAAGAAATGTTTTAGATGTTTTTTGGAAACACTTAAGGATGGGGTCATGCCCTTAGTTTGTTAGGGTTTGTTTCTTAGTTTGTTTCTTACCTTTTTAGTGTACTTGGATGCTTTGTTTTTGATTACTATGTGTAGACACACTTTTGGCTTGGGTGACTGTTTGTGTGTTATGCTTTTCTGAGTAGTTCAAATGAGAAAAAAGAACAAGAAAAATTAGATTCTGAAATGTTTATGCAATAGTGCTACTGTTTGGGGGTTGAAGACTTAGAACTTCTCTCTGGAGAAGAGCTTCACACACCAAATTCTTTTCTGGTTATATGTAACGGGCTCATTCTCGGCAAGCACAGGAGACCTCAGGTAAATAATGGTTTAATTAAGATGTGTGGATCTGTATAAAACTTCTTCTGTTCTTTTTCGCTAATTTTCTTCTCATCCTTCTACTCAAAACCCTTGTTCAGCATTTTGCTAATGCATTGAGAAAGCTGCGAAGAGCTGGCAAAATAGGCGAGTTTGTGTCTGTCTTTGTGAATGAGAAGCAGGTAATTTTTCTGCGCTGTTTATTATTGTGTAGAAATATGATATCAAAATAAGAAGTTTGTTCTTATGTATTTAAAAAGTGTAACATGTGTTTTGCTGAATAGGACAGGTTAGGGTTTATCTTTTATGAGGTAGTGTGGTGTTTATATATGACTCTGGAGGTAAAATACTAAAAGCACGTGATTACAGTGCCAGAATCATGTTTCTATTATGGCAAACAAGCGAGAAGAAGACTCCTCTACATGCCAATCGTCATGCCCATTAACTTCATCGTCCAGATTCTTTTCAAAATTGCTCTTCTGTCAGACTCTATTATCATTCTTGTCTCTCTTTTTCTTGCTCATGCTAATACTCGTCTGGTCATTATATTCAGTAGCTTACACCTCGTCTTTCACATCCTCAACATTAACTTTCACTGAAAATACTCACTCACGATACTCACTCACATGTCTTGAAACCTGACTTTTCCAACTCTAGTGCCCACTTTCTTTTTCTTCAATCATACTCATTTCCCCTTTGCCATCCTCGTGAATATTGCATCTCCCACATCAGGTGTGTTGGCCCCATTGCCATCCTCAACGTCAAAAAAAAAAAAAAAAAAAACCAAATAAAGAAGACCTCAGTTCCAAGATGTAAGTAGTAAAAATTTTAAAGGGAGTGAGGTGAGTGAGAAGACAGACCACGTAGATTAAGAAGAAAAAAAACTATTTGTATTTTGAGTGATTTTCGAGACGACGAAGAGAATCCTCTTTCTCACAAGATGTTATACCTCAGTGATTTCCGGAGAGGAAACTGAAGCGGCATTGGCTGGTATATCGGACGCCCGCTAAGGTGAATTTTATAGTGGGCAAATGAAGAATGACAGTAAATATTGACTAAATGATATATTGACTTGTTAAAAGACATTTGTGCTCCTAATTTTTACGAGCTGGTTCTGCCATCTGTTTTCTACATAAACTATAATGGAGAGACAAATTGTTGACTCGGATTTTAAGTGCGTGGTGAAACTAAATCAGTTGGTTCCCTTGTTTTCTTTCATCCCGCACGTCTGGGAGAGGAATATTTTATGTATTGTATTTGGTGAGAAGAAAAATCAAAATCCCGGAGGTTGGCAGTTTCTTCTTTGTATACCTCATTACATCCTACAATCGTATTGAAGAGGATGCAGGTTCAATGCATTGTGGGGCAGGGGGGGTAGGTTGGGCGGGTACGTGTAGGAAACCTTCATTTCTCTTTACCAAGGGGGTTGGGTGTGTATGGTGCAGGGTTGGGGGACTCGCAAGAAAGGGTTGTTTGATTATTATAGTCTAACAAGTTTCCATAAAATCAAATTTACCTCACTAGTGGTATTTTAACGGATGTGTTGGGGAGCCCCGGAAAAAAGCCCCCACCGGGCCTCGGGGGAAATGGGGCCGGAAAAAATTGATTAACCAAAATTTGGCTTTGTTTTCCTAAAAACCAATTGGTCTAGGAAAGGGGTGGAAGCGAAGGGCGGAATATGAGAGCTCTAACTGGACTCAGCTTATTTCTTCGGTGGCTCTTTGGAGGGGGTGGGCCATTTACATTGGCTGGAATCTTCTATACTTTTCTTGAAAAAATTGCATTCAAACTCACTGAATATTAGCTGAACTCTCTGTTAGTTGGGATTGGGCATGGCTACGGATTTGTTTGATAGTTATCAATGATCTAGCTGAAGATTTTAAAGCGGGAAATTTAGGGCGGGAGACAAATAGGAACAGGCGCGGAGGATGTACCTTATCAAAAGCAGCGAAGACCGCTATCTATGTCCGGGTTTTGGAGACTTCCTTGCCCTAAAGATAAGATGGTAATGGAATTATACGGGTGTAGAAATTCTAGGAACACTAAAGTGATATCCCCATATCTAAAAAATATTTTACTTTGTTTCTCTTCCTCCATGTAAAATATTACATGAAAATCATGTATTGCGATCGTTTTCCTCCTTTTATAAATCTGCGGGGGGTATGAACTGTATATAAATAATGGGCACGTGCTATTTTAAGAAACTAGGAATTATTAGAAGTTATTAATGTCAAAGTGTTGCAGATCAGTGACAGGCAATATAATTATTTTGGATTTACTTTTGCACGTTATGTAGAAAGAGAACTTGTTGGATTTTGCAGAGTGACATAAAGGGATGTTTCACAGGGCGGGGCCATAATCTTGTATTTTCCAAGTACCTATACTTATTTTGTGCTGTGGCTCATTCCAGCTGACCATGGTGTTGTTATAAATTAGTCTTTCCTTTATTGTATGATTCACTTTTTAGCTGAAATAGGTGCAATTGCTCTTTGTTGTTGGGAGCCTGTGTGGGCAAGCAAGCGGAATATAAGGTTTACCTCATTTGATTCATTTCATCTGCTAGTGTTAGTATTTCTCCTAATCAACTGCATGATTAATGGCTTTCTTCTCAAAAAAATGTGAAAGGTATGGCAAGTGGTCTCATACTTAGTTTAACTAATAATAAGTGTATCAGTTTGCTGTATGAGAAAGCATCAGTACTAGAAGGCTTTTGACTTGAAAATTAATACAATGACAGGAGAAATTTTCCAAAGCCGGCATTAAGCAGTAAGGAGAATGGGACAAGAATCTGAATTGTGGAGAGTCGTTGGCGGGTAAGACAATGTCGATCCATGCAATGTTCCCATTTAATCATCTGATTAGTTCTATGTTTTTTCCTTTGGGTTTAAAGCTTCTTGGATCTTATCTGCACACGAAATAAAACAATATGATTGTCGGTTATTTTTCTTTTTATGGTGGTTGACAATGATAAGACGCCCATACAAATAAATGGTAACTCTATATATTTTTAACACTTATTAATAGGATTATTTATATTGTTGTTTATATCTATACTTATTAATTTAGTAAAATTCAGTACTGCTTGCTAACTTTCTCCTGAGAAACGAAGTTCCTCTAAATTATGATATTACTTTTGTATTCTTTCTTACATGAATCTTTTAAGTCTAATATTACGCCTCCTCAGACAAGGTGAGTGATTTAATGCGTAGGAGGTGGGACATGAGAGGGTGGGAGAGGACGCTGCGGTCTACTGGCCACACTTTGATGTCATATATATCAGTGCTTGTAGGGAATTGGGCGACAGGGGAAAGGGCGGCGAAATAGACCAACGAGGGTGTGTGTTGACTTCTGGCGCCTCTAATTTTCAAGCCGCCACCAAATATTGATGAGATTACAAAGAAAAAATGGTGTTGCCCGGTTTTCAATTGTTATGCTTGTATATCTTTATAAAGTTTTGTGGAGAATTTGATTACTGATGCTCTTGTATGTACTCTTGCGGTATATTGAAGGTGCTGAGTTAGGTGTGTTCCTGTTAGTGTGCAAGTTTGGGGGGCGAGTTGACTTTCACGCAAGAGGTCTGCACACCTCAATTTGGAGAAAAGTCCAGGGAAGAAAGTAAGGGTAAAGACAAAGGGCCTAGAGGCACTTTTTTTGCATATTTTACCCTAGCCCAAAAAACAAAACAGGGGGGGGTAAATGGTGGTCTCGCACTTCCTCGTCCTGAAATAAGGGAGAATCGTGCGGGTTATCAATACTCAAAAACATTTGAAAAAAAAATATATGACAGAGGGGGTAGAATCAAGATTTTATGATTTATTTATTTGCTATCCTTTATGGTTCTTATTTATTTCTAATTTATCCTCCCCTTTAATAACACAAGATTGGTTTTAATTTGGGATGGGGGCCGGGGCTGAAACAAATGTGCTTCCCGCTCTCTCTATTGCTCTGGGTTTTAAGCCTCGGGGGACAATATCTTGGTGTCTGCCCATGTTGATACTTCCCAGAAAGGTTGAAGCTTGTGGGCTAGGTTGAATATAGAAACTTGGCAATAATTAATAGACTATATGTGTTGAACTAATCTGATTAGAAGAAAGACAACGGTCCCATTCAACTTTACAGCTGGAGATAATAGATCTTTGTGTGGTGGTTGTCAAAATATTTATTTTATTTTTTTTCTATCATAGCGCCACATAGAATATGATCCTTTAAGATTTGTTTTTTTTGGAGATTACTCTATCTTAAGAGGAGATGGGGAGGTCATTGCCACTTTAGTTTTAGTTAAGGTTTTGTATTCTAAATAAGTTTGTTTCCATTACTTTTTAGAAATTTTTGTTTTTACTCAATTGGTAATTGCTTTTGTTTTGATTTATTCTTATTGTGTAGTATCACCACTTTGGTGGGCGTGTGAGCCTGCCAATTGACAATAGATTTTGTGTGGTGTTAGTGCGCTTTTCTTGAAGTAGTTCAAATGAGAAAAAAGAACAAGAAAAAATTAGATTCTGAAATGTTTATTGCAATGAGTGCTACTGTTTGGGGGTTGAAGACTTAGAACTTCTCTTCTGGAGAAGAGCTTTCACACACCAAATTCCGTTCTGGTTATATGTAACGGGCTCATTCTCGGCAAGCACAGGAGACCTCAGGTAAATAATGGTTTAATTAAGATGTGTGGATCTGTATAAAACTTCTTCTGTTCTTTTTCGCTAATTTTCTTCTCATCCTTTCTACTCAAACCCTTCGTTTCAGGCGATTTGCTGAATAGCAATTTGTAAGAAAAAGTCTGGCCGAAGAGGCATGCGCAAAAAAGATGTGGAGGGCGAAGCGATGTGTAGATGTCTGTTCTTGTGAGGAATAAGTGGAGGAGAGGACAGTGGTGAAAGGTGTAGTATTTACTTTGCGTTCTGGTTGTGTTACTTTAGATGTAGAAAAATAAATAAGAATAATCAAATAAGAAGATTTGATTTCTTATTTGTTATTTTGGTCAACACCAAGAGTAAAGTTGAACCATGTGTTTTGTCCCGTGAATAGGACAGGTTGGGTTTATTCTTTTATGAAAAAGAGAAATAAAAGGTTGGGTGGTTGTTTATTTATAGACTCTGGAAAGATAAAAAATTAAACTAAGTTAAGGCAGCCCTGAATATACCAGTGGCATCAGTATCATGTTTTCCTTATTTTTATTGTGCAAACTAATTGGGCCCGAGGGCCGAGAAGACTCCTCTCCTTACAATGCCAATCGTCATCGCCCATTAACCACCCCTCTTTCAATTCGTTCCAGCATTCTTTTTTCAATTATATTGTACTTTCTATTGGTGCGAAAACCTTGTTCAGACTTCTTATTGTGATTCATTGGCGTTGGTCGTGCTCTTTATTACTTTCCTTTGTACTATCTATTTTTGTCTTGATACTCGTCTGGTCATTTATAATTCGGCCAAGGTAGCTTACACCTCGGTCTTATACACTTGGGGGAATTCACATACAACCATTAAACTACTATCCAAACGTGGGAACACTGAGCCCACTCGGGACAAGAATACTCTTCCATTCTTTCACATTGGCTTGAAACAGCTGACTTTTTCGGCGCAAAGCTCTAGTCAGCTCCACTTTCTTTTTCTTTTCCAAATCAAATACCTCGCAATTTTTCTGCGGGCGCGGGTTGCGCATAACCCTCCATTTTGTGTAATATTGCATTTCTCCCACAAATCAAAGGTTGGTTGAGGCCCCATCTGCCTTATACCTACAACGTACAATATATATACACCAAAAAACCATATAAAGAAAGAGGATTGGAAGCAAACCACATTATTCCACACTCAGATTGAACCAGGCTTTTTCTTTCATTTTCAACACCATTTCTTCCCTTCCTTCGTACAACTTTAAGATTTCCTTAATCTATAAGAGGGCCTCTGGTTCCTCCTTAACCACTATACAAATACAAGAAGAAGGTATAACAAGGAGAATAAAAAGGATTTCAGCTTGGTTTTTTGGATGGGTAATAACGGTTCTAGTTGCATAAGGATGAGAATCCTTTGTTTCTACAGACTGTGAGGGGAAAACAGGGGGCCTTCCCACCAACAAAGGGGCGGTGCCTTGTTCCAACATTGTTTTTGAAAAGGAGTCCGATTAATCATAAAAAAAATACCTAAAACAGGGTGAGTCTTTTGAAGGGTCAATTCAAACAAGTCAGGAGCAATTTTTTTAATAAAGGAATTCTGTGAAGGAAAAAAAAAAAAAAAAAAAAACCCATTTTCCACACCATTCCATTCTTTATTTTCAACACCATTTTCTTCCTTCCTTGTCCTAAGATCCAATTTAAACCTCTTCTCTACCTCATCGAAGAATACAGGAATAAAAATTTCGCTGGTTTGGAGGAAAGTTTCTAGTTGCATAAGGATGAGAATCTGTTTAAGACTTAGGTTTGAATTGTTGGGTAGTTCTAAAATCCTACTGAGTCTTTTGAAGGGTCAATTCAACAAGTCAGGAGCAATTGTAATAAAGAATTCTGTGAAGCTTGTGGCTGCAAATTTTTTGCTTCTACTTGTTTGTATTGTTTGTTAAGCGTAAGGATAAATAAATGAAGGAGACAAAGAAAGAAAAAATTTTGTCACTTTCAATTTTGTACATCTATAATTGAGTCACCTCTTTGAGTTTTTGTTTCTTATGAATATTTAGCAAGCCTGATCTTGTGAGAACAAAAATCATTTCTCAGCATGCTGTGTACATTGCTTCCGATGGGGGTCGAGTTTGTCGTCCACTCGTTATTGCAGACAAAGGTGTTTCAAGGATTAAAGAACACCATATGAAAGAGTTGCTGGTGAGTTTGATCTATGTGTTATATGTTCTGAGAGTGGTTGCTTCAAATCTAACTTTCTGTATTCTTTTCTTTAAGGATGGAGTTCGAACTTTTGATGACTTCTTACGCGAGGGGTTGATCGAATATCTTGACGTCAATGAGGAGAACAATGCTCTGGTTAGTTCACATTTAATTGTCTCCAAATTCTTTAGCTGTGGTGAAGTTCTTCCATATTTGAATCCCCCTTCTCCTGCTTTTTGGAAGTACAAGTTGCACTAGATAGATGATAGCATTTCAGTGAATGACTTTTTCCTTTTCAGATAGCTTTGTATGAAGGGGAGGCTACACCTGAGACTACCCATATTGAGATAGAGCCTTTCACCATATTAGGAGTTTGTGCTGGGTTAATACCGTTTCCTCATCATAATCAGTCACCAAGAAATACATATCAGGTTTCATTGTGTTTCTAATATTCATGCCACATTTACATGAGGTAAAACTTTCACCTTATCTTCAGGTTTTTCTCATGTAACAGTGTGCTATGGGGAAGCAAGCGATGGGAAACATAGCATACAACCAGGCAAGTGATTTTGCTTCATCATTTTTATGCAGGAATGCAACTAATTGTTGATTGGCTTCTGCTGTTCTCCTAATGTGGTTTCATTTTGTTGCTGCTATAACATTTTCTCCAGTATCTTCTCTCACGTGATAATTGTTTGAATTATCTATATACTCACAAACCATATGGTGGGAACTTCATGTGTTCTTCAGATAATTACTGTTGTCTCATGTAACTACCCTAATTACTTCTATAATTGTTATTGCTCTTGCATACCTACACTGTGTTTTTCAATCACGAAGACTGACAATATTTGGTAATTTTTTGCCTAAACATAGTCCAAGGATGAGCTATATATAACTTGTGTTCCATGAATTTAAGCCATGCATCCAAGATTATGAGCTGATTATGTCTGTAACTTTGCTTAGATACAATGAGACAGTTATATTTCTTCCTTATTGCGGAAGAGGCTATGAGCATGAACTGAATAAGGAGAGAACTGTATGGGAATGGTTTAGTAACTCCTGCTCATTCCCCCCTTTGCCTGATATAATTTTGATCCAAAAGAATTAGTTGAGTTACTTTTTCCATCCTGAATAGCTAAAACCTTTCCATAAATATTTTAAAAATATACCAAAAGCATGTAGGTTTGAGACTTAATACTTGTTAAGATGCTGACAGTTTCATTTTATGTTTGCGTATGCATATCACTAAGCTTCGTCTTCACTGGACAATACATGTTAGGATTAATTAAATTATTCCTGAAGCATTGGTATACATGTAGAGTGTTGTATGTTAATTCATTATATTGTTTTTTGTTGCTGCTGTCCTTGCCCCAAATGAATAGATAATTAGTTATGACAATTTTGGAGTACTTATTTTTGTTGATTTTCTGCAAGTTCAATCATCAGAAAATATTTTGTGTGCATTATTTTTTTTATCTTAAAAGGTGTTATTATGTAGTTATTTCGGATGGACTCGTTGCTTTACCTATTGGTGTATCCCCAGCGGCCTCTGTTGACAACAAGGACAATTGAACTGGTAATTTGTGCTGCATAAAATTAATGCAGTTATGGCTTGAGATGATGGGCTGTGAACTAATAAGTTTCTTTCAGGTTGGTTATGATAAGCTTGGGGCAGGTCAGAATGCAACTGTTGCTGTGATGAGTTATAGTGGTTATGACATAGAGGACGCAATAGTCATGAACAAGGCATCTTTGGATCGTGGTTTTGGTCGTTGTATTCTTTTGAAGAAGTACATAACTTTAAGACTGTTATTTTTCGATTTTTTGTGCTTGCAGAATTTATCATTCTAGCATTTTCCAGCAGTGTTCTATTGGCACTAATGAAGTATTTGTGGTTGCTTGCTCTGCAAACAGGTACACTGCCACCATTCAAAAGTATGAAAATGGTGCAGAAGATAGAATAGTAAGGCCACGAAAGACTGAAGAAAAGGAGAGGGTAATGCATATTATGATGATATACCTTTTTTCTTGCTCAATCATTTCTTAGTTATTGCATTATTTTCATCCTCATTTGCTCTGTTGATTTATTTATTGGACAATATTAGTTTGTTGCTTTTGCTTGCCATTTTCTGGAAGAGTACAAATATTAAAAGAAAGAAAAATTGCATTTTATAGAATCAGTCATTATTGATGTTTGGAAATAGACCAGACCAGAAAATCTGTAAACTATCTTTTCTCTGTTCAGAGTTACTTGTTTAAGCCCATGTTCAAATCTGGTGTTCGGACCATTAGTGAAGCCAACTCTCATCCTGAGGAATCCATCAATTGAGAGAGAGAGAAGAAAGTAAAGAGAAAAACATTAATATTTGTGATACTGTAAACGCGTTAAATGGAAGACTGGATTAGGTATGATATAAAAAAAACTTTCTAACAAACATGGACTCCTTAAATAATGAAGATTCTACATAAACATTCTACTTTCCTGCACAAGAAATACAAAATATGAAGTTAAAGAGGAAGTAATTATTACCTTGAGATAAAATCTTTAATTCCTTGAACATGCCAGGGAAGTTTGGTATTGTGAAATGAAATAGGATAGTATAGATCAGTCGATATCTTATTCCTTAGTCTAGGCTTCAGTACTCTATCCCAGAACTTCATATTTCTCTTGTTCTTATGAATAGGAACGTTGGTAATCCTCTTTTAGTCTTTAGCTAGCCTTTTCTTCAATTTCAAGGTCTTGTGGAACATTCCACATCATTCTTATCTTTCCAAGACACTTAATTTCTTTCAGGTTATATGCTCCTCCTACTCTTTTTATGCTTCCTTGTGTTGGATGATGTCATAAGGTCTAATGAAATCTTTCTCAATTATTCCTGTGAAATATGGGCAAGTTGACTGTCCTCCCAAATGTCTTCTCTCAAATTCTTCAGCTATTATAATTTGTGAAAAGTGAATCTCATGTGGTGGTGCCTGGTTGGCAATTCTACCTGCACAAATGTAACGAGTTATTTCTTATTATGGTATTAAATTGATCATGATGGAAAGTCTGTTATATTGTAGTTGTTAGATTATGATGGAATGGCTGCTCCTGGGGAAATTATTAGAGCAAATGATATTTATATCAATAAGGAGTGCCCAGTGGAAACAAGGGGGCCGTTAAAATCAGCTGCAGCATTAGCAGACATGTCAGTAATTTGGTCCTTTATTGATTGGTTGTCCTTATTGTTATTATTATTATCATTTTAATCACTGTCATTTACCCCTTTTCAATATCCAGGAAATACAAGCCTAGCTATAATGCATACAAATACACTGAAGGGGAGTCCTGTGTGGTAGACAGAGTTGCTCTTTGTTCAGACAGGAATAACAATTTTTGTATCAAATTCATAATTCGTCATACCCGTAGACCAGAGGTAAAGGTTTTAATCTCTTTTAATTTGTGCAATATAGCTATAAAGATTTATGCATGCATGTGCTCATCATTTAGTTTTACTTTTTCTCTCAGCTTGGTGACAAGTTTAGTAGCAGGCATGGGCAGAAAGGTGTTTGTGGAGTTATCATTCCACAGGAAGATTTCCCCTTTTCTGAACGTGGCATTTGCCCTGATTTGATTATGAACCCTCATGGCTTTCCCAGGTAATGCTTTCCTGTCTTTTCTTTATCATTTTTGTGTCGTGCGGACTAAAAAGGAATGACAAGAACAGATTATAATCCAATTATAAAGAATGATTGGGTTATTTTTGTTTCGAATTCAAAATACTTAACTGAAAGTTACTGAAAAGTGAAATAGAAAGCAAAATAAAATATTTATTTATTCATGGATTATTGATGCAAAATCCTTGCTTCCTCAATAAATGATGTCTGTGCAAACCTTTTGGCTTCAGTTGGATTCTGTGTGGAGTTTGTGTAGGTGGGCCTCTGGCATGCAATCTATCATTGTGTGATAACACCTTCAACTTCAATTATTTAGGTTTTGTGTAGACCGTCTGTATAGAACCTCGCCGGTGCATGTTCTTACTTTCAACCTTTTATTATTTTGATTCAATTAATCAAAAGAATATGGGTCTACAAAGACTTTGTGAAGTGGGATTAGTTGTTGTATTTTTAACTGAGTTGATCAACCAAAAAAGTGCTGTGCTATCATCAGTTCATTGTGTTTGATTTAATTGTAAAATCATGAGAATATAATTGCAGGAACAGGATGAAAAATGGGACAAATATAAGATATGATAAGGCTATGAGCTGTGGTCATTTTGCTACTAGGTTCACAAAAAAAATTTGTTCAATCATACTATCATCTGCTATTTTTCTTTTTTATGGGATCTATTAATATGTTTTTGACAATTATCTAAATTTTCTGTGTATTGAGTTTCTTAAATCTGCAGCTTTATTATCTCTATATCACAAGCTTGGCAGTTGATTATTATTTTTATATTGTTTTATTTTGGCTAGTCGAATGACTGTTGGAAAGATGATAGAACTTCTCGGTGGTAAAGCCGGGGTTTCATGCGGTAGATTTCATTATGGTAGTGCTTTTGGTGAACCAAGTGGTCATGCAGACAGGGTGGAAACCATAAGGTGCTTCTTTATCATTAGTATGGCTTCTAAGAATTCTTGGATCATATATTCTTAAATCCTTTTCTTGTGTATGACAGCCAAACCCTTGTCGATCGCGGCTTTAGCTACAATGGCAAGGACTTCATTTACTCAGGTTGTACTGCTTTTGCTTTGAGCTCATCTCATTCTTTATAATGGATGGGTAAATGAGTATGTGTCTATTTTTTCATGTCTACTGATATTCCTAATTTTTCCAGGCATCACAGGCTGCCCGCTACAAGCATACATTTTTATGGGGCCAATTTACTACCAGAAGCTGAAACACATGGTTAGATTTTTTTTTTTTTTTGCTGCTGTTCAATTTTGATTTTAATTCTTAGGTTGTTTCCATAGTTATATTTATTTTACCAGATTTAATTTTATGCTTTCATATTGAAGTATAATGATCATTTGATGTGAAGCACATGCATTGTGTGACGTTCAAAAATATTCAAATTTCATTTTATTATAATATTAGATTGTCAGATTCTTTTGAGGTTATAGTATTTCCTTTCTGCCATAATGTTCTCATTTCTTTTATCAAGTAATATTTAATTGTTCTTTGCCCATTCAAAAGTTTTAGCCCCCTTAACATGCATTTTCTATTTATTATTGTTCTTTTTTATGCTTAGGTCCTAGATAAAATACACGCTCGAGGTAGTGGACCCCGTACATTGCTGACTAGACAACCTACTGAAGGGAGAGCTAAAAATGGAGGTTTGCCCTCCCCAATATTAATTCAAGTTCACTTCATTTCACGATTGCCTTATAATAAATATTCATTTTGCAGGACTTCGAGTTGGAGAAATGGAGCGTGATTGTTTGATTGCTTATGGTGCTAGCATGTTGATTTTTGAGCGTCTAATGATTTCTAGTGACCCTTTTGAAGTTCAGGTTACACTACTTGATCATTAGTTCCATGTTCACTCACTAGAAACTGCACAGCTGACCCTTTCACTGCAGTGGCAACTTAATGCTTTATTACATGATGGAAAGTTTTGGCTTGTGCATTTTGACATTTTTTGCTTGAGATTTTTTGTTAGTAAGATGGATACTTCCACCATTGACTATCATATTGCAAGTTAAATTTGATTGAATGATTTGTAAGAAGGCTGGAGACTTGAGGACTCATAGGAAGATGAAGTGCTAGTCCTACATTTTATTTTATATCTTATGTAAACCATAGTATAAAAAGTGGTTTTATGAGTATGAAATGGTTCATAGCGTGTTTTGTCTTTTGCAGGTTTGTAGAGTTTGCGGTTTGTTAGGATATTTCAATCAGAAACTGAGATCTGGGATTTGTTCCACTTGTAAAAATGGGGATAATATTTCTACTATGAAACTGCCATATGCTTGCAAGCTTTTACTTCAGGTAAAATCTTTAATGTATGCCCCAGCTTCTGCATTCCTCTGTGCATATTTAGGTTTCATTGCAAGGCTATCTATAACGTGGATGTGAGCAATTGTTATTAATAATTTTATATTTATATGAAGATTATTTCGTCTTAGTGCATGTTAGAAAGATGTTATGCGGACATACACTTTACGAGAACTTATGATGGATGAATGTTGCATCATAATCGAGTTAATAATTGTTTATGATAGATTTTTCTTGTGGGTTTTAGAATTTTTTTTATCGCATATTTTGATTATATCATAATTTAAGGCATATACAGATGTGCTTATGATCTCATTCGTAGATCGGGTGCATTCAAATCATGCATCTAAATGTTTTCTATTTTTTCATTAATGAGTAGGTTCTTCCAGTCCTTTATTTGCAATGATCCTTTTAACTGTCTGGCTTCTGCCATCTTGTCTATTAATTATATATATATATATATTTCTGCCACAGGAACTCCAATCCATGAATATTATTCCTCGTCTGAAACTTGATGAAGCATAATCATCGATACCCCAAAATGCTGCTCACTTAAGTGCATGAGATTTGTGGATACTTGATTGATATTTCAAGATTGTCAAGGCAAAGAGATGAGAGATTCATATTCTATACTGAGTTGTTAGAGGCTTGCGGCTGCAATACTCGACGGGGAAATCTACTTCTGAAAAAATGGTGAAATTGTTCCATTTTACTGTTAGTTTCCATTGGCATTTCTCTCCAAAAGTGTTTCTAAAGTTTAGCAAGTTATCTGGCATCTGTGTATGGAAGACATAAATGTGCTGAATTGGATCACTTGTTTTGACAATTAATGATAATCCATTATCGTGTTTATCATCTTTTTCTTGTCTTTTTTTTTTTTTTTTTTAATCGTTTGGGGTAGTTTCATTTGGAGTTGTCGATGTCGGACCAGGTGCTTTAAAGCATTCATTCCCGTGTTCAAAGGTTGGATGAGAGAGCAATCCCTTTTAATCTAAAGCGATTATATTTATCATCCTCTCAATCTTAAATTGTGAATGAGTGTATTTAGTCGGACATTTCAAATCAAATAATGATCTATCCAAATTATAATGGTGACTCCGATAAAAAAAATTAAATATGAATTTTCAATAATTTAGTTGAAATATATGGATAAGTAGAAATTTATACTTATTTCAATTATATCCGTGAAAGCTTGGAAACTAGCTCAAGTGGTTCAGTTGAATTTTAGACGATTGGTTTTATATTTCTCTGAAAGATATATTTTTTTATTATCTAATAACTCTATAATCAATAAAAATATCAAATATTGAGATTAATTGAATTAATAAAAGTAATCCTTAATTACTATATTTTTTTTTCTTAAATTTAGCTCTTGTATTTAAGTTTTTAATTTTATCAAAAATCAAATTAAATTTCCTTTAGTAACGATTTTTTTATTACTAACAGTTGATTAATTTTCTAAATTATACAATGAGAATCTAAATTTTCTAAGTTTTAAACTTATATTAAAATTTAATAATTTAGTGAATGTTATTTAAAGAAATGACCGCTGACTGTTGTGTAGTCTTATTTTATTGTATAGCCTTATTTCGATTTATTGGGCCTTCCATGTATACAAAAAAAAAACTTATAATGAAATTATAAAAAATGTCCATAATTCTTTTGGGGATTTTATTAATTTGATGAGCCAATGAGAGTATTATTTTTGCTGTAAGTGTTATTTTTAGGCCTCTTAATAAATTATAAAAAATAAAATTATAAAAAATGATAAAATGAAAGCATTTATTTCGTACTAAAGTCCGTAGAATAATTAAAATTAGACTGAAATTTTTTAATTAATCATAAAATTTGTTAATTTATTTAGGGTAATTTTGTTTTCTTCCTTAATTATTCAAACGTCCTATTTTAAACACTATTTAACTGATTCTCCGGTTTCTTTATGGCGCGAAACTTCCTCTCGCGCTCTTTCAATGACCAGCTTAGGGTTTCGTCCTCCTCAGTTCTCCGAGGTAACACTAGCAATACCATTCAATATCTGCAGTGCATTCAGGATTTATCCCTTACCCGTTATTCCGTTTCTTCATCCTATTATTTCTCCTTAAAATTGATGAATATTTGGTCTGATTGAAATTGATTTCAGGATTTTGCTTGGCTACCTACTTGGCTTCAAAATCTTCAGGTAGAGGCATCTGCTACTAATAACCGCATAAAGGAAACCCAAACTAGTACCAGTCAAATTGAAATTTTGTCAAGAGAAGAGGGTGGACATAATAGTTGCCATTTATTTTTGTCTGGAGAAGATACTTCCCAATATAGTGTTGCCCCATCACCAGGAAATGTAAGTCCTTAACCACTTTATTTGTGATTGATTAGTTAAACTTGTAAAATGTTTGTTATATTGTTTAGAATTGGTTGTTTGGAAGCTCAACTAAGTCTCTGATATTGCATAGGTGCTTCACCTATGTTTACGACTTTCTTCAGATGGGGAATCGCTCGAAAGCCAAAGCCAGTATTTATGTGCATCTCAACCCATGCATGGTTCTAACAAAGTTCCGTTATTGCAACAAATTGAAACTTCAGCTGGCTCTCAAGAGAAAGCATATCTATCAAAAGTGAATGATAACCATGTTGTAGTAGAAGCATCACCTCTAAATTCTGTCCCAATAGCTGTGGGGAATGTTGGTCAACAATCCCCAACCAATAATGAAGAAATTGGGAGGCAGTCTGTAGAAAAAGTTGATTGTAGTACTGATGGAGAAGTAAAAAGTGACATTCCACTAGCCGTAGAGATTACTGGTCTTTCATCTTCCGCCAAGTACAGGGAGAGCGGAGTTCGTGAAGAAAAATTCAATGTCAGGGACATAAAAAATGCTGAGGTCAGTGATGCAGTTGAACTATGTATAGCTGCATCTGAAGCATTAGTTATACATGAGTTGATGAGGAGTGGGTCAGCCGTAGAAGTTTTCTCAACAGGAAATATTCTTGAAGCTGCACTCCAGATTAAGAAAGCACGATTGAAGGGTCTAGAAGATGGAATCTTCTGCTCATCTGAAGAAATTGATGAGATTGATTTCCTTTCGGACTTAGATGACTCTGTTATGGAGAGTGCCTTCCAAGATGTGGGATTATCTTTCAGTGATCCTGATGTTCAGCATGCTTGTAATTCAGATATGTGTCAAGTGAAGGATACTCCTTTAGAAAATCATTATAGGGATCTCAATGGCTCCACACATGTACAGCTCAAGGCTCAAGATAATGTTTTTGATGGTTCGGATTTGGGCTTGAACACTTCTAAACTGGCTAGCCTTGCTGATATCGTTTCATATCAGCCAGGTGAGGAAGTTTCACATGTTTCAGCTGAGGCACAGGTAAAAGATTTCTCCCTTTTAGCCTCCAACTTATCTATCCTAATAAGATAGGTAAATGGAAAAGTTTTGTATTTGTTTATCTGCTTTTTCCATTTTTTTTTTTTAATTAGTTGGATTTTTTTTTTATATCATTTACATTTAGTAAATATGAAAATTAAGCTCTGCAGGTTCTGGAGTTTATGCCTGCTGCTTTTCTTTCACTTATATTTCCTTTTGGCTTTCAAAGTATTAACTCTGCTGTAATATACATTTCGCCTCAGGTTGATGTAAACTCATCTCCTGCTTGTAAATCAGAAAATGCCGGTGAGGTTATGCTGTCTCTTTCCTTGTGCTTCTTACTAATGTTGAGAGATATCTGTCTCTGCTTAACTTCCTGTTTTTTTTTTTTGGTCATTGTCCCTGCAGAAAGAGAAGATAGAATATGTTCTCCAAGTGCAGATACATTCAAAAGTCGCTGGTTTGGTGGTTGGATGGTGAAGGTGAGGACTATTATCTCTGTTCAGTTAGAACATATACTGAAATTTTTTTGTTCAAACTTGTTCATTTATTTGAGACCTTCGAGTTTAGTTCAGTCATTCGGTAATCTAGTATGCATTAACAAGATTCCTCACATTGCATATTTGCTGTCAATTGTTTTGGACTTTGCGATGTTCTGCTTCTCTTCTTTTATTTACTTTATATGCATATATAGAATTATTCTGACTGCTTGTTCTCTTTGTGTTGGTATTTTTTTTTTTCTTTCTTCATTTTCCTTCTTGGAAGGAATCAGACGCTTCTGCAAACTTCAAGCAAAACAACACTAAAGGCATACCAGAGTTTTTTAATGGCGAGACAAGCTTTCTCTCGGAATCTGCATATGCTGCAGATGAAAACTCTTGTGTGCAAAAACATGATTCTGGGTCCAAGATAGTATATTCCTCCAGCATACCTTTTGGAGATGCACTTGATAAAGCTGAGGAAGGGATTTTGAGTTCCCAAGAGGTTAGATCTTCCGACCAATCCTTGGTGGATCCTCTTTGTTCTATTGTTCCTTGCAGTATCTCTTCAGAGAATGCAAGTGTTCCTTTAGCTCAGAATCAAGATGATAGAGAAGCTGATGCTCAAAGCTGCTTCAACACAGAATCAGGACTTAGGTTAGACAATGTCCAGAGGATGTCTAATGTTAACGTTAATGGTTATGTGGATGTGGATGCTGTGCCCACAAGTACTGGTGTGTGTCTTGAGGCCCCAGTTCGAATGCAGCTGACCTCACTTAAAACTTACAGCACATTCTTGCCAAAACATGATGTCATTTTGAAGGCACAGAGACCATACCGGACTCAACAGTTATCATCAGAACATGTTGGAGAACCGCTTCTGTTGAAACAGAATGTGCATTCTCATAGTTCTTCTGATCGTAGGAATTCTAAATGCTTCTTGCCTCTTAGGCCTGAAATTAAGTGTTCTGTTGATAAAGATCATGAACAAAATCATGGTCCCACTGTTATACAGAGTCCAGTTGCAGATCATGATGAACCTGCAAAAGATGGAGCTGAGCTGCCTGAGCAACAAGTCCAGCCTTCAGTGAAAACGATATCACCGCTTATTCTAAACCGAAGGAAATGCTGCCGCCTGAACCCTTCTGAACCTGTTAAAGCTGTACCTGGAATGAAAAATCCTGTACAGATTGTCTCAAAACGAACCGTAAGCAAGGCTTTTGAAAGAAAAAACGTTCAAATGATAAACTCTAAGTTGAACAATCCCCCTAGTCCTTCAAATTTGGTTAGAAAGCAAGTTCGTTTCTCAGAACTTGAAGTTGAGCTTAATAAGGATGTCCAACAGCCCGAAACTTCAAAAAAAGATTGTAAGATCATGCTGTTGTTTGTCTAATATACGTTTTCAATCACCTCCTCAAAGTTATCAACTCATATGTTCATTTTTTTATTATTTTCTTGATATTGTTTATTAGGTTTTGCTGTCAGAGCTAATAAAAGGTCAAAAAATTCCAAGATGTGGTCTGATTTTCAGGCTCAAGATGCGAAAAGTTGTTTGACTGGTTATACAAATGTTACAAAGAGACCGATGTTTCATGGTCTAGAATTCTTGCTTACAGGATTTTCTAGTCAAAAGGAAAGAGATATTGTCAGACTAATACAAGATTATGGTGGCATGGTTCTCATGGATGTCCCATGTCCCCCTTCAATTTCTAGGGCCAACAGAAGGTTAAAATCTAATTTCCAGCGGCTTCCTATTGTTTTATGTTCAAAGAAGGTTAGTTTTAACCAGAACCTTTTCTTTTTCCTTTGGTGTCTTTCTATAGGCTTTCTTTTTTAATTTTTTACTTCTGAACTATGGAGCTCTGGGTTCAGTTGCATACTAGTTGCTACGGTTATGCAGCTGAAACTGGTACCATTGGACTAGAGTGCCATAGAATTAGTAAATATTGATGATACTGGTATTGAAGTAAAACATTTTGCAACTTCTGCTGCCAGTGAGATATGGTATTTTTGTTTTGCAGCTTAATCTAATTCTAAAAAAGATATAGTATTCTTTATGTTGCACAGTATTAGCTTCTTATTAATGATATACTCATTTGTCCATTCTTGTTAATATTTTTTGCCAGCTACAAACTTCCAAATTCTTATACGGCTGTGCAGTGAATGCCCTCGTTCTAAATGTAAAATGGCTTGCTGATTCCATTGCAGCAGATTCTGTTGTACCTCCTGAAAAGTAAGTTATGCTATATATATATATGTCAATTTTCTTTAGGGCGCCTAACACATGAAGTGGTTAAAATCTAATTTCCGAGCGGCTATTCCTTATATTTGTTATTCTTTTACCGATGTTCAAAAAAGGTTAGTTTTTAACCAGAACCCTTTCTTTTTTTTATTTCCTATTTTTGGCTGTCTTTCTATAGGCTTTCATTTTTTTAATTTTTTACTTTCTGAACTATGGAGCTCTGGGTTCAGTGCATTAATTAGTGCTACGGTATGCGCTGAAACTCGAGTACCATTTGGACTAGTGAGTTGCCATAGGACGTCTAGGATTAAGTAAATATTGCATGATACTGGTATTGATAGCTAAAACATTTGCAACTTTTCTGCTGCCAGTGAGATATTGGTACTATTTTTATTTTTTAAATTTTTTGTTATGTGGCAGCTTAATCTAATTCTAAAAAAAGGATTATAGTATTCTCTTTATTGTTGCCACCTAGTATTACCTTCTTATTACATGATATACTCATTTGGTCCATTCTTTGTTAAATTATTGTTTTTGCCAGCTTACAAATCTTCCAAAATTCTTATACGGTGTGCAGTGAATGCCCTCTGTTCTAATGTAAAATGGCCTTGCTGTATTCCATTTGCAGCAGATTCTGTTGTACCTCCTGAAAACGTAAGTTATGACTAACATAGTGACTAGGCGCGTGTATACATTTCGCACTAGATATTAGCACCTTATAGTATATATTTTTTCTTTTTTTTTTATTTTTTCATTTTTTTTTTTTTCTCCCCTCTCAACTCCTTTTAATCGACAAATATGTTTAGAGTTTAGGGACTTTTCCTTGGTTTACTGATCCATGACTCATCGAGTTCTTTTCAGATACGATTATGTTACCAAAATCAGGTCTGGTTTTCTCCAGTATACAAGGATTTAGAAAAGTCATATAATCATGCAATAATAGCAAACTATTTTTGATGGAGTAGGGATCATCCCCAACTCCAACTTTCTGCACTAAAACAACTAAAACAAAGAGATAAGCTCTTCATGTCCGACTTTATCTCTAGCAGATAGATAAGAAATTTATTTCCCTCAAGTGTGATTTTGACACAGGATTTACATTCCTTACCTTCCTTCGGCCACCCAAAAATCATCTGAAATTTAGAAACTATTTCTGCGTTATCTCCTAGTATTGATTGGAAATTGGAGCTTTTAGTAGTTGCAATCCTCCGATCTCTTTTCTTGAGTCCGATGGAAATGAATTTACAGTTTGAGACAGAGCTTGACCTTTAACAGTTTTTCAAGCCCTCCTTACTAGTAGTAGTTTGTTATGTATACGGAACATTTATGATCAATCCAATAACACCTTCTTTTTTCTTAAAAAAAAAATCATCATATCTCACTTTCAACTCTCTAACCATTCTGAATTCAATTTTAAGTTTCCTTCTTTTGTTTATTTCCACCCTTGCGTGATAATTGGCCATTGAAACAGGGCTTTTGAATGCATCTGGACAGCTTTGGGTTAACTCTGGTACTAACAATTAGTATTTTAATCTGATACAGCAATGAAAAGTGAAAAAAAAAAAAAAAAAAAAAAAAAAAAAAACATGTGAAAAAAAAAAATTTGCTATGCATTATCCCTTCGCTCCTGCGTCCAATATGTTTGGGACAAAAGTTATTGCGAGTTAATTTAAACAACCTGCTTCAACACTTCTATAATAGTGGTGTCTCTTGTGATTTATCCACACGTTTTTTTTTTTTTTTTTTTTCATTTTTTTTTCTTCCCTCTCAACTTTAATCAATATGATTAGAGTTTAGGGACTTTTCCATGGTTTACTGATTCATGACTGTCTTTTCAGATACATTATTTTACCAAATCAGGCTGTTCTCCAGTATACAAGATTTAGAAAGTCATATAATCATGATAATAGCAAACGTATTTTTGATGGAGTAGGGATCATGCTTCATGGAAAGCACAGTTTCTGCACTAAATTGACAACTATAATCAAGGTAAAGTTTATCTCAGCAGAAGAAATTTATTCCTCAAGTGATTTTGAAGGATTTACTTCCTTACTTCCCCACCCAAAAATCATGAAATTTAGAAACTATTCTGGTTACTTGTATGATTGGAATTGGCTTAGAATTGCTCGATCTCTTTTTTTGGTCCATGAAATGATTACAGTTGAAAGAGTGACTTAACAGTTTTCAAGCCTTACTAGTAGTAGTGTTTGTAGACGGACATTTTGTCAACATAACCTTCTAAATCTCATATTCTTAACCATCTGATCATTTAAAGTTGTTTTCACCCTGGTGAAATGCCATGAACAGGCTTTGATGCATGGGTAACTGCATTTTAATCATAAGCAATGAAAGTGAAAAAATTGCTTGTGTTTGGTCATGGACAAAGTTGAGTAATAAACAAGCTAACATATGTGGTTCTGTACCTGCACATCAATTTGGCAAGTTTGATACAATTGGCATCTGATTGGGGACTGTTGGTGTCAAAATCTCATTAGGGACTGTTGGTTTCACATGATAAAAGGATGTCTTGGAAAGGGCAAAAGTTGAGATGCATTCCAATTCATATGAAATGTCCAAATACTTCTTCCTGAGAGTAATTTATGCCCTGGTATGACACAACACAAATGCAAATAATAGACAGGACAGTGGTACCTTCAACACTATCACTGTTCATCAATGACTTGTCGATCAGCTACTTTCATGCAGCTCACTTTGTAAATTGTAATGTTATTTTTTCCTGTTAATTTCACCCATTCTCTCTCTCTCTCTCTCTCTCTTAATAGTTAAATGATCTCATACTGTGACTAAATATGTTCTCCAATGGTTGAGCTGCTCAGCATGGAGGTGGGCAGGTGTTCAAAACTCTCCATAGGTTGTTTCAAAGTATTGACGCTGAAAGGATATCAGTGGGAGCTATTGTTGCTGAGGATGATAGTAGAACATCACGTCACTTGAGACACTGTGCTCTGGAGATGAAAATACCAATGATGGTTGGTGCTTTTTCTTTATCTTTTCTCTCTTATTCCTTTCGTTACTGATTTGAATATTGAAGCTTTTGACCAATTGGGAATTATATGAGGCTTCCAAAGTGTCTAACCTGTTATGCTTACATGCCCAATTGACCAATTTGTTCTTTCTTCAGTTTTAATTCTACATCTTATTAATACAAAGTTGGTAACTTCCTGCAGCCAGCCAGTTGGATAGCAAAGAGCTTGCATTCTGGTAAGCTTCTTCCTATCAAGGAGGAGAATGCTCCAAAAATTAAGTCACCAGAGACTGCAACTTCCTCAGATTGGAGTCAGGAGATCTAAATATTGCTTTTTATGGCTATATATGAGGTAAATATACATAAATTTGATAGTTTTGCACTTGACAAAATGAGTATTTCAAAGTTTATTTGGTGCATATATTGTAAAAATTCAGTTTATTTATTGTATATTCTAATTTTTTGATTCTTAATAAAAATTATTAAGAAAAGCCTCACCCTCCCTTTGCTCAATTAGGTTCTGATTTAATAGAAAAACTGGTTTTAAGTAAAATTAGTTGACTTTTGTGATGGCATACCTTGTGAAATAATTTGTTTGGTTAGGAGGTCTATTAGCCTGTGAATAGGAGGTACTGTTCCCCTTTGTAATGTCTGAAATTTGAAATCTTTTCGTGCGTCAGCGGTTTAACCAAATCTTAACCACCCTTATTATTTATATCAAGTGGTTCTCATGAATATAAATTATGCAACTTCGCACAATACATGTGAGAAATATGATCCCAGTTGTTGCCACTGTTTTTCAACTAACATGATCAGATTAAGATTCTATGAAAACTACCATAAACATTAAAAACTCGTTGTCCAATTATGCCTCACCAAGTTAGGAATGTTCGTGTCAGGTTATGGTGTTAGGCTAGAAATTGGCAGGCACCTCTAAAAAGCCTGGAAGTTTGTGATTAAAATGGTATCTAAAAGTTCACATCACATCTACTGAATAAAGAAAAAATGGATTAGATTCAGCCACAGTTTAAGCAGGCCGACAACAATTTTGCTGTCGCATCAACCTGCCATGCCAAGCAAGATCACGAATAAGGCAAAAACTGCAGAATTTAATACAGAAACGAATTCTCTTATCCAAAAAGGAACTCTCTTTAGGAAAAATCAGATTACCTCTAGAAAAGAGCACAAAACTACAAAATAAATAGAGTTAAGCCAAATTCTAATCTGCTTAAACTTTGCTTGTTTGTTTTATATCATCATGACTTAATTCCTCTATCAAACAAGCCAAAATCAAATTAGCTTTTTGTTAATTCAGTTTATTTATTAATTACAGCAATTTCTTGTTAATTAACTTGGTTATTATAATTATTCTTTTTTCCCCATTTGGGATAGGAGCAGATTAGTGGGTACTCTTGAGTTCATTAAAGAATAAAGAAGAGGAAAAATAGGAATTTCACATTTGACACATTGCAATAGGAACATATTGAATGATGAGTTGGTGGTAACTGGTAAGTACAGGAGATATATATGGATGAGACACCGTACCCTTTCATGAGAATTGTGAGATTTTTAACTAAAAAATAATTGAAAATAACCCAATCCAGAGTTATCGGTGGCTTCTTAAGCAAAATTTTCAAAATTTGTTTATTCAAGGAGAAATTGAAATGGCTCAAGAAATCACCAATGACGATGGCGAGTTATGAAGCAGTTCAGGTGGTTTCTCGAACAGTATAAAACTCATTGAAAGCAGAGAGAGATGATTAAAACCTATGTTTGGACTCACTTAAAAGTAAATTTACTGACCTCCATCTCCAACCAAGTCCAGCTTTGTTTTAACATTATGTGATGTATGACATCATGAACTCCAAGATTTCTCAAACGCCTAAAATTGGAAATCTGATTTGATTGCAACAATTCCTTTTAAGTCGGCACAGCCGGATAAGAACAAGTGTCGTTATGTATGTTTTGCGGCCTGTCGATCCTAAAATTAATATCTTATCCGTGTTTTTTCTTTTTTAAATACAAACGAAGGAGATACCCAGACAAAAGCTCTACACGATATTTTTTTGACAAGACAACCCCAAAATCCATCTCTACAGCAACCTTTCTACATCCTAAAATGGGAATATCTCATCTGTTAAATGAATTTGGTTAGTTTAAAAATTAAAAAATATTTTGAAGTTTGATGAAATACTGAAAATTCACTATCAATTCTGAAACAAATCAACTTCATAATTCAATATATAAATTATTTATTTCATTTTAATCTCACCCTATTTTTTTACGCGTTTTTTAGTACAAGTTATCGAGAAATTATTCGATAAAAATATCAATCAATATCGATACTTAATAGATGACGTTTACATATTGATTTATCAATTTTACAAATAAAAATAAAGTTAGATAATAATAATAATTAGTTTATTAGTAAGCATAACTTGCAAGTTATGTCATTCATAGACTGTACCCACAAAATGCAAAAGCCAAAAATAATAACATATCTACATCATTTAATCCATGTGGCTTGTCTTCCAATTCCCACTTTGCTCTGTGTTTTTTTCTTTTTCATGGCAGCTTTCTTTAAAAGGCACCTCAATATTAGGATAAATGTGTATATTCTCAATTGATTTTATTGATAAGTGATAGTAATTTTCTGCTATTAGAATAATTTCATTTCAGTAATTTGATTTGTATGTTAATGCCATTGAAGTTTGCTCCAACATACTTTCTTTCACGTGGAAAAGGGAAACTCTAAAGTTTTCTTATTCAAAAATCCAATAATTGGATTTAAGAAAAATAAAAAATGATGGCTATGAACTTAATCTATTGGATTTAAGAAAAATCCAATAGATTGAATACATTAATCTCTTTTAGCTCACCGAAATAGAAAAAGCATAAATTCTCTTTCCTTCGTCGAGCTAGAGACATCAAGATCTCTGAGCAGATTATACTCAGGATTTTTTTTTGCATGCATGAAATAAACGTGCAGCTGTTATCCTATATAAGGAGTGTGTGCAGGCTTAATTTCCCACACCAAACCAATCCATAGTTAAACAAGCAACAAAACTATGCCAGTTTCCACAACCACTGTCTCTCCCATTCCTCTCTCTCATTTCAAAAAAGATCAAGCAACAGGAGAAGAAGATGATTTGAAGCTAACCCATGAATGCAAAGAATTGCTTCTTTCTCTTCCTAAAGAAAGAGGTTGGAGAACTCCTTACATCTATCGATTTCAAGGCTTTTGGTGCCAGCCAAAGGAAATTCAAGCCATTTTGTCTTTCCGGAAACATTTTCAAGCAAGAAATGGTGATGTTGTTTTAGCCACAGTACCAAAATCAGGCACTACATGGCTTAAGGCCTTAGTTTTTGCAATCTTGAATAGAAATCTTTATCCATTAAACTCAAATTCACATCCTTTACTTGTTTCAAATCCTCATGATCTTGTTCCTTTCTTAGAATACAAAATTTATGCAAATAATCAAATTCCTGATCTTTCAAAATTTCCTGAGCCTGGTATTTTTGCTACCCATGTCCCATTTGCTGCCGTGAAAGAATCAATCAACAAGTCCAGTTGCAAAATTGTTTATATTTGTAGAAACCCTTTTGACACTTTCATCTCTTCTTGGATTTTCTGTAGTAAAATCGGGGCAGAAAATTTCCCTTCATTGTCAATAGAGGAAGCTTTTAACATGTATTGTAATGGGACTATTGGGTTTGGTCCATTTTGGGAACACATGTTGGGATATTGGAAAGAAAGCCAAGAAAGACCAGAAAAAGTCCTCTTCTTGAAATATGAAGACTTGAAAGGAGATATTACATTCCATTTGAATAAATTAGCTAAATTTCTAGGTTGCCCTTTTTCAATGGAGGAACAGAAACAAGGTATAGTTGAAGAGGTAGCTAAGCTTTGTAGCTTTGAGAACTTGAAGAATTTAGAAGTGAACAAAACAGGAAAGGCTATTATGAATTTTGAAAATAGACACTTATTCAGGAAAGGTGAAATTGGAGATTGGGTTAATTATTTGTCTCCCTCTATGGTGGAGCAACTGAAACAAGTCATGGAGGAAAAGTTGGGTGGTTCAGGTCTTGAGTTCAAGGTGTTTGCGTAGCTAGGGAAAATTAATTAAGCACTGCCTCTATTTGGCAATATCTCTATCTGTAATGCATGGAATGGAATTATTCACTAGTACTTGAGAGTTTATTTACAAGCACTTGATGTAAATAATGTGAGATATAGTGATATTGTGTGTAATTTTATGTAATGAAGCATGAATTAATTACTGTATAAATTATGTAAAGAAAATGTGCTCTCATGTACGTTAGTTCGCCGTCCGGCTGATATCCGTCGTCCGGTATAACCCCAGCTCCCATAGATATCACATGCAATATTTGCACTATATGTTACCAAATCTTCATCCGTTGGTTCTCTTCTTACCCCATAACCTCATTTTCTTCCATTACAATACATCGTCCATACTAGCTCTTCTATAATCTTTGTTTTCTCGTTCGGTCTTTTTTTTTTTTTTTTTTTTTTTTTTTAAGAATTATTCACTAGTACTTGAGGAGTTTATTTACAAGCACTGATGTAAATAATGTGGAGCTATGTGATATGTGTTCTGTAATTGTTTATGTAAATGAAGGGCATGAAATTAATTTACTTGTATAAAATTATGTAAAGAAAATGTTGCTTCTCATGTACGCTTTTATGTTCGCCGTCCGCGCTGATATCCGTCGTCCGGTTATAACCCCAGCTCCCATTAGATTATCACATGCAAATATTTTGCCACTATATGTTACCAAAAATCTTTCATCGGTTGGCTTCTCTTCTTTACCCCAAACCTCATTTTCCTCTCCATTACAAGATACATTTCGTTCCATACTAGCTCCTTTCTATTAATCTTTGTTTTCTTCGTTTCGGTTTCTTTTTTTTTTTTTTTTTTTTTTTTTTTCACTCTAAAGCAATCCTAACTAGCCCCCATTCGCTCAAACCTTGAAGCTTTTTTTTTTTTTTTTTTTTTTTTTCACTCTAAAGCAATCCTAACTAGCCCCATTCCCAAACCTTGAAGCAGTTTACCGGTTGTTATTCAAGCAATAAAATAGGGAGAGAGCTAGAATTTCTTGAATTGCAAGGTTGATTCTAGCCTCCCGGTGGCCAAATAGCGTACCGGTCATACGTATCCCAAATAGCGTACTGGTCATACGTATCCCAACAGGGATGTTTCTGTCGTGGTCAGTTTCCTGGAATCTTACAAGTCAGTGGTGTTGTTATAATTGGAAATGACTGCAAAAACTGCTCGAAGACCACAAGTGTTGTTGATTGTTGGAGAGAAATACCAGGCCGAGATGAAGACGGCGATCTTGGAGACCACGGTAGCATAATGATGGTGGAGAAGCATTGCCATGGTAGGCCAGATCAAGGCTGGGTAGTGTCAGCTAGCCAGTGGCTCGGTCTAATTTTGTTGGTGTAATGGTGGAGATGTGTGGTGGATTTGGGTTGTACGTGTAAATAAAGATGTAAAGAGTTTCACCAAAAAAAAAAAAAAAAAAAAAAAAATATCTCGTGGTTCGGTATTTGGGTGGTTGTACGTGTAACAAATTAAGAGATCGTTTAATAGTGGAGGTATTATATACATCGCCCTCACATATAAGCTAATAAATACTAAAAAAAAAGATAGCAGAAAAAAGTAAGTGGGAAACGAAAACGCACATTGATAGAAGATAGTAACGCAGCTGATTCATCTCTATAATGGTTACGTCACCGACCGGATTCCGAACAACTAAGGCTATGCAACTGACGGCTCGTACTCGCATCTCGTTGCGCTTCTGAGACGTCGTATGGGCCATACCTTTGATATAAGTGTCTGGAGCGGTGGCGTGCGTCTACTCTGCGTATAAAATGCCGATGATTTCAGTCGCATTACTTCATTTTCGCGCTCTCAATCTCTCTGATGTCGCACACGGCGTAATTGCATACCTGAGAAAGTTTTCGCTGGATCTCGCGAAACATCACAGTATGCTCGTACGTTAACCGAATATCGCACTCTCTCTCATGGATGGCGACCAGCGTGTAGAAAGTCCTGAAAGTTGTGGTTCCGGCTCTTTAACGGGGCTGTCGCTTCCGCGCATGGGTGCAAGTGGACTTCACGCAATCATCACCCGAATAATGATAATATGGCAAAGAGAGTCTAGTAAACTGCGACTTCGCGCGGTTCATGAGACTACGACGCGGTACCCTTCAAAAAAAAAAAAAAAAAAAAAAAAGAAGAAGAAGATGTAAAGATTAATGTTATGGCATGCACGTTGAGGTTGGTGAGTGTGCTAAAATTTCTTTAATCAATTATGAGGAATGAAAATTGTCCGGTGAAGGAGTTTTTTCATAGGGGTGAGTAAATTGTGAGTTTCGGTTTAAAACCGGCTGGGGTGAAATTGACTCAGACCGAAGTTAATGGCAGAATTAAACCAGCTGAGTTCATTGCACGGTTTTAAACCTAACCGCTCCAACTTTTATAAATTTAATCATTTGAACCAAGAATCAATTTTCTTGTCAACAGATTAATCGAATCAAATCGGTTTTTGCTTCGGAATTTGGCTCACCCCTACGCATTTGTACATTTGTACATACAATATACTACAGGCACTGAATTGATTTGCTTATGGAAGGAGCATGACACATGGCCTTTGAAAAAAGAGAATGCTTAGAGCATTTCCGATGCTACTGTAGATTGTGTCTGATGTCTCTTATGAAACAGAAAGTGTGAATGATGATGTGATTAAATATCTATTTATAGACAATGAATTTTAAAAAACTTTCTTTAATACATTAGTTTTAAATCTTCTTTCACTGTCTTTTTTTCTGGACCATAATTTAATATGCAACAAATTACTAAAGAGCAATAAATGTTAACATTGAGACCCTCTAGAAATAAAAGGTGTAGTAGACAATATCATTGATTTTTTTGACACCTCAGCTTGACATCCTAAATAGACATTAATATTAGAAAGCATTTTTCAAGAAGTTTTTTCATTTTTCTAATATAATAATTAAATAAAAGCGATCCACGTTTGCATCGAAGATGCAGTTAGAGCAGCGATGATATAAATATGTTTATATCGTAGAAATCACAATTTTTTTTAGCTCACTGGTTATGTGGGTCCCGCATTTACGATTTTTAGGATTTTACTATAACATAAAACATAAGTCCGGTTAAGATGCAGTTGCATTGTAACGCCCGTAAAATTTGGAGTGTTGAGAATGTTCTAACGTTAAAAATGGAGAACTTTTAAGATCACAAAACACCCACACCCTCAAGCTTCTAGCTTTATATGAATCTGAAATGGCTGCTGTTAGAAAGCTTTTAATTGATAACCACCTCTGACCCAAGACTATTAATAGTTCACCGAACGAGTTTATGTTTTTAGCATGACAAAAATGGTTCAACTAATTTACCAACAGAATGTTAACCTTCTAATGGTAATTACAAATCTTAGAAGAATACATGAAAAATACAAAAAGCAATGAATACACAACCAATTTACAAAAGCTTTAGGACTTGCAATACTATGTTTCAATTAAAAGTGAAAATAAGAAACGAATATACAGTTTTGCAAGGAAGTTACTATAATGTTTTCTATGCAACTTTCAAAACTGAGCCTAGTGAATTCAGTAAGGTTCTCTAACCTAGCAGCATACATACTATTAAATCATTTTGCATATATACATTTAAGGAGTGAAGATAATCCAGAGAACTTTTCAAGCTTTCTTTTAACTTGATATTCGATGGAACCTCGTCCGATCACCCTTTCCAATCACCCTTTCCTGTCATTCTTCCAACCAGCATGTCATAAACATTACCATAAACGAATATCAAGCTTTCTTTTAATTTGATATTCGATGGAACCTCGTCCGAACACCCTTTCGTGCCATTCTTCAAACCAGCATCTTATAAACATTACCATAAACGTTATTTGGTTGTCATTCTTCAAACCAGCATCTCATAAACATTACCATAAACATTATTGGGTTGTGTACATCGAGAATCGCTTGTTTTAGTCTCTCCTTGACATAGGATTGGAACCTCACAATCGCTTGAGAATAATGGACAGGCAGGAGGAGATTTGCTTTGTGGCTTGTAGTTCAGTGGTTTGGTAGCTTCCTCTCTGAAACTTATTGATGCTGATGCAGGAAAGTCATGTTCAGTTATTATGTCCATCTTATTGAACATGAGGTTTGCGACAGTTCTGTCAATGATGTTAGTCTCCAACTCCATATTTTGTCTTCTTTCAGGCCTGAATATAAAAAACAAAAAAATTGATCAATGTACAGCTCAACTGCAAATGCTGCAAGGACAAGGACACACATATATATCTAGCAAATAGAAGAGGCTTGATTGCCCAGATGGTAACCACACTAGTTTATATCAGCAAATATAAATAACAATGGGTCCTCCATGTTTGAATCCTTGATTGAATTTGATTCCAGATCCTTACAAAGAACCGTAACCAATATGATACTGAGATAAAACCGATGAAGACAACAGGTAAGGTCAGGGCTATTATTATACATCTGGTCCAAGTATGCAGACAAGTTACTGTTTTAGCATTTCACAGAAATTAAGGAGGAAAATGATTCTGAAAGAAGCCATTTTGGGCCAAAACCAATAAAATGCCGCTGCCCGACTATTGGTTTGGATTGACAGTATTACCACAATCAACTCACAAGAAAAAAACAGTCAACAAAAAACTATTGGATTCAACTTCAAGCAACCACCGCCTTAATGCCCCAGTTTGCGGATAAGACAGAAGCATAGAGACAGAAATATGCAGCAAACAATATGCAAGTACCTCATTTTCTCTTCTTGACCTGTCCACGGGGAAGTTTTCATGGACATGTTCCCATTGTGATCCTGTCTCTCCTCATGTTGCCTTGAGTTCTTGGCCAGACGGTATAAGGCATCACGAAAGCAAAGTCGAGTCTTGTCGGTCAACTGTTCAGATTGCAATACATAAATTTCATGGTCTACTTTAATAGTGAAAAATATCAATAGCTTGTTGTGCTTCTATTTTATGTACCTGTGCCATCACTGATTCCAGATCCTGTAAAACAGATTCCTCAAGAGATGTTTCCTCATCCATGTGTTCATTTATTCTGTTATGCTCAGAAGGGACCAAGACTTTGGACAGCGGTACCTTGAGGAAAAATCATACAACTAAAATGATTAAAAAAGTATTGCAATGTACATAATTTCCAAAGAACTAAATCTTTACTTCTGTTGCTAAAAAATATGTCATATTAAAACCTAAAGAAGAAGTTACCCAAAGGAAAATAAACAAACATGAACCTAAAAGAAAACCCTCTCCTTAAAATTTATTCCAATTCAAACCTTCGACTTAATTACAGGATATAATTTATTTTAGAAGTTGAAGTCTAAGATTTAATCAACCCCCTACTTTAAAAGTAAAAAGGGCACAGAAAAGGCTTTTAAGTTTTAACCATCAGACCTCGGCTAAAAAATTAAGGGGAGAAAAACTGATTCTGTTCTTTATTTGCAATCTTTCAGGAGATATCAATGAACCATGAATTTACCAAATTATAGCAAAATGGTGAAGATATGGTCAATGGTCACTCCTATTAGTAATAAATATGAGGAAAATCTCACCTTTACCACTGGGCAATGCTTTTGCCCTGAATTGCATGAAATAAGCAGTGGAGCAGGAACTTTGTTGTTCTCCTGATCCACTGTTGGAGAAAATATGTGTGTTTTGAGATGCATAGAACTTCCCATACTGTGTGTGCCACTCAAAATACTGTGTGTATCTAAAATCATGTCTCTCGAGACATTGTCACCATTTACCATATGATTCTGGAATTCAGGCTCGAAGCAAAATGAATGATGAAGATTTTCAGTCCCAGTCAGATCTTCGATTAGTGAACTACTGCATTATTGACCAGAAAGAACATAGTGAAAAACTATAAGAGACCATCAAAACTGAATAACGCAAAATGCTTGACAAGTAAGGAAATACTAGGCATCCCATGGACATTGAATGGCACTAGTTTGTCACATAGCACTAAAGATACAGAAGATTGTCATATGATAAAGGTCATACGAAGAAAATAGTTGCCATCATGACAAAAATGGTAGATGTGTATTGAACCATTTTTGTGATGATGGCAACCCTATTTCTCAGCAATGGGTTAGTTAAACCATGCACAAAGGCACTCAATTTCCATGGGACGTCCGAGCATGGCGCTAATCGATATGACAAGCTAAAGCACTTCTGACGCTACATGATTTCCTACATGCATTAAATCAAGTATCTTAATCCCAGAAGTTATGCTTGTACAAGAATATGTCATCCATTTGTTCGAATCCTGAAAGACTATCGAGCTGGTCACATGAAACAGCAGTTCGGTAAAGAGATTCCTCAGAGGTTCCTCCATCTATACTTGAACTACAACGATCTTTATCATGGATACAACTTTCCCCTTCAACTTCATTAGAGAAAAAATCACCATTGGGGTCGAGTTTTTCCCGAGTTAACTTTGAATCAATATCAAAGCTTTTGCTAGGAAAATCAAAACTTTCGGAGTCGCTCGTACCCCAATTCGGCCAACTTTCTGATAATAGAAATCTGTCGGATGGTTCTTGATCCTTGGGGACAACAAGTTCCTCAATACTACTTCCAACATACCAGTCCATGATAATCTGGGATAACAAGGAAAAAAATAAAATAAACAATATCAAAGATCCCTTGATTTCAAATTGATATAGTCAAGTAGGAATTATATTATTCTTTTTAACTAATTAGTTCTCCTTTTCCTTCCTGGAAAATTAATCAAAGAAACAGATGTAGAAGAAGCATAACCATGCTCAATAAGTTCATATTATAAATCCCTATCAAATCAACAAAGAAAAACATAGCTATAACGAGAAATCATTGTATGCCCCTAAATTCAAAGAAAAACTCCTCTTTTTCGACTAATCCCGGAAGCATCCCGTGATTTAAATGCAAAGAAAATGCTCAAATTTCTCTTATTTTTAAATAACACAAGCCTGAGTAGTTTCAACTACCTCACCAACCTCAGCAATATGGATCTGCTCATTTCTCCAGGTAATGAAAATAAATAAAATAAAATTAATGATTTCAGCTCATATCCATTTCCCTAACTTTTCTCAGAAAACAAACACATCCTACTTCCTATAAAGATATATATCAGAAGTATCAAGCATCAAAACATAATTCATCAAAAAAGCCAAGCCAAGGAGAACCCATCTCAACCCACAGACTCAAGATTCAAAATTTTTGTAAACAGTTAAAATCCACCACAAGGTATACAATACTACTCAGTAAATGACTAAAATAACATACCTTAACAAAGAAGCCCAGATGCTAAAACAGAGCAATCAAGCAGATAGCTAGCAACTAGCAACTAGCAACTAGCAACTCCAGCTTTGGTTAACTGTGAAAGAGTGGCAGCTCTGGTTTTTATCTCTCAGTTGTGTTTTCAGTAGTAGTTTGGTTTTTTATTTAATTAATATAGAAAGAAGAAGAGTCAAAACCAAGCAACTTGAACAAGAAGAGAAAAGCAGCTCTCTCTTTTTTGGAAATTCCTGTTTGTGGCTGAGAACTAACGCTGAGATTTGTGGTAGAGAGACCGCCATCAAAAAACGCAATCTCATTGATCCACGTGGACAACTCGGGACCCACTATTCAGAAATCAATGGTTTTGGTGTTGGCTGGGGATTTGATTTGTGATGCCGTGAAGACTTTTGGTTGCTTTTATTTTGTTTGTTTTCCGTAATTACCCCTACGTTTAAGTCAGCCGTACTCCTTATCTGTTTGGCTAGTTTGGTCAATTTATTTAAAACGTGGCAGTTTGAAAGCAACCCATGCCATTACTTGTTACTAACAGATTTTCTGGGACCAACACGTGGACACATGCAGATAGATCTGTTGCCACTTGGCAAAAAAACAGATAATCTAGGAAGAAGTTAACTAGAGTAGGTGGCGGCCAACTGGGAAAAAATAAAGTAGGGTTTTTCTTATCTTCTAAAAAAGATTAGGGTTTCGTTTATCTGGATTGAAGACCATGAATATACATTTTCTTTTCCCTTTGTCTTTTTGGCTTACTGTAATTTGTAAAGGGATTATTTTTATTTTTAAACCTGATAATTTTCTATGTCCACATAAAATTCAATTTATTTAGGTCCAAGCACACAAATATAAAAAGAAAAACGTGCACTATTGGGCCACATGGAAATTAATGCATGGTTTTACCCATATTTATTGGGCTCGCTTTGACCCAAATAAATCTACTGAGGCCCACTAAAATTCAGGTCCTCTTTCATTTCCAGCTTTAGCCCAAATTGTCAGGCTCAATTTGGGCTGCAACTACAATTTACGAAATTATAGTATTTCATGTGTAAATGGGCCTGTAGCCTATTATCCAGCCCGTCTCTTGATCCATTAGGAGCCTATAATGAGAATATCAATCACAAATATTTCTCGATTGCCGGATGCCAAGTCTTTTTGTTTTCCGCTGCTTTGTTTCCCGAGAAACAAACAGGCTGGTACGAGTCATTTCACTTTTTTTTCACGATAATATAGAGTGTCTGTATTTTGTTTCCAATTTAGGGTTTTGTTTGCTGTAAAAGTTTTGTTCGTTTATTTTTTTAAATGAAAAAAAAGCTAAGTTGTTTCAGATGAGAGGTAGGTAGGGTTTATTGCTTTTAGCCATATTTGATATAAATTGGTGATTGATGACGATGCCGGTAGGATTTCTGGGTTTCAATTTCCTTCTATTGGCTGTGATTTTGTTTTTCAAGTTCTAATGTTATACTGCAGCTTCAGTTCTTTGGCGCTGAAAGATGTTTAAGAACACGTTTCAGTCTGGATTTCTGTCCATCTTATATAGCCTTGGGTATGTTAACAATTTTGGTTCTATATGTGCAATCATTTTTTGGCTTCACCACAGTAGAATTTATGTATTGTTCTGTTTCTTGGATTCGTAGGAGCAAACCTTTGCAGATATGGGATAAAGAAGGTGAGTTACAGGGTTATTAGTGATAATATTTTTAATTGATATTAGGTCATCTATTCTTGTTATTTATTTTCACGAGTTTTACTTCAAAATTGATTTCAGCATTAGAGGCAAGTGAAGTACTTCTTTCTTGATGCTGTTTTTATATTGATGCCTTCTTAACTATTTGACATGCCAACCCGATTGCGAATCTGTCTTTTAATGAATTGAAAATGTTGGTGCAATTTTTTGTCTTGAATATTTTGCAGTTTCTAATGGTCATGTGAAACGTCCACATGATGAAGACATACAGTCCAATGTACTTGAGATTGTTGGATCAAATATTCAGTCTACATACATTACATGCCCAGTTGATCCAGCTGCAACTCTTGGTATAAAACTTCCATTTTTGGTTATGATTGTGAAGAACTTGAAGAAATACTTCACATTTGAGATTCAAGTGTTGGATGATAAGAATGTCAGACGGCGATTTCGAGCTTCTAACTTTCAAGTGTGTAAGTTTGCCCATGATTATGATGTGTCATTTTCCTAATGACCTTATTTTGTTTCATTTTTTTCCCCAGATAAATTGTGGGTAAGGTATGATAAATTACCTATTTTGATGTTGTTCTTCTAGCAACTGCTATGATTATAAATCATGAGTGCAGTTTTTGCAGAAATAAGCATTGAACTGACAACTAAGAAGGGAATTTTATAAAACTTCTAGACTAAATGTGACATTAAATGGAAAAGTGTGGACTTTGTTTTTGCAGTTCCATCCATGCTAGTTTGATTATAATAGCTTTCTCACATACACTGAAATAAAGGCATTGTTGTTGATATTTACTATTTGAATTTTGTAGGCTATTACTCGAGTGAAGCCATACATCTGCACCATGCCACTGAAGATGGATGAGGGCTGGAATCAAATTCAGTTGAATTTGGCTGATTTTACCAGAAGGGCCTATGGAACAAATTATGTTGAGACTTTAAGAGTTCAGGTTCATGCAAATTGCCGCCTGCGGAGAATCTATTTCTCTGACCGCCTCTACTCAGAAGAGGAGCTCCCTCCAGAATTTAAACTCTACCTTCCAATGCAGGTGAGGGTGACCCTGGGCAGAAATATGTAGAAGCTTAGGGGTCAATCCCCCAGTCTCTCTCCCTCTCTCTCTCTCTCTCTCTCTCTCTCTCTCTCTCTCTCTCAACCCAGAAAACATATTGCTTGTAATTTTTTTTTTTTCTCCCCCCCAATGGTTAAAGTCTAGTTCTGCCTTATTGCCCATGGTGTGGGATTTGTAATTTCTGATGTTAAGCCTGTTCTTATCTGTAATTGTCTGATTGCAGAAAGCATGAGAATCTCCGGGATTCAGAATCGCTGCTTCTAAAAAGAGTTGGGAGTTCGGAATGAGTTATCTTTTTTAGCATGCTCCACCAGTCAACTAGTTCCATCATAACTTTTTTCAGTTCATATTATTAGGAGATAGCTATCAAGTTCCAGACAGTATTTGCTGCGCAGATATTTTACATTTTGGCTTTGTTATGTAGATACAGCTAGTGGAACTAGCTTTGGTTTATGGTTTTACTTGTATAACCGATTTCATCCTTTATGACTTTTTTTTGGGTACACCAAATCCTGTATGATTTACACTACTCTTCTTGATTTGCTGGGTTGATTTTGTTAAAACTTAATGCATATTTTTAAATATATAATGCTCCAAAACAATTACCCTGCAGTTGAGCTTGTAGAATCCAAGTGACGGTTTTGATTACCTTTAATCAGTACTGCAAATGTAATTCCCTTTTCCGATGACCAAAAAACCAACTATAAAATCTTGTATTGCACAGCTGTTCTTTCAACTTTGCTCATATTCGCTAACCCAAAATTTACCTTAGAAATCAAATTGCTTTATATCCTTGATCGTTCTACATTTCATGTCACCAACGGTAGAACATGAGCACCGGCCTGTGGGCCAGAGACAACATAAGGATCAACTTTATAAGAAATTACATCATCAAATTAATGGATCCTATGCATTTTCTGTTCTCTCTTTCAGTGTCTATTTCCTGTCTCTCTCTGATTCTCTAATTCCTGCTGCTTTTCCTTCTCTTTCTCCACATTTCTCACTACTTGTCAGCTAAAAAACCAAGTCTGCAATTCCTAACACTATGCCTCAAAAGAAGAAAAAAGAGGGGCAAATTTCAACTGACTGCTTCTAAATCTACTTCGGCATCTGTCTCCCCATCTATCAGTGCAGCGTCTCCTTCACCGTCTGCTTCTAACTGGCCTGCTTCTTGACCTCCATCTGTATCTGGGCTTTGCTTTTGATGTTCTTCTGGCGTTGGAGTGCCGCCTTGAGGGGTGCTGGCTGTTGTAGCCATAGCATCAGTGTCCATTGGAGTAGCTGAGGCTTCATCAGTTCTGATTCCTTCACCATCAAGCACACTTGCAGGTGTCGTAATCTAACCCAAAGCAGAGAAGCAATTATAAGAAACTTGAAATATCAAAACATGCCAGATGCCAAGATCAACAATCACTTTATATACACTATGTATGATCAACGAGGAGTCCAGTGCAAGAAAAGTTGTTAAATCTTAGGCAAGCCATCTTGCTACACGATACGATGCATGACATTAGTGAAAATTTCAGATTGGGATATTCCCGCAGTATCCTTGTGGGCACCTCAAGGGAAAAGCCAGTGAAAGATGTCGGTGCAAACCTGATTATCTTCTGCTTGATTTGATGCACCCTTCACCTCCTCCTTTTTGGCACGTTTGGACCTATCATTAGGTTTGGCCTGATATTTGGATCGGACATCAGGGGGCAGAAGTTCTAGAGGAACAACTCCTTCGATGCCATGGTCAGTAAACTGCAAGAAATTTCCCATTGAATAGGCTAAGTTATTACTTAAATTATACATAGCAAATATAAATTTTTATTAGGAACATACTCTAGAAAATCCATCCAAGTCCTGCCTAGCTGAAAAACGTAGACCTTTCCAGCAATATACCTGCATAGTAAATAAATACGATGCATGAACAACTAATGAGAAGTCGAATTGCTGCAAAAAGAGTAAGAAGTATGCCTCTTTTTTCTTAACACCCATAAAACAAGAAACGAAAAGTAAGCATGCTTATCAACCAAGTTACTGTCTTGGAATAGCATTTTGATGCACAATTTCATATCTGGAGTATTTCTATGTGCCACCCTATTTATTGCAATTCACAACACCTATAAACTTGATTTCCCAATGTAGAAGAACCAAGCACATTGTAGTCATGCCTCATGCCTTTAGGCCAATTCTCGATCGTTAAATATCATATGGATGCACATTCCTCCAAGATAGACAGTAACTTCAACATTACTCTTGGATCAGATGCAACATCTCACGACACACCTCTTGCCTTATGCATGATTGTTTTCTACTTTAGGTTGCCACTACTTCAAGTAATCCTTTTCATTCTAATCGTCTTAATCATATCTCTTTCTTCGGCTTTCATATCTCTTTTAAGTTTTTCCAAACATCTAAAGCTTCAAAACATCTCCCTCATCTTGAAGGAATTCCATTTTTTAGCCTTCCAAGAACCAGTAGTAGAAACCTAGGAATAAATAGCAGCAAAAGTGGAATGCGAAATTCTTGATAATAAAAGGAGAGACCAAAACTCACCCGGTTATTTTTGTGATGATATTCAGCTTCTATCCCAGCTGATGGATCCATCTGCAATTTGACAGAAAATTAAATTACTCCTAGCCAGTGTGACAGAAGAGACTACATCTCATAATATGTGAAGGACAAAAGACAAGTTAAAAAACCAAAAAAGAAGGTATTGATTCAACTTAAAGAAGCCCCTTTTATGGTGCTTACATCTTCAGCCAAAGGTTTCCAATATTCTGTAATGGACGGTGTCCGAACCCGCTGGGGATCAGTCAAAGCATTCTGCAAACAAAATTAAAACATTTACATTTAATTTGAGTTGCTGATTTGATGACACAAAAGGTTTAAACTAATGTAATAAGATCACAAAAAAATATTACCCCATATAAAAGGGGGGAAAAGGAACAAAATGGAGGCATCAACAGTAGATCACTTTGGAAACCACATCCTAAGGACGAGTTTACTTTTTGCCTGTAAATTTTCATTTCAATCTAATATGATAAAGTGACCGAATTAGAACAATAATACATTGAACTCCTAATCCAAATACTGGCTGCAACTTTGGCTGTCTAAATAAAACAAAATCGATCTTGTTGTCTTCCATAATGTCTATTTAACAGCCACCCAAGGCCTATCGTAACTGCTTTGCAGATCACAGAGCATTTGATATTTTTTTTATGCAAAACTGTTTGATTACAGGGAATGAGAATGGGATTTCAACTCATCCATTCCCACATTTGAGCAATAATGCAAGGGCATTTTCCAATCAATTGGAATTCAGTCTCAAAAGGGAGAAGAACCATTGTTTGTTTTGATCATTTTTGTTTCCTCCACGTTTTCTAAAACATTTGGAAAACGAAAAAAATATTCCATATTCCTTTTCACTTTTTTTTCCTCACTTTTTCCTCCTATTTTCTCCAAGCGAACTATAGCAGGCTGAATTAAATGTTAAAAGTGAAAAGAAACACTGCTGTTGATTAAAATATTCAATGTTTTAATATGCTGGTTATGTGATGAAATGATAGTTTTGACATCTAGAGATGGCATGATGAGAAGTAAAATGAAGAATAAATAATAGTCAAATGTCAAGTTGCAATGCAATCTGAAGATAATACACACCGGATTCTGATCTGCCCACTTCCATAATTGAGAGAGTTCTTTATTCCCCAGTCTCCACCTTGGCTTACTGTAGGATTAAGAAAAGCACATATTTCAGATGAATAAATTGAAATGAGAAACATAATCAATATTTAAAACAAATCATCACAAATAGATTAAAGAGAGAACTAGTGAATCCACAAAAGAGAGAATAAGGGGACTAAAAACATTATAAAAATGTCCAGACAGAAAGGCAGCGTGTAAGCTCATTTTAGATGGTTTAGCACAAGCAAAACAATCGGTACAAGCTGATTGCCCCAAACTAAATTGCATATAGGCTATTAAAAAAAAAAAAGGCAAATGGAAAAATTAACAAATTATTTCTTGTCTCCTGTTTCAAGTATCCTTCTCAAAACACACAAATGACTAAAAACACAATAATTATGGGCTTGAAGGAAAATAATTATTTGTCACCAAGTTGCATACCGTTTTTTAACTCCATCTTGGACCATTTTATTCTCTATTGGCTGTTTTTCAAATGCAGGGCAACCGTCACGTTTCCACCACACCTAGAAGGCATAAACATTGGAAGCTAATTAAACAAATATGAAGACCATGACAAGTGAATCAGGAACAGAGACAAAAATTAAACCCAAAACATATGCTTACCCAATTCTTTTCACGTTCTAGTATATGCTCGACCATGTGAAGAAAATCCTTTCCTTTAGGTGGAGTCATTTCAAGTAGTTTCTTCACACGCTCCTCACAAGTTTTTATTTCTTCTTTCTGGAATAAGCAGAAAGATGAAATAGTGGCAATTTTTAATACATTCTCGACTGAGATTTATGCATCTACCATGATTATGATATACATTTCTCATTAAGCATGCGCACGCATACAAATTAATAATTTAAACAGTGGACAGGAAAATGATCTTTTCATTTCCAGTTTTCGAAAAAAAGCAGTCTGCTTTCTTACAAGGGGCAACAAAAAAATAAGGTCATTAAGGAACAAAAAGAAGGGTGACACTGATACAGGCGAATTATGCAATGAGTTCAGCATCTTATAGGGGAAAATAAAGAGCATAAGTTGTGGACAGAAGGAAAGTCCTATATGCATTACCTGACCTGAACACTTTCACATTCATTTTTAAGGAGTTACTTCCTAGACCATAATGATACATTAGGGAAACTGATAACTAGAGGTAACTTCTCTCAACCTCCACCAAATAGAAACAAAGGAAAATACAATTTGTTGCAAGCAAGGAGGAATATCTTCCATGCTCCTTTTCTTTTTCTTTTAATTTTTTCTTCTATGTAACTTTAAGTCCATCTTTCAGTGCTTACAAATTCAATCTTCTGACAGCCTCTTAAGAGTAAGAACTCGAGTAAGTTGAGCATTTTCTCTCATCCTATGACCTATGAGACTTTAAATTGGGCACAAAGTTCAAATGAGACGTGAGGAAACATGGACCTGAGAAATTTTTAAATGTCAATGAATTCCTGTTGCTTCATGTGTACATTAAAAGATCCTAAAAGGCTTACGATGGACATGTGTCCATATTTTCGCTCAAGGTTCTAAAATTTTGTATCCTGGCACTTGTTTCCACATCTTGCAAATATGCACATAAGATTTGGATAATGTAAAATTTTCAAACTACAGTGATTACTAGAATACAAATACTTTATGGATTTAAACATCCTTCAGAAAGCCCAAGACGTTTCAATGTTTTAAACTTCCAAAATAAATAATGGAACATAACTAACCATGCTTTCAGATGTCAAATCTTTGTCATTCTTTCCTGGAGCCTGCCAAGAAAAGCAGAGTTACTTCATCAATTAATGACAGATTAAATGACAAAAATATCTAATAAAATGCAGGAATAAGACCTCTATCTAAAATCTCCAGCAATCACTACCTTAAGATAGTCGAAAAGTATCAGGCACTGGACAAGAATGTGGCGACGAAAACTTGGATCTTTTAACTAGAACATAATGAAAATAAGTTGAAAGTGAGAACCTGTCAGGGTATCATATGTAAGTTGTTTTATATATACTAATATCAGTTACCTCTAAGCCCATTAGTTTACTGCTTGTGAGATACTTTATGTTAAAAGTTGCTGCCTCTTCCTCCAAGTTGTTAGCATTTCCTTCCTCCTCACTCAAGGGCTGAGCATCAAAAGTATTCAATACAACCTATACATGTCAACATTCAGGAAAACATCAAACATAAAAGTCAAACAGTAACTAATACTAACATTTTTATGATCATAAAAAGAAAAATAGTATGTTCACAATATTTCCCATCTAGAAAAACAGATACAACTCCCATGATCTTTGCTGCAAAACATATCCTTTTACCTTCATAGGTACAACTCTGCAAGAGAAGAACCTTACCATTAAAGTGGCAGTAAATTTATGCCACTTGGTTGGAGCGAGTGTTAGAGAAACAGGGTTACAAAAGAATTCCTGAAAAACAAACACATTTGTCAGAAAGCTAAAAAATCAAGACAGTTTCACATATATCTTCTACCACCTGCATAAAATCTAGTTGATCCAGGATTTGATCACTGGATTAAAATCTTGTACATCAATCATATTAACAGAGCTTAATTTAAGAAGTGCACCTTAAATTTTTGACAGTGCTCAGTGGTAAATGAGTTTACCTCATAATATTTGATGGTAGTAAACATAAATTTGATTATGACTAGCAGCAGCTACTAAAAAATGAGTGAATTGTCAATATCAACCTTGTTTTTTTAACCTTAATTCAACTAACTACAACCACATACTTTTTTCAATTGAGACCAAAAATAACCAAGTGAAGATAATTTAAAGTAGACTGAATACTACAAGGATCGCTTGGGGTTCAAATGATTACTTCTTTTGAAACCAAGCACAAAGTAGCATTGATTAATTACTTTAGGGAGAAAATTACACAGGGGGAAAAAGCCCTTTCTAAAAGTGTTACAAGGATATGATTGCAGAAAGGTGGTTAGATCTTTCTCTCCACTAACAATGATCGCAAGTAGCAAAGTTTTACCTGTAAACTCCATAAGGTTTTATAGAAGTTGAAATCGATAGAGATGCCTGAAAGCAAGAAAATAGATTAGCACACAAGACCGCAAAGCAAAGCTATAGACTGTGTTTGTGTATATAAAGTTTACTAGAACGTGAGCAGCTAGGTCATACCAGCAGGCGGGTCTTTCTCATATTTAGTGTCATTTGATGTGTTGAAAACTCCTTTTATATTTACAGCTGCAAGCATTAGGGAAGGGAAGAAAAGGTAAAATGACAGTGAATGACAGATCCCTATAGTAAAGCAAAGATGAGTTAACATCAATATTACCTGAACGTTCAGATAATGGAAAAAAATGTGCCAGAAACATTAGAATTCGTCCACAGAACACGACATCATTTGCCTGTAAAATTGGATTTACAAAAGGTAAAATTTAGAATAACAATGCTAAAAAACTAATAAGTCAACGGAACCTTTATGCCAATTTTCTGTTTCCTGTTTAGTCTTTTTAATAGAAAAGGAAGAAAAAAGAGGGAGAGCAAGCTTTCAAACCTATAAAGTCATACATTCTATTTCAAGCAAATTCTAAATCCAACTCTTCTGTCCTGAACTGCTGTTATTGAACATTTCTATACTTTTTTCATTACATGAATCACATAACAGGATTATCAAAACGTGCAGAGATTTCAAAAGGCATTCATAGCTGAATATACATTCAAAGTACTGGAAAATATGGTCAGGATGATTTTTCACAGGAAAAGGAAGGAAAATGGAGAACTTCTTCACCCCAAATTCATCATGCAAAGTATAAAAAGACTTGTTACTTAGAAATCCATATTGAAGAATATTGCATTACATTACCCAAACAGTATAAATGTGACCTTATCAAGCCAATTCACAAGCAGCTCTGATATTGGAAAAATCAGCATTTAGGTACCTTTGAAAGACGACGAAGAAGTTGGTTACAGGTTCTCAACATCACAAGTTTTCCACGAGCAAAAAGTTCTTGCTGTATGAAATGCAGCCATCAAAAATCAATATTGGCATTAGATATGCAGGACTAATGCCAGCTTGTTTAACTGAAGCCTGGAATATTAGTCAGAAAGCATACCTTCCCAAGTATATCTTGTTTACTCTCAATATAACCAAAAACATCTTTGCAATTTCTCATTGTAGACATTTCTGTCAAGTCTTCCAACAACTGGAATACCATACCCCCCTCAACATGTTCTCTCTCACAAAGATACAACACAACATCTGGCCACAATTGGGGCGGAAAAAAAAAGAGGGAAAAATGTGAACAAGAGAGACGTCAAAGTAAGAACCAACAAAACAAACAAGCAAGCAATGAGAGAGAAAAGGTGACAAACAATGGCGGATGATTTTCAAGCTGTATGCAAGTGCATCACAAATTGGCTCCTTAAATTGATTCACGTGAAGACACACCAAGCAAGGTGCAGAAGACTCACAACAAAAACATGTTGTGAAGGTCTCTACCCCAAACATAATTTAGTGAATATATGGGCTTCTCAAAAAAATATATACTTCTACATGCTTTCAATCCTTTCACAATTCAAATTGTATGCATGTGGCAGGCATCTGCCGGTGCATTTCAAAAAATCATAACTTGTATTTAAAAATTTTATCTACAATACAACCTAATCATCAATAAATGAATAAAATTCGCTTTGCTCAGCAGTATAATTTGTACCTATTAACACCTCAGAATGCACTTCCCTGAAACTTATGTTAGTGATGTATTTCAAGGAATTTATTCAATCTTTTTATTGAACATTCATCAGTCACCTAATTTTTTCAATATCCTAAACTTTCAAATCTTTTTAACCATTTAAATCAAATAAAAATTAGCAAGTTATCATGTACAGACCTAACAGATGAGGAATTTGACCCTGAGAGTTTTCCGCATCATCAACTGATTGCCCATACAGCATTATTTGCTCCCCTGACTGCGCTGCAGAAGACTGTAAAAAAGTAAAGCCAACATTCTTAGTTGAATGGAAAAGGCAAAAGTCTAGGTAATAAGTAGATGATGTAGAAAGACACCCATATACATGCTTAGTTAGAAATGAGCTACATTTTACAGGGTGAAAAACAAGTTTCAAAACAGCCTCTTTCAAATATATGCTTCTGCTTACAACTAACATATAATGATTTCTCAAATCAAATACAGGCACCTGCACATTTGGATACACATTTATGCATGTTTTACGATTTTATTTCTAAAAAAACAATGGAAGTATTATTTTCTTAAACATCCAATTCATCACATAGAATGCAGATTAATAGAAGATATAGTGAAAAACGAGACTGCAAATAAGTAAATGAGTAACGAAGGGGAAAAAGGTCCATCAATGAAAGATCAGCCACCATGTTCATAAATTTTGAGGACCAAGAAATTATTGAATTGAGAATCACTGAAATGGATTTCCTTCAGGAAACAGGACCAATTTAAGTTATACTTTGTGGACAAGCATATAGTGAGGATAAAATAAGGTCCATGACTACAAAAAATATTGCTATTCAAATAAGTAGGAAACTACTTTCATACATACCACTAGCTCCTGAAGCAAAGTCCGAAGCATATTTTCTAACAATTGATTCTCATCTTGGGCTAATTTTGTTTGCCTCTGTAATTCAATAATTCAATCAACTGAATAAGGATTGACTAAAAAACATGCAGCTTAAAATTTTGATTAAAAAGAAACCAAATAACCATAGCATATTAAAGGTTGGCTTTGTAAAGGCCATCATATATAACAACTGGAGACGAAAACTATTGTACAGGTTTAAAAACCAGGAAAATTATGTCATCTGGAACAAGGACTTGATTAGCTAAGAAATACCAAGATCAGAGAAACTGGAAAACTTCAGTAATATTTAGTTTTGCTAACTGGGTAAACAATATCAGAACTTTGCAGAAGCATCTGAGTAGACCATCTATCTACGGAGCTGAAAACACGGAAGCATAGCTAAACAAATAGGATATCAACAGACAAATATATTTGACAAATCTCTCCAGATATACACACTCACATAAATAGATACTCCAACACTCTAATTCAATCACATATAAACAAATTACTGTTAAAATATAGGATAATATCATACGTTCATTCACAGGATTATTTCAGATGTAGATGTACATAGCACATAAGGGATCACCTGAGGTTTTATAAATTCTTGAACAGTCTGGAGCGCAAAGCTTTCAGGAGGCCCAGGCTGTAGTATTGCTTTTCTGAATTCTTCCTAAAAACCACAAATGAAAGAATAAAATAGTAAATACAAACTCAAAAAATAAAAAAATAAAAAAGCGTAAAGCCATTGTGCATACAAAGTGCTTGAAACGCCAAAGCATGAACTTAAACCCTAATGAAATTTCAAAAGCTAAGAGAATTTACCATTACAGAGATACAACTACACAGCCGCTAGCAAGCAAGAAATAACTCTCGGTACCAACCGAACAAGCTATGACCAATACATGCAATTTCAGATATCAAAGTGATTTAGAAGAAAAAAATAGAAAGTAAAATTAAAAAGACTGGAAAACTGAGCGCTTGATGAAGACGAAGACAGTTGAGCTTCAGTTCCTCGGTTTCGAAGGGCTCGCCTCGGCCCATTACTGTTAATAAAAGACGATCATAAGCCCGCAGGGCCTGATAACCCAAAACATTCAAATCATTAATCATGGCTCAGAGGGAAAAGTTTCCCTTCTATTGGCAGACGGCGGGGAAACATTTTCCCAACTTTCTAGGAAAATTTTCCCTGCAGGAACAAGAAAAATGTTTAATCAGTTTTTTCAATCATCAAATCCAAAATTAATGCACTTTGAACTGCAGAAGTATTTTGGGCTTAGATTCCATTTGTTTCCATAAAATAATTTGCAGAAAAATATTTTTCATAATTTTCTGTTGTTTAGAGCGCTCAAGAAAATAAATCAATGGAATATTTTCCTGATCAAAAAAAAATTAAGTCATTTTTTAAGGAAAACAACTTTTTATTTTCAAGAGAATACAACATTTCCGGATATTAGCGAACTTTATAAATTTATATTTTTTAATTTATTAATCATGATCGTCACTATTACCCGTCACTATTTACTGCTGACCACCGGCAGCTTTCATAATTTATATATATATATTTTGCATTCTTTCATATTTAACAATAAAATTTTAAATTATAAAATTTAAGAATCAATGTGCAGAAAGAAATATTTTTTCGCATAATTGTCTGTTGTGTTTAGACGCGCTGCAAGAAAATGAAATCAATGGAATATTTTCCTGATCAAAGAAAAATTAAGTCATTTTTTTAAGGAAAACGAACTTGATTTTATTTTCAGAGAATACAAAACATTTCGCGATTGTACCCCCCGGTCGCCATTTAGCGAACTTTATAAATTTATATTTTTAATTTATTAATCATTATTCGTCACTATTACCCGTCACACTACTTACTGCTGACCACCGCCAGCTTTTCGATATTTATATAATATATTTTGCATTCTTTCATATTTAACAGATAAAATTTTAAAGTCTATCAAAATTTCTGATTATTACTTAATATTCTTTATGGATCTAAATGAGATGAATACTTTAATTATTTTAAAACTTAAATTTTTTAATAATTACAGCTAAGATTAGATGAACGCAAATAAATCATTTAGAAATATTTTCTCAACAAATTATCGCTATTTTACGAAACCGAACAAGGCCTTAAATGGCCAAAATTATTTCATTGCAGAGTTCTTAACAGACTTGTTGAAATGCAAAGCTGTTCTTTGGAGCTCCTTTGTTTCCAGCAAGTTATTTTTCTACGAGTTGATGTTTGTCAGATAGCTGTTGGTTAGTTATATAGAAAATCGACTTTAAAAAAATGATTTTACGCGCCACCTTTAGGTACCAAAATTAAAAAAATATATAATTTTTCATATATAAACTAATGCAAAATTACGCTTATGTATTATTTCACGAAAATCTAATAAATATATTGATGAAGTTCATGAGAAAAAAAAAATAAAGGATGTACATTTCTATTGAAGCTTATTCAATCAATATTAAAAGTTGCAGTTTGTAATCAATTAAACTTAGCTAGGTCTCGTGTGCCCGTTGATTGATTTGAATTATGTGGATTAAACGGTAGCACTTATTGACATATAGATCTACAAAATCATAATTTATGAAAATTACAAATAAATAAAACCGCGATACTCCGCTTTCTAGGATAGCAAGACGAGGCCACAACTCACGCACGTGGGCCGTTTCTTAATTCGGCCGACACAAAAAAGTCACAACATTCGTCAAGTCCACCGTCTATTGGCGAGAATGCCTTTATCCTCGAACGAGAATCTGGTAACGCGGCGGAAAAATGTATGGCGGTTAAAATAACTAAAGTTCATAGTCACGGGTGTCCGGCATCTACCATGGTTGTCTATGCATGCTTCCTGTATGTGCATTGTACTGCTATCTGCAAAAGCGCATGCTTTGGTTTTCCCGCCGCTACTGAGGAGAAGAAAAGAGAGGACCGCGACTGATTAGGGTTTCCGAGAAGAAAACAATGTAAACCCTGGTGGTTCGATCTGGAGAAATTAAACCTAGCTTTTTTGGTGCTGGGATTGTGGAAGATTCAGGAGAATTTTGGAGGATAATTTTCGAGATCTGGCTAAAATGAGGCAATCCGTAATGTTTCGGTTTTTAATTGTTTTCCAATTTTATTTTGTTAGCCATCAAAACGTAACTTAGTTCAGTTCTGTTTTCTTCTTGTTTTATTTCCTTGCCTTACTTTTTTGCCTCTGCTTAACTTTAATTGAGGTGTTTGGCTTTAGCCTTATTAAATTTTTTTTTTTTAATTTTCGGTTGACACAAGAGTAATTGAAGATTGGTACGTCGCTTAAATGTTCACTTGCAATGCATTAATGATTATCATATTATATCAATATATATATATATATATATATATATATATTAGTTTTTTCGGGGGAAGTTTTTTTGTCATTGGCGCGGTCTTGCTATTTTTTGCTAAAAGATAACTGATCAGCACCAGAGCAGCTTGAGTCTTTGAATCCACCTTTCCAAATCTTGTCTTTTATATTGTGAATTAATTATGATATAAGTTGGGGTTTGAATGAACCATACAGCGAGAGCGAAGTGTTCAACTAGATGATGGAAGAGCCACCGTAAAGCCTTCAACTCCACAATCAATTTTAACGTAGTGATGGAGGAGAAGTTTGAAAAGGATGCCATTGGATGTGCGCAATTCTCAGAGTTTTGTAAGGTATAAGCTTTTCCAGTATCTCTTTTAGTTTTGTTTATCTTTCTTATTTTTTCATATTTTCAGAATGCATTATAGATGATTATAATCTCGCGCTTTT